CCTAGGAATACTGGTGAGTATTGATGAAAGGCTCCGATTTTTTCATGATTTTTTTCCAATTATTAATTGTGTTAAATTATAACAATAATTTCAATTAATCCCTGCACAATTAATAATTGGCAAAAAAATCATGAAAAAATTGAATTAAAAATTTCTAAATCATTCAAATTAATTTAAAATAAAAAGTCAAGGGGATTTGAACCTAAAACCTCCATACTTTCACCTACTCCTTTACCCACTAGGCTACGCCTGATTAGATATTCTAACCTTTGTTAAAAATGAATTTAATGAAAATGCCTAAAATTCAAACCCAAAAATCTAAGGAACCACAAAATTTACAGAAAAAAGACCAAAATTCCGTTGATAAGGAAGCTTTACCCTATCGATTGCGCTACCCCCCATTAAAATCGGTGAGTACGCATTAAAAACGTTCCCTTGTCAGAAGGGTAAAAAACTTAGTTTTAGAAAATTGAATTTAATCATCCAACAACAAACAATTATTTATTTTAATAAATCTTTTACAATGTAAAACTTTCTATACACAATGGTTAATTAATTGAATTTTTTATTATTACTGTGTTTAACATTGAAATGAGTTATGGATATACATTGTGCTTCTTTAAAGACTAATGACATATGTTCAGTGCTCCTTAAAGGGAGATTTATCGAATTAATTTCCAGATTTTGATTGGAGATGATAAATTGGATGGACCGGACTTGACTCAACAATTGCTGGAAAATGATAAGATTCTAAATTGTGAATTAACGAGACGATCTTGGATCCTAAACTCTACTTTAGGCAATTTTCGGGTCAATGAGGGCAACCTCTCTATTTCACTGACCGAATTTATACGAATTTGTTCTAGAGAATGGTCGAATCGGAAAGTGGCTGAACTTAAGACGAAGAAAAAGGATGTCAAGAATCAACTCTGGTATTTGATCAAAGCAACCAAAATCGGAAATTACGTGGGTTATCAGATCTAACGTAATAATGATGACAGTTTTTAGCTACAGATTGATGCCATTCATTGTTGTTGGCTAAGTTTGATGGACTTCAAATGTCATTCCTTGGTTAAATCTCGACGCGTGCGTTTTGGGCAATAATACTTATTTCATTGATCAATCAATGAAACCTTATTTTGATGAAAACAATCTTAATCCTATTTATTTGTTCAAGCATTGTTACATAACATGTTAAACGGAATGTGAAATGGAAACCTTCTATCAATATTAGAGATGAATTTCATAGCTAAGGTAAGTAATGTTGTCAACCTTGAAATGAAAAATCTTGAAAAGAGATATTGATTTTTTCCTAACATCTGTGAATTATTGTTATCTAGTCTGACAACTGATTGACTCTGTTTTTCTTTCATTTTTTCTTTTTTCATTAGATTAACATCTTTGGATTAATCTCCATCACTGGCAACAGGTCTTATGTAACCAATGAGGCAAAGTGATTTAATCTATTCAACCAATGGCTTATTTTTAAAGGGTGTTACACTTAACAGCCTGCAAATTTTGAAGATAAAAATAAAATTGAGCTTACTTTTATCTTAAAATTTGTTGATATTGATGAAGATGAACACAGATAATGAATCGCCAGAGACAGGAAATCAAAACCAATTGGTCAATGTCATCAATATCAACAAATTTTTTGATTAAGGTAAGCTCAATTTTAATTCTTATCTTCTAAATTTGCAGGCTGTTAAGTGTAACACCCTTTAGAAAGCAAATATGGCAAGAATGTTCTGGAAAATTCCACATAAATACTAATCAATTCTCAGATGGATGAACTCAACCAGGAGAAAAACAACAAAATATTTGCTTCAATGGATTAACAATAACTTCCTTCATTCATTACAAAATCATGTAAGGTTTAAGCCTGACTTCAAATGATGTATAACATCATCTGATTGATATTTTGGGAAAAAATCCATTTTCTGTTTTTATTTTTGCCTCTATTTTGAAGGCCTAAGCATTTCTTCGAGCCTGATCTTTCAAAGCTCATACCCGAAAGGCATGGCAGAGGATTTTAATTACTCCATAGAACTAGTTCTAAGGAACTGATGAGCTATTCAGAGAAGTTAATGCTCCTCAAAAACAATTCATGATTCAAGTAATCATGAATGTGATGAAGAGTTCCCGCCTTACTCAGCCTTGATGTAATTCACATAATAATGGCTTTAACAGTAAATTCAATTGAAATTTATCTTTGTTCCCACGTGGTGAAACAACCCAGTCAGCAATATCTCTTAGCATATGAAAAATGAGCGTAATCCAACATTTAAACGCAAGAGCGGTAAACCGGTTTTTGCATGTTGGCCATCAGAAAGGGTTGTTTATCAACTATGAAGATTATTTTTAGTATGATCATCAACCGCGCTAGAAAAGCCTCACCGCGTTCACTTTTCCCTCTTTCTTCTACTTCAAGAATCTCGACCTTACTCTTCGATTCTTGTTAAACTGCCATCATCATCAGCAGGGAAAAACTGGAATAAGTGAGAGAAAATTAAAAGTAAAAGTGAGAATCAATCAGTTTTCTTGTGTTATCTTTTTTTTAACTCATTTTCATTTCAATGGTTAATCAAGCCATGAACGTAATTCAAAACCCGATCTCATCTTTCAACTTATTTTGATTTTCAACTTGTATAGATGTCCACTTGATTGTTTACAAATTGTGTATTTTTTTAGAATCGTGTTTCAAGTTAATTCATCTTTTAACAATTGATGTTCTCTGCATTTCAGATACTATGGAATTACAACATACTCCGGAATTAATAAACTCTGGTCATCCAATTTCCGAAACTCTTCCACTCATCTCTGGTTTTCCATGGAAACTTATTCTTCTTCTTGCAAGCTCACATATTTTCACCAAAACCCTTGGTCCATGGCTTATGTCATCAAGAGATTCATATGATTTAAAACCTTTCCTCTTAATTTATAATGGAATCGTCTTTGGAGCCAATGGAGCTGGTATTATGTTAGACCTGTGGGTAACCGATTGGGCTCGAGTTTCATTTGATTGTACACCCATTTCGTATCAAATTACCGATCTTAAACCTTTCTTTACCATTTACCTGGCATACATCTTTTTCTGGCTTCATATTGGTGAAATGGTTCCTCGAGTGGTTGCCACTTTAATGAAAAAAAAGGTCCAATGGGATACTTTTGATACAATTACTGAGCTTTTCTTCATTTTCACTATTTATTATGGAATCAAATACTATCCAGGAAAAGCATCATCATTTCTCACCTTAGTTACCCTCATTTTTGGCTTGTTTGACTATGCAATGCGTGTTTGTGCTTCTGCAGGACCACCAACTGTGGATATTGACTATTGGCAAAAGACTTTCGCCTTTTTCAAATTTCTTCACTCACTTTCCATCCTGATTCATGGTTATATTTTATTTTTTACTCCTTCTTGTTCCAACATCACAACACTTTCTCTATTAGAAATAATGGCTTCAACTTTCAATCTTATCAATACTTATCGTAATGGATCAACTGCATGGTCTAAGGCTAAATGTCTCAAATTTGATTAAACCATTGTGAATTAATTGTCACAATGGCGTTCCTATCTGTCTTATGTGACAGTTAAGATAATTGACTCAAATTGGGTCTTGACGTTTTGTATTATTTTTATATTTTGTTACTTTCAATGTTTACTTTCAATTAATGTGTTCAAACTGCACATTAATGTAATCAAGAAAAAAATTCAAGTTCACATATTTATACTTTTTTTATCAAAATAAACTCGAAAGATACGATCCAGAACTCCAGAATGATTACAGATTCAAGACACGATTTATTTAATTAGCATCAACTAGATGTTTTTATCATTGCAGAATTTTTATTCCAATTTTAATTATATTCAGACCTATTGTTATGGACTGAAAATGACAGAAACAAATACATTGCACAAAAAAGCAAACAAAATGAATGCTATTCTCAACTTCAAATGGCAAGTTTTCACAGTTTCAGTCCATTACAATGGTTCGAATCTGAGGTCTATATCATGAACAGTTCATGAGAAATTAAAGAAACGCCCGATATTTTGTTACTTTCAATGTTTAATTTCAATTGGTATGTTTAAACTACACATTAATTTAATCAAGAAAAAAAAATTCAGATTCTCATATTTATACTTTCTTTGATCGCAATAAACTCGAAGATACGATCCAGAACTCCAGAATGATTTCAAATTGAGGACACAATTTATAAATTTAATTTGTCTCAACTAGATGTTATTATCATTGCAGAGGCGATTTTATTTGAAACTAAAAATCCTTGGCTGGTAATTGATTTGTTTGAAACAAAAAAGACATTAACAGCTGAGAAATGGTTTTATCACCTAAGGGACATTTTTATTACTCTTGAACGTTAATAAAAGATGCCATTTGAACAATCCGATTAATCTGTACTCCTAATCATGTTAATTATCAGCTTAATCGATGCAAATTGCAAAATGATTGAAATCATCAAACCATTGCAATCAATTCAAGTCAATTTTGCGCTTCAAGAAAGTGAGCTTTCAGTATGACTGAAATTTTTTCATGGATGCAAATCAGAAAGTTGATCACAATGCAATTTATGATAAAAGCACATAATTTGATTGAAAAATCTACCGTTGATTAACATAGAAATTAAGAAGTTTCAATTTTCTACTGTTTTCTTCCAACTGAATGAATTGATAATTTGTTTCGGTTGAACAACATTTAAAATCAATAGTTTGGGTCATTTTTCACACTATATCTTTGAATGATAAACGGATCAGTTAACTTTACTCAAGGTAATAAACAAATGAAGGTTACTGGAAAGACAATGTATTTAATGATGAATATGAACACAATAAGACATAATTAATTAATGAGCATAGCAAAGATGTTAATCAAGCTTTGATCTTAATATTGGTTTCACTACGGTCAACAGTGTAACTTTAAAATCTAAGAAAGGTCAGACGAAAAAGTGATTGAAATTGGAGTAATTTTAATGAAATGGTTTTGATTAATATTAATAAATATGAGTTAATTTTTTCACTATTAAAATGTTTAATTTAATTAATTATTTTTTGGCTGATTGTCTTATTAAATCGGAAGCTTTTTCAGCAATCATTATGGTTGGCGCCATTGTATTACCAGATGTTATCCTAGGCATAACTGATGCATCGACTACCCTTAAACCTTCCACTCCTATTACTCTCAATTGATCATCAACAACAGCCAATGAATCAGATTGATTACCCATCCTACAAGTTCCAACATAATGGTCACCTTTTACAGTGAATTGTTTGACATAACAAGACCAATAATCGTCACTGGCCAATTGGTATTGCTCGCAACCAGGAAACTTGGAATCAAATAGTTGTACTCCTAATGATTTCATCAAAGGACTAGACATTATTTTGTGAGCCACTTTTATGCCTTCAACCAAAGTTTTTATGTCTTTTGTGCTATCAAAATAATTTGGATTAACTAAAGGCTTATCCATTGGATTTCGTGATGATAAACGAAGTGAACCCACAGACTCAGGATGCAATAAGCAAACATAAGCTGTTAAGGTTTCACGACCAACGTATGGTTGGAAGTAACTCTCATAAATACCCTCCTTCAATCCAAATACGTTTGTCCAGAAATTGGAATCTGGTAATGACGATGGACTGGTTCCAGCAAAGACTAGTTGTATGTCTGGTTTCGTGGAAAGTACCGGTATTTTTGGCTCAGTTTTAATATTTCCTAAAGCAATGCCCCCTCCAGAGGTTAATGGTCCATGGCCACGAGTAAATGAAAAGTAGTTTGGTAGATTTAATGTCGATGCTGGGTCTGTAACAGTTGTCAAGTTGGTCGTGTAGCTTAATAAACCATAAACATGGTCTCGAAGATTTGACCCGACTCCTGGTCTATCAACAATATTTGGTATATCAAAAGATTCAACATGACCTTTTGGACCAACACCAGATAATAAAAGTAAATGAGGCGAGCCAAAAGAACCAGCTGATAGGATTATCTCTTTTGATGCATAAGAGTGCAATAATCTTCCAGAGATGTCTTTATATTCAACTCCGATTGCCCTTTTATTTTTATCAAATATTATCTTTTGAACTGGTGAATGTGTTCTTACCTTCAGTTTGGGTGAACTGGAAAGTTTAGATTGTGAAAGGAAAGCTTTATGAGTAGACCAACGGACTCCTTGTTTAGTTGTAGTCTGGACACGATCAAAAACCAATTGTTGGTCGCTATTATAATCATCGATAGAATAACCAAGATTTTGAAGAGTTTTGAAGAAGGCCCAGTTAGTTGGGTGAACAAATGACCCATAGTCGATTGGCAAAGGACCAGTTGTATTGTGAAATTGTTCGGATACTCGATTCATACGCTGGAAACTTTCAGATTTAAGGAAATATGGAATCAACTCATCAAATGACCAACCATTGATACCTAATGAAGACCAATCGTTATAATCATCTGGATGACCTCTAACATAAACCATGCCATTTATTGCCGATGAGCCACCAAGACCTCGACCAGAATCAAGTCGGCAACGGTTTTCTTGGTAAGCCTGACAACCAACTGATTGGGGCTCTGTTTTGTATTGGTTGTTCAATGATGACCCTCTCCAAAGAACCCAAAAACAAGGAATTTCCGTGATAAACGATTCACTTCCACCGGCCTCCAACACTAGAATGGACAATGCAGGGTTTTCTGACAATCTGGAAGCAACCACAGCTCCAGCTGTTCCTCCACCGATAATGATGTAGTCAAACTCTTCACGGCCATTCTCGGTATTCTGAGAATAACTTTGATACTGAGTATTGGCCCAAAATACACTTGCCAGTTGAATTATTAAAGAGGAGCCAATGATGGACACTGGGTTTGCGAAAAAAGTTATCAAAGAGTTTACAGCCGACATTGTTTTACATTGTTTACTTGGGAGCAATGAAAACCAGTTTTATTGTCTTGGCGCGGTTGATTATCAGAGCAACACAAAGTGAATATTTTTAGCGAAATCATTGCGAATAATTGAAACAAAATTGATAGATAATTAGTGTGCATTGGTTTTTCCGGGATAAATCAGGTTGATAAAAATGATACTAATTTTCTGACAATTTGAATGCAACCGATCAAGTCTTTTGACCCATACAATTAGTAATATAAATTCCAGAAAATTTTCGAAACATTTTTCTTTCTTTAATATAAATTATCCAAAAAAATTGATTACATGATGGAAATTATATTTTTGATTTACCATCACTGATAATTGAAAGCCAGACTACAATCAAATGTTCATGTGAAAAGGAATGGCACAGAAGGTGTTTGGTTTCTGTTAACTAGGCTTAAATGAATCAGTTTTTTGGTGTTTTCACATTCTAACAATCATGGTGAACATTAGAATAATTAAGATGAAAATGAGATGAGAAGGGGAGAGAGATAAAGAGAAAGAGAAAGGAGAAGAAAACAAGTTTAGTTTTATTGTGAAGATTCAAGGTTGTTTTGAACGGTTAAGAAACTACCACCATCTTGATCAAAAACTAATTGTGTTAACTGTGGACAAAGTGAACCATCCGTTCTAAGGTTGGTCTCTTTACTACCAAACCAGATTTGACCGAAGTTCGTCCCACCTCAATGAGAGGTAGATGATGATAATGATGAGGATGCGGATGATGGCAAAGTAATGAATGGAAAGAGAGTGACCAAGAGAAAAGAGGAGGAAAACAAGATGATGTTATTATCATTCTTTTATATTTCTTAGCTCGTATTTCCTGCTGCCACTTTTCCTTCAGACTCTCATCCCTCTCTTTCTCTTTCCATCTTCCATTTTTTCTTTCTTCTTCATTTTCTTTATTATTCATAATATCATCCATCTGTTACATTATACCCAACATTTCAATTTCATCTCTGATGATAAAAAAACTCATGATTTGCATCATTTTATCCACCATTCTCCATGACTCCATCGCTATAATTTATCATCTTTAATGTTGTCTAATTAATCCTCAATTATAATGTGCATGGATTTGAACAGGTAGGTTCTTTCAAACTTTTATGGTCTTTGAAAATTATTTCACTGTTCAAAATTTCACTGTTAGTCTTCATGATATTTGACTGATTGTTTGTCATGTTTGATGACTTGTCATCTCCAATTATTAAAACTGACTTACGTGTTTCTTTCTTGTTGCTTTGTTTAGATAATCCATATATTTTGAATCTTGTAAAATCATCAACTTAGGATTGGATTACTAGTTCATCAATTTGTTATTATCCTGAGTGACATTTTGAGCAGAATAACATTGGCTCCACGTCAATAGTGTTGTTTACTTGAAAGTTGTTCATTTATCAAAACTGAAAATATTTTTCAGACACATTGACACTTTGGTCGTATGTTTGGTTAAAATACATCTGTGCTACAGCCAATCAACAACTCTATTGTTAGTCAATGCTAGATAAATTGCTTGGCTACATCTATGGCAAATTAATATGTAAACAAAGCCTATTTTCACTATCAATTGTGTGAAAATAGCGAGAATGTCAAAATTATTCTTGTGATTCAGCTTTGATTATAATACTTGAGTCATCATTCGGTGATTAATTTTCCCTACGCTATTTGAACATTTTCATTCTCTGTTTCTTGGTGAATGAATGAAAATGATAGCGAAATAAATTATGGCTGATAAATGATTATTGTTTCTATCTTCAATCTTACTTTTGGTGTGACAAACAAAATCATATGTATTAAATCGTCAATTTCTGGAATGTAAAGTCTATTCTCGTGTATCCCACATTGTTCCAGTCAAATACTCTGATTAAAACTGAGACAAAATGAAACGTGTTATCATCTTTAGAAATGGTACCAAATTTGATGGAAAGGTCAGTTTTTACAGCTATCTGTCAGTGCAAACAACTGTAAACTAATAATTATGTGCTGTTATCAAAGAGTTACTGTTCTGTGTTATTAAAATTGTCATTTCTCGTTTTTTTATATTTTAGGTTATACTAGTCACGCATTCATTGGAAGATTTATTAAAGGATGCTTCCATCAAGCTCAACATTTCAGCGAAAAAAATATTCACACCACAGGGTGGAGAGATAGATGATATTAAATTAATTCGGGATGATGATATACTCTATGTTTCCAGTGGTGAGCCTTTTTTACCGGTGTCTGACCAATCATTGATGACTCCTACTCATCAACAATATCAGAGAAACAGAGGAGTCAATTGTCCATCTACACCTTTACTCTTACCTTTACCATCAACCTCAGGATCACATTCAGCCTCATCTGAATGGATTAGCCTTAATGTTGGTGGAAAAATTTTCTGTACAACAAAGCAAACTCTCATCAGCAAAGAACCTAACTCAATGCTGTCTAGAATGTTTTCCAATGATACTTCATTGATACAACCCAGTCCCCGTGATTCTACCGGTGCTTATCTAATAGATCGAAGTCCTATCTACTTTGAACCAATACTTGGATATCTAAGACATGGTCAATTAATCTTGGATAAAAATGTAAACCCTCAGGGTATTTTAGAAGAGGCCAAATTTTATGGTATTGCTTCTTTGATACCCATTTTAGAAGCTATGGTTGCCTCTGAAGATGATCCAGCGCCTGATGTGAATAGTCTCCCCTTAACTCGTAGAGATGTCATCAATGCATTAATAAGTACTTCTTTTAATTCTGAATTGAGATTTCAGGGGGTTAACTTAGCTGGTGCTGATCTATCTAAATTGGATTTAAGGCACATTAATTTCAAATTTGCAAATCTTCGTGGAGCAGGTCTTCAAGGAGCCAATTTAAGTTATTGCTGCCTTGAGAGATGTGATCTTTCTGCTAGCAACATGGAAGGAGTAATACTTTTCGGTGTGAAAATGGTAAATTGAAAGATTTTGTCATTATATTTGTCAATTATGAGGACTGTTAATTTACAGATCTAATTTTCTCATTTTAGGTGTGTGCCAATTTAGAAAGAGCCAGTTTAAGAGCCGCTCACATGGAAGATCCGCTTGGTAAGCGAACAAACATGGAAGGTGTCAATTTGAAGGGAGCAATTCTAGAAGGAAGTTCAATGGCTGGAGTTAATTTAAGGGTGGCTACCTTGAAGAACGCTAACTTGAAAAATTGTGACCTACGAGGTGCATGTCTTGCAGGCGCTGATTTAGAAAATTGTGACCTTAGCTGCTCCGACTTGCACGAAGCCAATTTACGTGGTGCCAATTTGAAAGGAGCAGCTTTCGAACTTATGCCAACTGCTCTACATATGTCGCAAACGTTATGTAATTGAAAATTCATTTTCGTGCTTGGCTATTGAAGATGGAGCAAAATAACTTAAAGCATTTGGAACAATTTTAAAAAATTCGTTTTCACCATATTTACTTGAAATATTATTGGTGAATTACAAGGAACGAATATAACTTTATTTTGTTGATCAGAAACTTTTTCGTTTTGTTTCCGTTAGTTTATTTACTTTGTTTCATATTTGCAGTAGAAACTTCAAATAAGTATAAAGTCCTTTCTCGACTCGGATATTTGTTTGGACAAAGCATGTATTGTTGAGATATGAAAACTTTTGCCTACAACAGATGAATCGGATGCATGAACAAAAATTATGTACACTTATTAAAAATTTTAATTTGTATTTCTATAAATTTCAAACGGAAAACGGCCATCGAGAAAGAAATGTGTAGAGATCGACTCGATACTGATATTATCGAACACACTAAATCGATTTATACATGTATATCGTAGTTTGATCCCGTACTCTTTGAGTGAGGATTTGAGCTGAGAATTGATCCAAAGCCTAGATTTAACATTTCAAACTGGGTTTCTCTCAATTTTACTCTGCCAAATTTAACATAATGGAATTTTATACAATTTATAACGTTGATTACATTAACACTATCATTTGATACACTAAAATAAGTACATTTTATATTTCCGCTACTGATTCAAGCACACATCAATTTGGTTGCTATGAGGAATTGGTAAAGTCTTGAATAGTTATTTAGAGGGAAAGCACAAGCTGAAAAATAACCGCAAAATAGATTATTAAACGAGTTGTAATGTTTAGTTTAAAAAAAATAAAATTCTTACAAATAATTTAAAACGAAATTTTACTGCTTTTTGGAAGGAATCTTTGCACTTTCATACTAATTTTTAAAATTAATTTTCATTATAACCAGAAATGATGGTTAATACAAACAAATTTGATTGAATCGGTTTTTATCTCTTAAAAAATTTTTTGATTGGCCAAAGGAACTTTAATTCGTTGAATTGTCTCATTTCATGTCAAGATAATCCTTTAAGTATTGATGAATCTTGGGATAAATTACATTAGATTCTCTTCCAGTGAATTCGATGAGAAGTCCTTTTTTCCTGGATATGTAAAAGAGAAGAGGAAGAAAAACATTGAAAATTAATACATTATGGGTAAAAGAGGAAATAGTGCTAATAAAATTGTCATAACAGCAAAGCAAGAGTTCAATGCAGCTGGTCCAAGCTGGTTGCAAAAGTAATGTATCAAGAAAAAAAATGACTACGTGATTTTCTTATCTTGAAGATTAGATAAGATAAACTCTCGGTAATTACAATGAAGTCTAACAGGATTAACAAACTACTACAATATTTACCCGAAAAAATCAAGAACAGGCAATGTGGATGCATTGTAAGTGTCAAGTCGCTGTTTTACGGCCTCGGGCTTATCATCTTCTCTCTGTATCAAATCTTCACCAGAAAAGTCATCTTTAAAAGGCACTTTGGGTGGGTTATATTCTAAATTATAAATACGGCCAGAGCTCAGATGAATCCACCTATGCTTTATACGGTTAATTATCTCATCATCTGGTACATTGAGATTGATAACCTTGCTCAATGTGGTACGCTCTAATAAAGATTGTGCTTGTCGTAAAGTCCTCGGAAAACCATCCATTAACCATGAACAGCCTTTAAATTCACCATTAATGACATCAACCATCAATTTGGTGACCAGCTCGTTAGGGACTAGATCACCACGAGCAATGTAGGAAGCGGCAATTTTACCTTCATCTAGAAAATGAGAGATAAGAAAAAGATACGAATGAAAGTGCTTAAGAATAAGTTGAAATCGATTTTGACAGTGAAAAAATTGGTAATTTGACATTAAGATATTGTTAATTAAAGACTCATTTCTGCGAAAAATATTATTACTAACCTGTTCCTGCGGCAATCTTATTACGCAAAACATCACCACAAGAGATATAAGATAAATTGAAGTTTGATACAATTCTTTGGCTTATTGTACCCTTGCCAGACCCAGGTGGACCAAGAATGACCAAACGGACATTACTCAACAGATTTAAAGTTTGTCTCATCGATAATGTGAAATCCCGACTTCAAAGTTTGATTTAATTTAAGATAGACGTAACTATTTTCTTGATGAAACACGCGAAAACTCAGAAAAAGTGTAAAAACTACTATAATTAGAAAAGCATTGGATCACATCAGATGAAAGATTGGTAAGTCAAAGAAGTCCTCACTTCTCTTCTTATTAGCCACAGCTAGTTTCGGCGCGCGCCTAGTGGCTAATTGAAAAAAACTTAATATTTAAGGGTTAAATCTAACAATTAAATTTATTAAACAGCCTAGTCAATTATATTAAGATCATGTAATTATGAACAATTTTTTCTCGACTCAACACAACTGAACAACAACTCAGAGATCATTTGGGAATCAGTAATGTATCGTAAACATGAAATTGGATTGCTGACATTGACATGATCATTGAATTCAGGAAAACTGAAATCAAGACGAGACTTCCGTTTGTTAAGCCTATGGAATTGCTATTCTCTTTCAATTAAGTGAATAACAAAGTTAATTGTTAAATTTAACCCTTAAATATTAAGTTTTTTCAATAAGTCACTCGGCGCGCGCCGAAACTAGCTGTGGCTGATGAGAAGAGAAGTGAGCCGGCGAGGATTTCTTATGACTTACCAAAAATAACAATAAGTAAAACCGATTTTTTTTATTTCTCATCTTTACTTCAATCTTTATTATTAACCGGTTTATTTTTGTATTGAACTTTGTTTACAATCTTACTCTTTCATTAGTGATCAGAATATGCCAAATGCACCAGCTAATAATACAATGAGTGTTAACCAAACAAATATGAAGAAAAAGTTGACTGGTCCATATGTTCATGTAGCGAAGGGTAAAGGAGGATCAAAATTAACTTATTCAATTTCAAATGCAGCCAAGAAACTGGACGATGACAAAGACGGCTCTAAAAGAGGATCTGGTGCACATATCTCACAATATCGATCTCAATACCGAGTTCTTGATGATGCAGCTCGTAGCCGTAGACATCGTCAAATGCTTGATAAATTGGAAAAGGATAACTTTCATGAAGATCCTCATGCAAACCTTGTGATGCATAAAAAAGCTCCAAAGTTTGAAGACCAAGCCATCAAATTGGGCTCATCTAATGTTAACAGCGGACCAGGACGTAGACCAGGATCTCATTCTCATCATTATCACAAATCACGTCAAGTTACTATAGCATCTCTTTTAGAGGAAGACTCTAAGATGCCTCCGCCAAGTTATACCACTGCTGTTGCACCAGCTCCAGGAAAAGTGACAGTCAATGATAAAGTCATTTTTATAGTAACTAAAAGACATTTTTGCTGTGTTTGCGGTTTCAACGCTAATTATACTTGTGTAGCATGTGGTATGAGATATTGTTGTGTCACTTGCCTTCAAACACATAGAGATACTCGCTGTTTGAAATGGACAGCTTGATTAAAGAAACAGAATAAGTCTGTAAATATCATAATACTAATGCTGATCTGTAAATTTTTTTATAATTTTTACGTAAATAGTTCGAATCTGACAAATCGAAAGGATGATTAAATTATTGAACATATTTTACTATATTTTTTGTTTTTTTTAATGATTACCCGATTAACTTGGTTGTGAGTTAGCTTCTCGTAATTGGAGTTCAAGAGAAGAATAAAGAAGAATTTCTATCAATTATTGAATGAACAGATAGTCTAAAAGTTACTTAATTGTGAATTAGAATCATCATCCAATTAAGCATTGGAAACTGGATAATTGAAGAGTAATACAAATGTAATGGATTTATGCTCTTTGCTGACTATCGAGAAAGAGAGAAAGAAAGAGAAAATCTTTTTCGATATAATCGAACAGAATATATCGATATATATCGCGTACTTAAATATCAAGAATATCATTAAGTGAATCGGATTTTTTTTCTCATCTTTATTGCAATCTCTTGATTATTATTAGGTTTATTATTTCAGTGTTATATCCAATCTTATACGTTCTTGTGTGATATAAACATGCCAAATGCACCAGTTAATAGTACAATGAGCGGTAACCAAACAAATAGGAAGAAAAAGTTGACCGGCCCATATGTTCATGTAGCGAAAGCTAAAGGAGGATCAAAATTAACTTATACAATTGTAAATGCAACCAAGAAACTCGACGATGACAAAGACGGCGCTAAAAGAGGGTCCAGTGCATGCAATCGTAATCTCTCTATTAGTGGTCAAAACCATTATGGAGTTGGAAATCATCTACCAAAAAATTCATTGAACATGTCTGCTACCAAAAAACATTCTGTATCAACGGATTCAGAGTCCATTCTTAAAGATTCGAGTTGGATTTGTATATTTTGTCAACAGAGACCTCATTATAAGGCGATGGGTGATCTTTTCGGTCCATATTATATTCCAGTGGAAAACAATAGTGCTGTAAATAATCAAGTAAACCAACGTGAAGTTTGGTTTCATGAAGATTGCTTAGTTTGGTCTAATGGTGTTTTTCTGGTTGGACATAGAATTAGGAATATTGAAGAAGTTATTAAAGATTGCTATGAAAACGTAAGATAATCCAAGCTTCATGCTAATTCTCGGTCAAATTACAAGTTTAATACCTTAAATAAACTTTTTCAGGTTTGTTGTGAGTGCAAATTAAAAGGAGCTTCTCTTGGCTGTCTCCATAAGGGCTGTTCACCAAGATATCATTTTCTGTGTGCGAAAGAGAAAGGTTTGTAAAATTGGCTAAATTTTTAAGTTAAACACTTAATCAATTAATGGTTAATTATATTGACAAATTCCATTTTTAATTAATTCTAGGTTGTGATATGAATGAAGAAAATTTCTCAATCCATTGTCCGAAACATCGTTCGTTTCCAAGTTCGTCCCTGAACGCAAGGTAGATGATGGTAATGATGAATTTTTACATTATTATATATTTTCTTGATTGATTTTATTCTAATTTCATCCATTTATCGCACTATGTTCTTTCAATGCCAATCGCATCTGTGATTATCCCAAAACTATTCAATCACCATACATTGTCATAAATTGTGAATTATAACAGTCTTTTTATCATCTATTGACTTTTCTGGAACCCGTACAAATTGTAATTGTGAAAATTAAGATGTACTTTCATCTTTTCATGATCATTAAAGATTTTTTCACTGATTTTGTTAAACTTCTTATCAATTCATAATTTACAATTTTTCAAGAAATAAACAGTTGTCAAGTTTGACGATTTTATAACAATTGTTCTGCTTAAGACTGAAATGTGAATTGAAATGCCAATAACTGACCAAGTGTTTATGTAATGACCTTAAATGATCTTGACCATGAAATATAGCACCTAAGTATTCGCGAAATTTGCATACAACTTTTTTGTAACTCTCTGGCTCATTCACAGGAAATAAGAGTTTAACGTCGGTAAAAATAGCTAAAATTCCCTGTATATGATAAGTTCATAGCATTTTTAAAAATAAATCTTTTGGCGCTTTAAGCTTGATACCGGTTGTAAGGTAGTGAAGTTAATGACTAACAAAATTGTCAATCTTCTATTAAATCTTAACTCTTTTTGTGGCGACTGCATGTTTTTGACGAATTAAAGTTATTTATTTCTATTAAAGGTACGTCGTTTAACTATTATAGCGCTAAATCGCGACAAATCATTGGACAAAATAATTACTATTCTCATATTTTTCTTCCCTTTTCTCCTTAGTAACCTTCCCTTTGTGTAATAAGTGGTAAGGAGAACATATAACTATCGATATTTTTATTGCTATCGTTCAACTCAACCATTGATGTAGAGTCTGAGCAGACCTCCACACCATATTTCATACTTCTCCAATTCTAGTGAATTTTATTTGATTTTTTTGTATCTTCTAGTATTTATTATTAATTGATTCCTTGTGTCCTAGTTGAGTTAATTATCAAATTCGTGTTACTCTATTCTACAATATGAATGATATATCACAAAGACGTCTCTCGTAAGTGCTTTTAAATCTATACCATGAACATTACAGTCTTCTTTACTTTAAAGTTTAAACCAAGCATACTCTTAACCTTTGAGTCCAGTTTCTGACATTACCGATGACAGTATTCATGCTTTTGAAAATCTGAATCGGTATTTTTTCTTTCAACCTTTTTAATTTTTAATCATCTTTTTACTCTTCTCAGGACCTCTGGAGATTCTTTATACATTGCCCTAGGTGTGCCTAAAACAGCAACACCAGAAGAAATAAAGAAAGCTTATAGAAAGGTAAGAACTATAATCATCATTAATAATTTATTTGGTAATCAATGCCCAGTTCTGTGGGTTTCATATTTGTGGACGACTTCTTTCAAAAATTCTTACTAATAACGTTTCTTTCTTTTGTTATTTTATTTTTGATCCACTCCAATATCATTATGGTGATCATCATGATTCCATTGTATGTTATATCATTGTCTTGCGTGCTATGATGGCCACAGTTGGCTTTGAAATACCATCCAGATAAGAATCCTGATAATCCAGAAGCTGCTGAGAAATTTAAAGATATTAACCATGCTCATCGAGTTTTAAGTGATCTAACTAAAAGAAATATTTACGATAATTATGGTTCTCTTGGACTCTATGTTGCACAACAAGTTGGAGAGGAATATGTACACACATATTATATGCTATCATCTGGGTGGTGTAAAGCTTTAATTGCAGTCACCAGTATTTTGACGTGCTGCTGCTGTTGCTGCTGTTGCTTCTGTTGCTTCAACTTTTGTTGTGGAAAGTACGTTGTTACCTTGTTACTTTTTAATCATTTAATGATCTCCAGTTCAAGACCCTCCATGCCTAATTTTATCATTGACCAACAAATCGATACTAACAAGGCTTCTTTTTCTCTATCCTCCGTTTTTCTCCCTTCATTTACCTACTTACCCTAAAATAAACAATTACCTTCACAGATATAAACCAAAACCACCTCCAGAAGATGCTGGTGATTATTCTAATCTTAAGGTAATTACAATATTTTTTATTTTATTTCAAATTAGTTCTATTAGAATTTAAGTAATTTGATCTTATCGTCCAAACGATTTCTATTTACATGAATGACATTCTAAGGTGAACCTAACCAACTTTTGATCTAATTAATATTGCAATGTTTTCTTATTTTTCTTTTCTTTTCAATTTTTTTTAAAAAAATTTACGTTATTGTTTCGCTATGATTGCATGGATTTAATTTGTAATACCCATTTCCACGCACGATTACCATGAATCCATTCTGACCAAAATTGAAACACCTTTAAAATTATTCATTGTTTTTTCCTACCCTATTTGGACTAACTTTTTGAAAATCAGGGGGATCAAGATGAAGTAAAACTAGAACACACTAAAAGAGTAAGTCTATCATAGTGTATCATGAATCATATTTTTCGCTTGATTTTTAATTCAATTGTATCTACTGACATCATATTGCATGTTCGATGTAGTTTGATGAGTTATTATTTGGTCGAAAAATCTAATCATCTTTGCCTAGCAAATTTCATCAGTAACTTATTATTGATATACATTTATAATTTCTAATTTTACAGGAGGAATTTGAAACTGATAGCGATGCTACCAAACCGGTGATTAACAAGCAACCAAGATCAGGAGCCGGTCAATCAACTGGACAACCATGGGATCCAGCTTCAGATCCATGGGGAGATTCCAGAAACAATCAAACACCCATAGCAATGCCTCCACCAGGCTCATCCGCTAATGAAAGAACAGGATTGAATACAGGTTACTCCAGTCAATATCAATCCTGGGATTGATCACATCATATTAACAATGGTTGATTCAGTTTTAAAGAATGAAGTAAATACTCTGTTGCTGTAGCTTTTTGCTTTTCTCTCTACCTTTTCACAACCTATTGATTCTTTTCGTCAGTACATTATCGTCTGTCTATTTTACCAATGATAATCTGCACTCGCATGTCTACAAGTCTGCTTGCCCAAGGATGGAGAGAAAGCTATCAAAAAATGACAACCAATTATAAACAGTAACTTTCTTATTATTGGACTTAAAGCAAAGACTGATTATCTTAAATTCTGAGTTATTTGTATTTCTCAGCATCTAAACTTTCCTCAACTCTTCCTTACGGAACAAGATCAGTATTGTAAGAAAAAGTCAAACTAACTACAATTACCCATACAAGTCACAAATATTTTGGAAATGGTTACTACTTATCGATTGAAAAGTATCTCTTTCCACTTAACTTTTTCCTTTATCAACTTTTTACTTAAAAGTTTGCGATATTATCATTACAAGAATCAAGAGCACCATCATCAAGGCAAATGATAACTCTGGTGGTAGTGGTGGTTACCCTTTTGCTTTTTGAACGTGAATAACACCATTTGTTTTCCTTCTTTATTCCTGGTCATTTAGAATGTCGATCTTGGAAATTATCATAAACTGTCACAAGAACTCATTTCCAAGATGACGATTAAGTAATTGTACAGTACAAATTATGGTAATTACAATCATAATATCAAAATAGATAGACACTGAGCAACCTTGCTGTATTTCATTTTTCGTTTAATGATCTAATTCCGTCTCCGGAATCCATGCAAATTATAATTGTGAAAACTAAGTATTTGCTTCCACTCTTTCATGATCATTAAGGATTTTTTCACTGAGTTTGTTGATGTCTTTTCATTTACAAATTATAATTTACAATGTTTTAAGAAATAAACTGTTAATAATTTTTATAACCATTGTAACTGATTTATTCATTTTTTTCTTGTTTCTAATTTGTGCAGATTATCTGCATGATTTGCTTAAACTGAATAATTTTCTGACAATTGATCTATTTACCACCTTAATGAGTGTCATTTTATTTAAATGCGGTTGTTTACTTCTACTGTCTTGTAACTAATGATGATCTCCAAATACGAGAAAAGTCGAAAGTTGATTAAATTTATTGAACATATTTTACTAGAAAACATTTTTTAATGATTACCCAATGAACTTGGTTGTGAGTGAGCTTCTCTTAATTTGAGTTAAAGAGAAGAAGAATAAAGAGAAAAGAGGAAAAAACACGGGAGAGAGAAGAGGAGAAAGGAAGATGAATTCTCGTAACGTGGATTTCGAGCAATTATTTTAGCTGAAATGAATTGAATTGGGATCGAAGTTAGCATTTATCACTTGGTTTATTTGGAGAAAGCCAGGATCCAGTTTATTTTTATAATTTATCCGATATAACGACTCGATTCAAAGATGTTATTTTTATATTTATAAATTTCAGACTTGACTTGACTTGACTTAAAAAACCAAGTGAATATAATTCTGTTTGACATTTGCCTGTTTGATTGACCTTTTAATTGTGAATTTTGATAGCCTTTTCCAAATAATTATATCTCGACCTTTTAGGGGCTTTATTGACATGATCAAGACCTAACCAAGGTTTAGTCCATTTGTCCGCTTGTCCAGTCTGGAGGGTATCTGAAAAGTAAAGGGTAAATTAACATAAATTTATCTATTAAAAGTTTTAGTAATATAAATATCTTACTCTGAATTGATTGAACTTGGAAATCATCTTTGCTAACAATATAATCATTATCTTCAGGTATATACTGAGGTTTGGAGCCTAGAATGATGGCAAATTTGAACTATAAGAAAGAGAAAGAGATTAATCAATTAGATTATTTCAATTGTAACTGTAATAACTTCTTTTTACAAATGATAAATACTTACTTTTTCGAATTCTTTGTCAGGAACATCTAACTTTTTCTGAATTCTTTCTTTCACAGCCGAGAAAGGTTCGCCCTGAAAATAAGATCAGATATTTGAGAGATTTAGCAAAAAAATATATCAATAGAAAGCAAAATTAAAGTCACTTGATAACTTACATTTCTCAGTTTAAGCAAAAATGGAGTGCCAAATGTGTGATAAACTTCCTTCTGAAAATGTGCCACAGGAATGAGAAAATCGCCACTTTCTTTAACCAGCTCATCCTTGGGTATCTCTTCAATTCTAAAAATTTTATTACCAACTGGATTTAAACATTCCAATTGTATGTCTTCGCCGTGAGTAGTTGTTATTCTGTTACTGGATACTTCTAATAATCGAAGTTGACCGCTACCATCTTCACTGGGCTCAATTTGTTTTCGTGCTTCACTCAGTAGTTCAGCAACAGTTCCATTTTTATTTGGATATAATAAAAGCTCTTTCTGTGAATTAAATAACGCATTTGATTAGAAAAATAAAGACAACAATGTCAAAGATGAAATTTACCTCTTCTTTAAGCTTGTTGTTGACCCATACACATTTAAATGGCTTTTTATTTTCCAACTCATTGACGCGAATAGTTAACTGTGAAAAAATATTTCATAGTTAGATTAAAATTATAATGAAAATTGGGAAAATTTCAAAGTTGAACTGATACTCACTAATTGATAATATAACTTTTTAGGCTGTCTTGGTTTATAGTTAGTTAAAATCTCCTGCAAGTTACCTTCATAATTACATTTCAATGGTCCACAATGACCATCTCGATAGCTGTAAAGATAATAAGTTATTTTAGTAGGGAAGTTACAAGGGAGTTAAATTTATCAATAAATTTACCTTTGAGGCCTGTAAAACTGTATTAAATATGGATCGCATCCTAATCTCTGGCCAAGCGCGGTGGCTATTTGATCATATTTCATTTTCAGAGATAACTCCAAAACAATACCCTGATCGTTTTGAAGCTGTTTATCACAGAAAATAACTTCAACTCTATTAAAGAGATCTTTAAAGTAGTCGGCAACAGTGGGCAGTTCACATTCAGGTCCTAATTTAAGATCTGACCGCTGAAAAACAATGATGTCTCCATCCATAAGTTCATCCAGCACTTTGTTAAGAGGTTGGTCTAAATCTTCAATTGGCTCAACCATATTAGGTTTAACTTCCTGAAAAAATAAGCCAGCAATGAAGTTTAATGAATTTATTATATTAAATTAAGCAAATAACAACGAACCTCATATAAATCGAGTGGAGTGTTAGGTGGAAAACCAGCTTTCTTATTCAAGAAAGGAATAATGTCTTTAGTCTTGGTAGTAGCAGGTAAATGGGCTAAACCACAGTAAGTTATAAATTTGTTCTTGGGATCGTACATTTTGAAGAAAAGAAGCACGTCACCTAAAAACAGAAAGATATGAGCAAATAAAAAAGAGTTTAGTGAGATAGGTAAAAAAATAAACACTGCAATAACCAACATACTTTCTTTGTCGATGCTTGGTAATGCTGCACTATCTGGATCAACCATTTCTAGAAAGACGTTCCATGGATTATTATTTTCTGCGATTTCGCAAATATGTTTGGTTGGATCAGCATCTATATCTAAATTAGTGGGACGTGAAGTTTCATTGGCTCTTTGAGTTATTGGCCATATTCTGATCCCAGCTTCAGGATATTTCATTTGCTCAGCGATTGTCGCTAAAGCTTCCTTAATAGTTGCTTGTTTTTTAATTTTAAATGTTTTGTAGAGAGATTTTTCAGGATCATATAGATCATTTCCTTTGTGTCCAATGAAGCTGTCTTCTGTGTATGCATTAATACTCATATAAAGGTGTGCTTCATTTCTTTCCTTTCTGCGTAAATTTTCTTGACGTTTCTCTTCTTGTAACCTTTCAATAAGCTGTTCAGGAATATCTTCCTCTGTAACAGGTTCCAAAACATCACTGTCTGTAAGGTGAAAAAAGATATTAATAGGAGATGATTAATAAGAAAACAAATCAATAAATCGCATAGAAAACATCAAATTTTCTAGTGAAGAAGAATAATCTAGCTCACCATCAGCAATGTAGACCAACATATAAGCGTTGGTACAATGTTTGACCGTCACATCATCCTCGTTGCCACCAAAATTGAGATCTATCGCTTCTTGTTTAGTACACCGGGAAACTACATCATCATCAAATTTACACCATTTACCATCGCCTTTAGGATTAATAAAAACAACATAATGACCTCCGTGATTATCACCAGAATGAACTAAAACAGCATGCAATGTGTAGTGAGCATGCTTAGGGGTTTGACTGTCCTCATCTTTTTGAAGATATTCGCTTAAGTCAATTTTCTCGTAAAATTCAAATCTGTGATGCAACAAAAAAAGATAGTAAATTATTAAATTAGATTGAAAATACCGATAGTATGAGAATAACCTACCTATCATTTATTTTAATATTAGTGTCTGTAACTGGATCATATTGAAAACGGAGAAGATGAAGATGAAGAACAGGAGGAAATGACGAAAATATAATGCCTTTTTCTGCCTCTTGGAGACCATATTCACCTGCGTCATACTTATTTTCGCCGTCCAGTAATTCGACAGAGATATAGTCTTTGAAGGATTCTTTGATATTTTTCTTTCCTTTGACATTCAATTGTATATCGTAAAAAGGTTCGACGCGGGAAGAAGAAAAATCTACATTCTTGCACCTAATAAAAGACTTCACGCAAAAAATAGTAAGAGTTAGTTCTTTGATGATAGATGAAATGATGTGATGTTAGATGGAAAAGAAAGCAAATGACGAGACTTACGATCATTTTGCCCTCAAATAGTTTAGGTATGGTTCCTTCAACACAAGTTCCTTTCATTTTGCTTTCCATATTATCTAGAAGAACTCTACACAATTCTTGAACATCGTGTTGCATAAATGAGTCTAGAGTTTCCCATCCGAATGATTTGGTTAGCTTTTTAGTGCCCACGGGTTTATCAGAAAATTGTAACTCATAAAAAACACGTTGTAATGCAAGGGCAACACTTTTAGAGGAATCATCACTTTCAGTTGGCATTTGGTAAACTGCTTTCCTAAGTTTATTTGTAAAAAAAAGGGTTTGAAGGAGCGAGTTCATATAGCAAGTTGCACCCTGATTTTTAAGTCCAACATATCCAGTGTGTTTTTTAGAGTCCCAACTAAAAAAGAAAGAGATGAAGAGTATGTTAATGATGCAAACTAGCAAAAAACCGATCATAGAGACAATAAACATACCTGACACCGTGAGGAGCATCGGCAGCAACCCAAACTTCCAAAATTATTGAATCTTCTTTGCAGTATCCTTTTTCTGGATCAAGAATATCCTTTGAACGGTTTAAAAGGCAAAAGGTGAAACATTAGAAATAGGTGTATAAATTTATCTTGCTACTCATGTGTGACAAAAAGTTGCAGTAAAGTTAATTAGAATCACAAATTATGCTTACATTCCAAGCAGCAAAATGACTAAAACCCCAATCGTTTTCCTTACTATAGAAAACATGCTGGATCTCTGTGAAAGGTAACAGAAAAGATATAAGAAAATTACAAATTATGGTTAAATAGGGATAATTCATGAATAGTCGTCGGACAGAATGATAAAGATGGAATTTGAAGGATTAAAAGATTAAAAAACGGAGAAATATGCAAAGAGGGATTCATTACTTCTTGTCAGGGGTTCCCCATCTTCGTTTTGATTTAATAATCGTAGCTCAGCTGTTGCATTACATGACCAAGTTCTGTTTGAGAAAATGATATGGAAACAGAATGGTTAGTGATTGTAAAGAGATAAAATATTGTACAAGAAAAAAATGGATGAAAGATAAAAGGAGAGTAAACAAAATGTCAGGTGAAGAAAGAAATAAACATGATAATTACGATGAATCTGAGTCTCCATTGCATTGTAAGAAAAATCCTAGACTCTTTGTTGGCTGACGATCTTGGGACTGATTAGTGCGAGGCATGGCCATGATTTTCCTTTAAAAAAGATAAAATATAGATTAAATAACAGAAGAAATAGGTGAAAGAATGAAAAAAAGATTGATTGGGACATTGCTGAGTTTAAATTAATAGCCAAGTCACAATACAGTTAGATTTACAGTAATGCCTTAAAAACTGAATAAGAAACGTTGTTTAAGGTCAAAATGTGTTAGACAACAAGTCAACGTAAAGGGTTTAGATAAAAGGATAACAATCAAAGGTGTAAAATGGTGAAATAAAAAACACTTACCATGGTAAATTACGGACATATGTAGGGGGGCTGAGCACAGTGTCTCGCATTTTACTGAAATTTTCAATTTTGTATCTGAAAGTAGCTTCAGAGCGAGCTTCATCTAAATCAGCCATGATAAATTAAATGAAAATAAGAAACAATTCCAATGAACAATTAACAATTGAAAAATAGTGTAAATCAACAAAGGCAAGAAATTAAATTAAACAAAACCGGTGCTAAATTGAAACAGAGAAGCTCAGCTCAGTTCTCACTCAACCAAGCTCACCCTCTTTCTTCCTCTCTTTCACCATCTATTTTTCTCTCTATCTTTCTCTGTCTCTCTTTCTGTCTCTCTTTTATCAGACTCACAAAGTACAGTCAAATTCAATATCAGACAAATAAACAGACGCAACTGATCCTCAATTAAAACACCTTATTTTGCTAATGGCACAATAAAAATACATAGACATTCAGTAGCTCACCTTCCTCCATCATTGGCTCGTAGTTAACTAATTGTGTTGACCGTGTTTTAAATACTTCACCAAATTTCATAATAACTCAACAACACAAGCAAATATTTTGAAGGTATGAAGTAAACCAGTTTAGATTATTTATTTATTTATTTAATGGCAGTAGATAGCGCTGTTCAATTGGGCGCGTTTTTCAAAATACAATCTTTTCTGCTTGACATTTCAATATAATATTATCGCTTATTAGTTATGCCATGGTTATGTTCATTATTATATTTGCTTTAAGATTTTAAATAAACTGGAAATCACATTTTTCGCTATTAAGCTTTGAATATATAAGTCAACAATAGCTTTTTTGGTCAATAATTCACCATAACACCCTTTGTTTTGTTTCTCGGGAACATGAATTGAACACTTATCTTGTTGAAAAGTGAAATTTTGTCCTGAAAATTTTCTAATCAGAAAAGAATCAACTTTTTCTTTGAATAATTTACAATAATCTTTGCTTTTCTGATGACCAGCCATTCGCTCTAACCGTCCAATAAATCCATCAAATAAAACGCATTCCCAGATCTTTCTGACGTCTCATGAATCATGGTTATCTTACTATTTCATAAAATGAAAACTTTTTTCATCAATAAAAACTGTCCTTGTCCAATCAAATCAAACTAACTCAAGATTTAAGGTATGACCGGTAAAAACCCAGAAACGTTTTTTAGAATTGAATTGCGTCAGTTAGACTAGACTTACAGGCACCATTTAACCGTTGAAATAAAGGTACACTTCTCAAGCACATCTTGTGGCAAAAAGAATTAATTTTGATAAAAAATCGCCAAGTTATGACCTTAAATGGACAAAGGCGTCAAAATCTGATTTTGCCTTTTCCCAAAAACCATAAATTTTTCAACTTTATACTAGGGCTTCGAAGAATCGAAAAATGGTGAAATTTGGTCTCAAAGTTATTGAAAAAGATGTAATTCTCTTAATATAACCCAACATAGATCAATTGAAAGGTCCAGGCCATCGGAAAAACTAAATTTCGTGGACATTTGATAAAAAAACGGGTTTTCAACTTTTTTAAAAAGACTTTTTAAAAAATGACTTCGATTTCGAATATTTCGAGCAATTGGCCTGAAATAAAAACATCAGCATCTCATAGACAGCAGTAAGTTGACCTTAAGACCTTTTTATCGCCAAAGGAGGAGGATACATAGTTTAGATTGTTCCTAAAAATTTTTCTTCATAGCTAGTTAAAAACATTATGAAAACCCCTAATAGAAGCGGTTCAATTGAATCTTTTTAATTTTAATGTAAATTTTGAATGCCCGTGTACTTGAATTATATCGCGTTTAAGATTATTTTATTTACAATGTTTATCGAAGTATGAAACCAGAGATCTCTATAATGACAATTCAAAACAATCTATTTACCTTCATAATCAACCAATTTATAATTTTTTAAATTTCACGTAAATCGAAAGCTTCTAAAGACAAATAATTTATTTGATAATAGTTCAGTAAATTGGTCACAATCAAATCAGTCTAAGTATTTAATGGGGCACTGAGGCCCATGAAAATACTGGTACAAAAAATTCGAGAATTGCAATTCAAATCTCAGGATTAGTTTAAGAAATTTTTTTTGGGTTTTTTAAATATAATGAGAATTGAAAAGTCAAGTTTCACGTCACATGTGAGAAATATTGAAATTGATTTAAAAAGGTGTTTGATTTACCTTCATTTCACATGATCAGATAGTTTTAAGTAATGATAATGATTTTTTTTTGGTTTTTTTGTTTTTTTTGTTTTGTTTTTAAATTAAATTGATTGCAAAGCAAAATTGGATTTTTTTTGTCTTTTGTCTTTTTTGTTTTTAAATGAAATGAATTTTAAAGATAAATTGATGAGCAGATCAGGTTAAGAATCAAATGAACTTTGTTCATATTAATGATCTTCTAATGTGTAAAGATGGACCAGCGCATCAGGAATAACGAAGTTGTTGATTGTGAGTGGCCTTTCGACAACAGGTTGTCTCCTACGGTTAAAAAGAAATAAAAATTAAAGTAAACAATAGATAGTAGAATAAATTTTGATACAGACTTTGGAATAATTGCGGGTTTCTCTGCCGACACTGATGCTTCTATCACCACAGAACCTTTGTTAACGTGTCCTAAATATTCGTTGGTCAATTCCTACAAGAAAAACAGATAATCAGTAAAAGATAAATCACTAAAGATATATACCAACCTCCATGCTTAATAAACTAGCAAATCCATAATCAGGCGCATCTTTATAATAGAAATGAGTAAATCCTGTTTCAAATAGAGACAAAGAAATAAAATTAAATTTTGCGAGTCTTTAGCATCGTGCCACAAAGAAAAACGACAAGAAAATACAGTCACTCATCCAAGATTATGAAAGCTAACTGGCCAAGATTACAAACAATATTGACTTGGACCTTAAATTAAGATTTCATCTTCTCCATGACCAATTGCTTTATGATATCTCTCAGAATCTTAAAGACTGTCTGTATTTCAAAATTGGAGTCGCTTCTCTATACGCAAGATACTGCAAACAATTTGATTTTCCGTGCTGTATTCAATTTATATAGTTGAATTGCAATAGAATCTTAAAATATACATTACTTTTACGGCGCGGAAGTCTTCCTGGGATATGATTCCAAATATCAATTACAACATTCGCATAGCAAGCCCAATTGCTGTGATTAAATACAAAACGTGAAATTGTTAAAGTTGCTTGAAAAGACACACTAAGGTAATTTAAACAGTAAATGCACTAACACTACAAATGTAAACTTGAATTTATTCAAGCCACCTAACCAATCAAATGTTTAAAATTGGAAACGTAATAGTAATTTCAAAGATCTTTCATATTCAAGAGTGAAATCAGGAGATAAAAGCGTTTCTAATTTCCCTCATTGATAGTAGAAATTCCAAGCAAGTCTTGAGCTTTTTTGTAAATGAATTATGAAACTAGATACTCACTCAGTCCCTTCAATTCCATAACAACGCAAAAATACTCCAAAATTTTTCGAAACATTCATTTCATTTGTCATTTTACTTTTTTCCTTAAGGACCGCCATTATCCTCCTGAAATTTTAAAAGATGATTAGTCTATTGTGATTAAATTGTGAAAAAATAACTCACCAAGGGATATTCCGAACATAAAATGTTGGACTGTATTCACGCTCTATTGTCATAACGTTATCAACTCTGAATCTGAAAAGAACTTGGCTTCGATCTGGTGTCAATCCTAAAAAGAAAAAATAAGATAACAGATTAAATTAATAGAATGAAATCTGAATGGAATCAAACTAAATTATACTTACGTTGACTGAATAAATCATAGTAGCCCGTCGAAAGCTCAGTACTATAGTAACTAGTTGAAATGATGGAAAATAAAAGCAGTGATTTCAGTTATATTTCAAATTGTTTTCACAAGAAAAATTGTCATATCACTCAAAAAGGGAAAAGCAATTTACCTGGGTGTTCTAGGTCTATGAATTATAATATCCGCTTCAAGCGTCATCTCATTTTCGACAATAAATTTCTTTACATTTTTAGCTGTTGCCTGAATGGACATAAATTTCATCAAAAATCACTTGTTATATTAGCCATAAATGTCAAATGAATCGAAACATACTTTCCAAGTAAAAAAATTGTCGAATCCATGAATACGTGAACCAGGTCTGAAGTAACAAAATTTGCCTGTTCAAAAATAAAATAAATCTATGAATAAATTTTGTTGAATAGTTGTGAAAGTGAAAAGAGGTCAAAAATAAACTTGAGAGTTTATGAAAGGATTGATTAAACAGCAGTCATTACTTTTCTTTAAATTATTGGCAGCATCTTTTCTGTGGACAAGGGTGAAATCGATATTGCTTTGGGCTATAGCTATTCTGTGTAAAATTAGAAAATAAAAATAGAAATTAATTAAATACAATAACAATGTCTTGATTCAGTACTTACTTATCATCTGAATCCTCATTGTAACCAACATAAAATCCTAAAATTTTTTTATCATCTTTGTCGGTGGTTTTAACTATAACACGGCTGTTATGAGAAGACAGAAGACAGTTAAAACTAGCTGTATTCACCTTAAGCAACGTATCAATACTAAATTGTTGCACTTAAAAATGTTCAGAATCAGATGTTTAATAAAAAATACTTACCAGGGCAAACCGTGTATAAACTCCACCGCAGTTGAGACTGTTCTCTTCAACGTTGAAACGTTTTGCATAATTAAACGAATTTTTCTTCTTGCAATCACTTCCTCAGATGAAGTTGGTGAAGCCATGATAATAAATGGACAGGTTAATAGTAGGGCCTAGAAAATAAATAAAGAGCAATAATTAGTAAAATAACAATAAGTAAAATAGGGACAAGTTGAAAGCACAGAGGTAAGATTTTGAGAAACCGTTGAGTAAGAGTGTGAAACTATCCATTGAGTAACTCTTTATATAACTGTGGTGCCATCAGGTGACCCTACAAACAAATTAGACATCAGCCAATTAAAAAACTTTTAAAAAATTTGCAACAATCAAATTAAATCTAAAAATGACAACCAAATGCTTCAAAGTTTACTTTAACGGTCAAAGAACTTCTTTACTCTTTGGTTTTGGTCGTTATATTTTGATCGCTCGAATACTGCAAGCAAAATGGCATTTATGACTGCTTAAATTTATTGTTTAACAAATAAAGCAAATGAAATAATTAAGTTTCAGTTCATATTTTGACCCATAACGATTAATTTAATTGTTTATTTAGTTGCTTTTGAAACCGCCTAAAATTTGTTTCCGATTAATTACACAAGATGGCAGGCAGTAACGTGATAACAAATTTTTTTTAACAGTTTTTTTTTAAATTTGATTAACAAATTATAAGTTCAAGCCAAAATTGCTTATTTTTGTGAATTGTTACATGTGTACCTCGAGTCGCATTTGAATGCCATGTACATCCAGCGCTTGAAACACAGTAACAGACCCTTCCACCCATCGGATTTATTCAATGTTTGCAAAGATAGCGTTCACTCAAACTCTTTACACTTTTACGTAATTGTATTTTTTCAATTGTACATCTTTAATACTCTTCACTAACTAATCAGATGGAAATAATAAGGATGATATCTGGAGCCTCTAGACTGGAGGAATTGAACAACAGCTTTACCAAAACCATTGACAACCCAAAAAATTAGGAAACTTACAATATCACAAACTAACCAGGACTTGAAGGAAGAACTAAAAAGAGCTTGTTCAGGTTGATCAGAAGAAAGACAGCGAGTACATTCGACTCAAATTCAAATCCCTTAAGCCTCTAATATTGCAATTTTTACTTAATCTTTTCTATTACCATGATTATGTAACCTGATTTGCACTGAGTTTGCATTTACGTCGAGTATTTTCCGATTGGACCCTGGATCCTGTAATAAGATGAAAGTGACATTGACTCCTAAACAATGTACTTTAAGGGTTTTGACCAGAAAATTGTAAGTTTTGTTAAATTTGGTTTGTTTTGATTTAATTTTCAATTAATGTCTGTATTTTCCTCATTTCTAAGTGTATTGTCAACGGCTGGATCATTGATTTTTAAGCGACGCAATCAATCAGGGTCAGGGTTATTAACTAAATAGTTACAAGAGCAACATTTTTAAACAGCATGTAAAGTGTACATTATCAAAGTGTGTAAAATGGAAAGTCAGAAATGGAATCAATCAAGAAAATCAAGGCCTCTTCTTCATCTTTATGGTTACCGTCTTCATCATTACCGTCATCTTCATTATAATCTTTCCGAGTCTTCATTTTGTGTCTTCTCCACTCCTATTGATGAGATATATCGTCAAGAAATTATTTCCCTGTTTGCTTATTTTTGTCAACAAGCTTTGCTCTGTTCAACTGTCGTTTTGTGTCTTCTTACTTTGGTTGACATAATTGACACGCTAACATACAAGTTGATTTCAGTTTCTTTCCTCTCATTTTGATTTCTTGCAAAAACACAAATTAGCAACCATCGAAGCAAGGTAAACTTGGCTATCAACAGAAAATGCTATCCTGTAATATATTGAATACATTAACTTGCAGAACTTTCAGTTTTTGCTTCAAGATTCAAGATGAGGAAGATGATAATGAAGAGGAGTGAATAGATTGACAAGAGGAGGGTGGTAAAGTGATAGTAAGATGATGGAAAGACTCAAGAAATAAAAGAATGAACAGAAAGCTGATCACCATCTTTATTTTTCTTCTCTCTCTTCTTCCATCATGACCTTATTCTTGAGGGTTCATCAGGTTGTAGCTTCAAATCACTGAGCGAACAGAATCAATCCTCCTTACAAGATTACTGGGCCTCGATTGAAGGACAATGATAAGTATGTGCATGGATATGGATCGAGCCTCATCAGCGGATCTGATATAAAGAGATTTCACAGAATCAAGTAGCATTTACATGATATAAGCATTGGACGAGAAGAAAGCTAAACAAGAGACTAAAATAAAGTATAAATCAAGCTTATAACCATGAGAAATGAAGAGATGAAGAAGAAAAAAAATTATGAAGAGAACAAGGAACAAAATCAAGTATTGAAGGAAGATAAACTGAAAAGGGATAAAAATTGAGTGAACAAGAGGGAAGAAGATGAAATGATGTAGCAAAAGAGGAGACAACAATTCAACATTGGGTAACAAGCGTTGAAATGATAAGCAATGAAGACAAACCAATGAGCTGATATCGATTATTTACAAGCTTAAGCTGTTAAGTCTGTTAAGACAGTCTCTCGATCTTCCTCTGGTCTCTCTCTTATCCCCTTCTCTTCCCTTTCATTATCATCTTCTTGTTGAGTGAAATTCCAATCTGGAATCGATTGGGATAAGAAATACAAGTTTACAATGCTGACGGTATAATAGATGAATATCGATGAGCCAACAATACAAATGTTCAAGTGTATCTCAAGTCCGGGTTAGGACCAAGTTAAGGTAATAAAGATAGAGTGGAGTAAAGATGAAAGATAGAGAAGGAGAAGGAAAAAGAGTGAAATGATAATTCATGTATCCTTGGAAATTAACTCGACAATCTCTGATTGACCATGGATTCCTATTGTTAAAAGCTTTGTTAATGAAATACTTTCAACACGCAATTGTCCGAATCAAAGTGTTTTTCAAGAGAGAGAGAGAGAGAGAGAGTTAAGATACATTAATATTTGGTACGAAAAAAATTGATTGTAAATTTTTAGTTGCCATTAAAAAAAAGGATTACATTGAAATAATGAGAAAAGAGAAAATTATTTCTCAGGAACTGAAAAAGATGACTTGTTGCCTCATGGGTTTTTTGTGATCATGAAATGAATAAGAAATTAAAAAGACAATAAATGGTGATAATGGAGAAGAGCAAAACGTAATATCACGATATTGGCATTGATTCCAGTGATTAAGAGGAAAGATTGGTTGGGAAATTAGTCTTGATTGCCAACATAAGTTGAGAAAACTCTTGACAATAAACTGTTTGATTTAGTTCCAGTCGGTGCAGTTCCAGATGGAGGAAGTAAACCTGTACATTTGTCTCCTTTGTAAGATTGACAGACAATCTCGGGTAATCTTGATGCAGCCAGACGAACCAATTTACGGCTAATTTCAACGGCTTCATCACCACATTTGGTTCGTAGATTGGAGGTTAAACAGTCATCGAAACGGTTAAAGGCACAACAACTGGTTGAAATACGTTTGTCCCATTGAGTGTCTGAGATTATTTCCAAAGCTGCTTTCAAGTCTTTTGTGCATTTCTTTGAATCCTTTCGTGATTCAGACATACATTTAGCGTGTTTCTTGTAATCTTCCCGTAATTTGGTTCCAGCAGTACAGAACTCGTCAGCAACCTTTTTACCTCCAGTTCCAAGGAATTCAACTAATTCCTTCTGAGATTCTGTGGCACATTTGGAGGTAAAGTTTTTGTGACATTCCTCAGCTTCACGGATAAATCCACATTGTCGCTCAATTTCCTCGTCAGTTCCAGTTGTTTCTATTGAAATGACAAAAAATTAACATCAATTGGTCATTTGAAAGTGAAAATAGATTTAAATGAATAAGAATGATGAAAATGATTTATGATATTAGACTTGATATTTTATTGTTGGACAGTTTTCCTTCATCATAATTAGAAATGTAAATGCAAAGATATTCAATTATACCTAAACCTGTTCAATTTGTCAACTAATGTCTTCTCATCGGCAAATAGTCTAACCTTGGCTATGAATCATATTGGTGATTGAAATTCAATGGGAATATTTATTAATAAATTGTTCGTTAACATGTCAGACTGAAGATAAGCCTTGATAGACCAAGACTGAAAACTGGAAACTAAAATGGGAAAAGGGAATCAAATTGTGCCTGAAGGATCAATTTGATATTATTTAATTTACCACTCAAACATTTAATAATAGTTTAAACACTTATTTCCTCAACATATAATATAATAACATGGTAAACTTGAATATGTGTCTGAAGCAATTTCACATGTCTAACGATTCCTATCCTTTTCAAGTCACGGTGTGACTAAAAAATAGTAAACAAAGGAGTTATGAAATGTGTTGATCAAGAAGTGTATAATTAACTAAAAGCTTGATTAAGGATTGAAAAGTATTGGTAAGACAGTAAAGATGAAGCTTGAAACGTTTGAATTTAGATTTCTTGAAACAATCAAAATTGGAGTGTTGAGATTGAAAATGAATCTAATTGCTGAAACAATGTTCAATCTGAAATCAACAGGGAAAATTGGAAAGTAAATAACAAAATAATCAAATGATATTAATAATAGATTTCAAGTTTTCAAGGTAAATTTTTTTCACAAATCTTCGTTTTAGGACAATTCAAGGAAAACGACTCATTAAACAATTATCAGTCCAAACAGGACAAGAATATTTTCAATAATTTTTTGGACAATCAATATTATTAGATCTTACTGACAATCTTTTAAACATACATTCAAAATGATCATAGCAATCAAAGTTAAACAAACAATTGATTGAGTCTGATTAGCTGAAGTTGACTGATTTGAGGCTGAAATTGATCGGTTTTTGTTTTCACCAAAAACATGGTTTAATCAGATTCTTATACATTTGATTGTGGTTTAATGTTCAAAAGATTATAATGATTCATTGAGAGTTGACAAAGGGCATAATCATAAACGAAGTTGCGTCGCACTAATGTTCAAATTAATGCCTTTTTGTCTAATTGTTGTGTTAGCTAACTCAAATAACTGTTAATTGAATGACGGAATCACATTTTATCATTAAAATATTAATAGTGAAATTGTTGTCAATTGTTGTTTAAAGGTGTTTATGCGTAAAGTTACGATTCAATGATTATGAATTGTGTGCTTACCTGAAGGATTATTGGTAAAAACCAATAAAGTTGCAGCGCAAAGATCAAGTTCTCGAAGGTGACATTGTTGACTCTCAATTTTCCCAATACCTGAATATGTTGAGAGATAAGTTAAATAATCAGTTAATGTTAATTTAAAGCGATGAAATAAATAAATCAAAGAAAGTTCATCACAAATAAACAAGACTTGCCATGACCAAGGGAAGGTTATCTCAATAATACAATCTTGTATTTTACATATCAAAAGCTTATCAAATGAATTAATTAATTTTTCTCATATTGATTGCATTGACATTGACCATAACCTAATTAATATACGATTAAAACTGGAAGATGATCACAGTTTGATGAAAATCAGCAAAAAAACTGGTTAAAATGACAATTTTCAATAATCATATTCAATGTCAATGGAAAGCAAGACAAATTGTGATCATCTGATGGATACAGAGGAACAAATTGTATCACAGTTTTACTGTTAATTGGTGAAAATTAAAATAGAGATTCTCAAATAGCAACAATTTGAATTAAATATAAAATAGATTAAGTTGCGATGAAAGGAAATTAAAACGATAGGCTCAATGTTAGCAAGGTAAAGGGTAAACAAGATACTTACATAGGATAGCGAGAATGGCTGTAATACACAGAAATTTCATGTTGTTTAACTTGATTTATTCACTGATTTGTTACCGCAAATGATGAAGTTAAACTGTTGAATGGTTGAATCACCAGAATTTTGACACTGAACACTGTAATGATTGAATAGTTAATGGTACTGAAGTGGTAAAAAAAGTGAAAATAGATTGCAACTTTAAAGGTAAACTCCTTTAAGACTGTAACAACATTAAAAATGTGAAAGCATTAATAAATTAAACAACGATTCGCAGCTTCAAGACCAGCTAACAGTTTGACGTCACTTAATTGTAAATTATTCAAAGCTAAACCCATTATTTCCACTTTCCTTTTCAAAACAACCCTCCTGGACACTCGTCATAATTGCCAACACCATCAACTCTTCAATCACCATCTTCACCATCGTTAAGTCCTGAAAGCTGACAGACAATTTTACTATGGATTCAAGGTTAGGCCAATTCATTTTTTTGATGACAACCCTTTTGTTTAAATCCTTATAATCATTACAATAGTTGCTATTAAATTGTAATTTTAACGATATTTTAAGATTTTGTTTATTCCTTTCAAATCAACTGTTTTATTTTGGTCTGTTTTCACAGTGTGAAGGTTTAATTTGATGGAAACGCAAAATCAAAGACATCTTCAGTTCATAGTCTAATGAATCTACGGAACTGACCTAAATTCCTTCAGAATTTTATCTTCTCCAAGTTTTTCTATTATTTTTATGAATGTATGTTTGACTACCTAATGGATGGCATTTTATTTGATGACGTTCTGATTTTATTTTGTTTCTTTGCTAATGGGCTTCAAGCAAGTTTAATGTTGCCAAGACTTTCAACAACGAGGTGAAACAGTTCTCTTTTTTTCAGGTTCTGTCTCATCAAAAATTTGGCTCATGAATTTGAGTTACATGAATTCAAGTCTATTTCACTCTCTGTTTCAATTTTTCACTTTCATCTTTCCCCCCTTTCATGATAACTAGTGAGGGAAGAAGAAGGTAGGAAGAGAAAAATAACGATCTTATGGTTAACTTGGTTGTTTATTAAGTTTATCATAATTTTATTTTTGTATGATGATGTTTGTTTTTCTGGGACACAATTAGATTCAACAATGGACAATCTAGATGCGAAATTAGTACCAAATCTTTTCTTCTTTGCTTTTCTTTCGGCAACTTTCACTTGGTTTTGACTCCTCTTTACAAGACAAATAGAGGACATGACGGTAAGACAAGATATACTCAAATGGGTTGAATCCACATCACTGGCGGTGATCGATGGCAAGACAATGAGAAAAATGTCAAAGAAAATCTAGAATCCAGAAAATATAGTAAAGGATAACGAGGAGAAAGGTAGAACAAAGAAAGTTTGATGAAGGTGAATAACAACAAGGCGATGATGATTTTCTTCCTGCAGATCATTACTCCTTGTACCTTAACCTTCAGTCTTATCAGATGCGACAGATTTCTCCTTTTGTCCAGCAGCCCATTCTGGTTTCTCCTGTGAGTTAGTCATGAAAAAAGAGAAAAAAAAGGAAATATAATCAAAGGATAAAATAACGCCGTTCTATGCAAGATGATCCATGATTATTTACCTTTTCCTCTCTATCTTTGTCAAGATCGTATTTCTTGATTTGTTTAAGGCCTGATCGGTAGTCCATTTGGGAAACCTTGGCAGTGAACATACGAATCTTCTCCATTCTAGAGACATCAATTAGAAACAAAATGATTAGTATTGTATTATATTTAACCTTAACATTAACTTACTGTTGGGCAGTTTTGGAGACTTTCTTTAATGGTGGCTTGATGCTGTTTGAATGGACAAAAAGACAAAAAAATTATTAAAAGATGAAAATAATGATAACAAAATCGTATGAGTCCAAGAGAAACATACAATCTTCCTCTGACATCGTTTACTTTGGCCATCAATTCGCGAACCTGATTTGTGAAGATCAAATTAGTTAGCAGTTCTTTGATTAAAAATGAATTGGGTTATAAAAGAAGCAGACTTACCTCGAAATCTTTCTTTGAAACATCATATTCAAGATCATATTTTTCACTTTCAAGTCTACAAATCCTTTCGTAATACTCTTTGATTGCAGACTGAAGTTGAGCTAAGATTGAGGAAAAATCAATCAAAAATTTGAAAATTAATTACACATGATTGGGCCAATAACATATCAATAAATCACAATGGAATGATCTATTTTAAGCTAATTTGGGGTTTCACGTCAAATCAATCAAAATATATTTACATGGTTTTTTCAAACTAAATATTGGTTACCTAACCATTTTATTGTTTAAACTTGATGATTGTCAAGACTAGACAATTCATTATTATTTTGCAGCTAATTATAACCATGATAAAAATAAAGATGGAGGAAGAAACAAGCTTGTCAATAATTAATCATTTTCATGTCAATTCAAAGATTAAATCATTTAGAGATAAAGACTTTTGACAAATTGATGATGACTGGGAGTACACTGATTTTTTGACTGAATTGACTGTTTACATTCAAAATCTTTGAAAGCAGAAAAAGCATTCAACTAATCAACCGATAAACAAACTTGAAATCAAAAGGATGTTCATCGTTAATTCAATCGTAAGCTCAATTGCTGATTTCAGATTTTCTTGAAAGTAAAGATAAGCCACTATTTAACAATAGTTACAGTGCGAGACTAACATTTATTTAGACATTCTACTTTTGAACTATTTACTGAAATGAATGAGAGAATTTTTTGAAGTGATTGTGTTAATTTCAACATTGATGAACATTCATCATTTCATTTTGGCAAATTCAGTAATTTTGCTCCTCTGCAGCTTTTCATGTTGACTTTGAGCTTTTTCAATGTGAATTGACTGTATAATCGTATTAATTACACAGAATCAATGTTCCATTGGTAACACTTGTCTAGTGATGAGACTAGATTATTATCAGATTAACCATGATAACTGTAAGAAAAATGTGAAACCTGAGATGCTGATGGAGGAAACCTGATTCATTTTTTAACAAAGTGAACATACATATTATAAAGTGAGAAATGGCATATAAATGAATTTTTTTTTCATGTAATTTTATTCACTCTTGACTTACCTTCATTTGCATCTTCCAGTCGTTTGGGTTCACCAGTTCTTTCTCGGATAATCTTTCTTCTTTGCTCAGCTTTTCTTTCTTGCTCTCGTTTTAATTCCTCAGCGGCTTTCTTTCTTAATAAATTTCTGAGCTTCTTCTTTCTGGCTGGAGTCATGAATCCCTTCTTCTTTTTGGTCGCTGCCGCTGCCTGTTCAAGACGAGCTCGAACCTCGGCCTTCCTCTTCTCTTTGTCATCCTTTGAAACACCAATGGAAATATCGGCATCAAAAGAGGAATTGGAGATAAATTGAATATACCAAAAAAGAAGCACCAATTGATTTACACAAAACAAGTCAAAAGAAACCAAAGATACGGATAAAGAGAAACCAAAAACACCAACAGATAACCAGAAAAAAGCCAGACGATAAAATGACAAAGAGGCCAAAAAACGGTTAATAAGACAAAGGTTGGTGATTAAAAAGTCCACAAAAAGCAGTTGGTATCACATTGGTAAGCAAATCAATCACCAGGTTAAATGGGAAACAAAAAAAAGGAAAGATGTGTGAGCAATATGTCAACCAAATCAGGCTTAACTTACCATTTTGGTTTATACTTTTCTTATTTGTTTAGATTATACAAAACAATGGATTGGTGAATAATATCGTTAATTAACTAGTTAAAATAGATGAAATGGTGATGCCGAGCCGAGGATAGAGTAAAGACAATTAGACAATTCTTGCAGATAAAAAGGAGAAAACGAAAACGATGATGATGGTCGGAATGATGCCAAACTCCTTTTCTTCTTATTCTTCTTCTTCATCTCTGTATATGAATATTTTAATCTTGTAATTAAGATTGAGTGAGTTGAAATCTATTCTAAGGATTTTTTCTCACATTGGGCCAACAAACATATCTTCATCATCATCATCTTCTCACCGTTGAGTTTCCCCTGTAAGGAAGATGATTAAGGGGAAGAGAAAAATTTTTAATTAAAATGTTCATCAGTTGAAATCAACAATTCTCATGAGCCAAAATAATGGATACTCTTTGGTTTGGATTTAAAGGTTGATTCAATCCACTAGAATCAACCGGGAACAAGTGAAGAGATTAAACATCATCAGTTGCCAGGAATTATCATCCATTTATAAACACATATTCATTCAATTGTGTAAATAATTGTATAGCTAAAACTATTTTAATAGTCATCAACAATTGTAATCAACAAAAGCTAGTCCATTTGTGAGATAATTAACTTTAAAACCGGGTTAAGAGTAGATTTACGTAGACTTCTTATCAACTCCTTTTTCCCCATCTAACGACAATAGAAAGCCAAGATCAAAATATTTGATTGTTATTCAATTGAAGTCGATGCATAGCCCATCTGATCTTAATTTTATATTGTTAAATACAATTTAATCTTACAAGAGAGTTAATTTTATTTTGTTTAATCTATGAACATATTTTATGTGTAGCTTTTCAAGGAGTTTTTTGATAGATTTTTGTTCAACCGATAAAAAATCAATTGCAGGTTGATTTGTTTTTTTCATAAATGAGATTGATTCATGGTGATTGGTCAAATTGTAATTCTTATTTGAATTAATATTAATGTCAGGTAATACAATTTGATGAAATTCAATAATATTTAAATAAATCTTGTTTTTGTATCTTTACCAAAAGTTTCTTTGAATCTCACATCTTCCAAGAAACGATTTGATCGTATCTAGTAATACGATTATATACACAGAAACGAGATCATAGCAATCAATTTAATGTTACTTTGCAGTTGAATTGACTGAGTGTAAGCTTTTAACTACGTTATTTAGTTATTATCAAGATTATTTACAATATAATATTGCATCATTATATCGTTAATATCTCTTTGTCTTAAATCCAATATCTCAAATTGTTGTCTTGTTTTGAAATTTTTAAGATAAAATCTGTGAAAAAGCGAACACATTTCAAGACTTAGTTGATAGGAATTCATTTCTATTCAAGGTACAGGGCATTGAGAAAGTTTCTTGGTGTTGGATTTGGAATGTTGCTTGAAAATGAGGCGGTTACTTCAAATAAACATGATAATAAAATCATATTGAACTAATAAATTACAAAAAACGAATTATATCTGCGCATTGATGGGGATTGCTTTCCCTCTCTAGAATCTTTCTTAGCACCCTGTAAGTGAAATTAACAGTTTTCACTTTTAAAATGGGCATTGCACTCATTAAGGTATGTCTTTGTTTCTTTTCCTTTTGATGGCTTACAATCAGTTGATCAATCCAACAAAAAGCTTATTTGATTAATAATTCTAAGAAAAAAAACAATATTGTATTCAGTGTCACATTGGCGCGGTAAATTGACTTTGATATAGATGATTTGCTTCTTGGAATTGTAAAGTTGGGTGACAAAATTTGAGTCAAAGAAGAAAAAAAATGATGTGCAAATGTGTATTTAGTGTGTGTGGCGATGATGATCATGGTGTTGTCAAATTTTATGTCATGAGTAGTGTTTAGTGTATGATAATACCCAGCTAATAAGTATCACCCACGAGTGTCCAGTAAAGCACTTTACTTCCTTTTTACAGCTCATTCTCTCTTGCCTTGACTGTTGGCTCGACATTTTCAATGCTTGAGATTGAAGCATAAATATCCAAGTTGAACTTGGCCTACTTTTGTCTGCCATTTTTGTCTATTCCAGCTTGAGGAAAAGATTTACTCGTAATTATCTTCATTTTTTTTCATAAAACTTCACTATTTTTCAGCGTTGCTCTCTGCTGGCGATTTTTACGTTGCAACATCCAGGCTTCCAAATGCTCGGTGATTGCCTCTGCTGTCATGTCTACTTTAACGTATGGATTCTTTGGGTAAGCTATATCATTATGCCATGAGCGATAATGTTTACGCATGTGATTCGCATTTTGGCGTTCCAAGTATCTACATCCCATTTGTATACAACATTTAACTATTTCACTGTCTACGATTGGACGTCTAAATCTTCTCAAAACCGAGCTTCGTTGGTGTGAAAGGTCTTTCACAGAGGCACCAATAGGCTCACGATTGTTGAGATACGACTGTATTGAGTTGCCGGACAGATCAACCTCAATTTCTTCTTCTTCATCGTCATCTTCATCTTCTTCAATTTCATAGCTATCAGCGGTTATCTGTTCCTCGACGTATGAATCATCTTCAGGGTGAAGCTCAAGATCACGTCCCATTTTGAATCGCATTAGATGATGATTATTCATATCATTTTCTGTCTCTATTTTTCGCTTACAGTTAGAAGAACACTTATCACTACCATCGTTGCCATTACTTTGATGATGATGGAGGTGATGGTGGTGGTGATGTGAAGATGAGGTGTTGGTCTTGATAACGGATGGGGTTGTTGAAGATGAAGTTGATGAAGATGATAAGGAAACTACTGGTGCTGCAGATGGTGATGAGGTACTATTTTGATTAGAATAAGAATGCTGATTTGTTGCCAGGGGTATTGAAACACTTGGAATGTTGTTAGTTAACATCGAGGAAGATGATCCCTTGATGACTCCTGCGGAACGATTTGTTTTAGCTTGATTGCACGAGGATAGATTTAAATTTAATGGTCCTTCTTCTGTGGATAATTCACAAAGAGAACCTGAATAAGAAGGCTCATTGAATTTTGCAAAATTGTCCGTAGTTTCTTTTACAAGTAAATCATTGACCAGGGCAAGACCATTTCGATCAAGAGGAGGAGGTATGTAGACAATTTGATTGATTTTGTGAATTGTACTCTCCAATCTTTCTGATTCATTTTTATTGGCAGCAACAATCTGATCAGATGAGGTTAGAGCTCCGATAACTTCACTGATGGTAGCCAATTTTTCTTCATAAATTTTATTATTACGAAAAAGCATCTTCTGGCGGCACCAAAGTTTATGAACAAATAGCTCCAAACAGTTCATATACAAACGGCCATACTCGTCAAGTTGATTGTAAACATAATCACGCCTCTCCTCGGGGTCTAGATTCATCTTCTGGGTAAACTACCAATTGGACACTGACACGCGAAATCACAGAATGAAACGGGGAAATAAAGTAGAAATGAAATTCACTTTGGGTTTCCGTTCAAAAATGTGATTGCAATAAAAAAGTACCTAAAACAAGAGAGAAAGAGAAATATAACGATTGTATGTGAGAGAGAGTGTGATTATGTAAGTATTTGGGAAATGATAAGAGATAAGTGAATGGAAGATAAGGAAAGAAAGCAGCACTGAGTAAAAAAAGATGGTGAGTGAAAGTGCTTCAAACGAGGATAAAAAAGAAACGATGGAAAATGATAGCGAAAAAATCTCTTGAAGATACGGAAATCAGAAAGTAAGAAGTAGGATTCAAACCATCACGCTTGCTTGCAAGTGTATAGAGGAAATAACATATAGTTGATTGTATATCAGCTGGGCAATGAGATGGTCATTGCCATTGATCGCCACAAATTATGGACGAGAATAACAGTGTCAGACAGACAGTGGGTTTAAGCATTAGACAAATGAAGAAAGAGAGGGAGCCAAATAAAGAGAGGATAGATGATAATGCGAACGAGACGGTTTAGAACAAGAACCCAAATAGATGAAGCAAGTAATATAGACAGACAAGAAAGAAAGCAAAGGACACCTTAATGGAGAGGAAAAGACAGACATACAGAATAGATGTAATTGAAGAAAGAAGGCAATTTCAATACAGGCACACACAAATTGGAGAAAGAAAAAGAAATGTGAGTGTAAGTGGGAAAAATTGAAACAAATGGAAGATGAAAAAACAATAATGCTGAAAGTTGAGGATTGAAATGATCCAATAATAAGTTAACAACTTACCTAAGAAAAAGGTAGCATGAATAGGTGGTTGTGAAAGGTAGATATTGGAAGAAGAAGATGAGAATGATGGTGAAGAGGCAGAGGTAAAGAGGAAGAGAGTATGGATAGATCAGTATGAGTAAGAAATAAAGTGAGGGAGAGAGAAAGAAACAGAGAGGCAAAAAGAGAGACAGAAGGAGAAAGATTATCAAAACAGAATGTGGAACAATTTTACTCTCAGTATTATTGAAAACCAGAATAATGAAATATTGTACATAAGACTGGTTGGTAACCAATAGTAACCATAGTTGAATCAATTGATGATTGTTATTATAAACACCGCACAATGTAATTTAACGAAGTTGATAAATGAAAGATCGAAAGACGATCAGGATGAATGTTAAAGAGAGATAAAATTGAGGCAAGAAGATACGAGATGAGCAGAGACACGCAGACTACTCGGAATATATGGACGATCCCCAAGTCAGCTTATTCAATAAGCTCTGCTCAATCTAAATAAAAGATGCTTCTTATGAATATAAAGTACAGTAATGGTCAGTAACTTTTTGCTTTTGTGAGGTCTTATCGCCATTATTTACCATTAGGATAACATTAAGTTAACAAACAAAAGGTCAGACTTTGTTAATTTTAGGTATCGCCATCTCAAACATGTTTAGTTTCAAGAGATAAGGAAAAAAACAATGTAATAGACAACTGGACAAAATAAAGTTCGGTATTATGTGTACTTTCATTTACTGTTAGAGAACGAATTTTCCGATTTCGTTAACTTAGGATGACAATTAGTAAATGCTTACCGGGTTAAGCCCCAAGACTATCCCATCCTCCCTTCCTGAGGGATTCCCAGCTAAGCTGGATAAAGCCAAGAGCCTATGGCTAGGTAAATCACTTACTGGATGGTGTCTTAGCCGATCCACAACAGTTAGAAGTCAATTTAGCCCTGACCACTGCTTTAACTGTTTTATATCAATTTTTCATTGTAATCGTTTTTAAAAACATTTATTTTTTACCTGAGGTTAGTTGAACTAAATATGAACCCAGAATTGAGATTATACTTGCCGTTTATTCAAGATTTTATTGTAGAGTGATCCACACCAATAAGGTTATTTGAAGAAGATCTAAATTTCAGCAATTTATTCGTTTCCAACTCTATCTCTTATTTTTTCTGTTTAATCATCATTATTTGTTCTCGGTGAAAAACCTTGTTTTCTCGTGTTAGAAAATTTCTAACAAACATTTCAAGTGTAACTACACTTGTTATCACAGCTTCAATGTAGTGCAATTAATGTTACCAGACAATATCAAATTGGAGATAACTCGTGTATAAATGGCTGCTAGTAACAACATCGCATCCATTTAATTTAAACAAATCAAACAAATTTTCACTCAATTTTCTTAGCCACAAATCGTCTCAATTTCATCATCAGTTTACCATGTAAATGTTGAGAGTTGACTTTTTACAATTAAATTTTTCTTCGAAATCAAAAGTAGAACAATTGGCTGTTTAATTATTGCTGTTATCATCTAAAACTGTGATTAACTGTTGAGATATTCCAGGAGCAAAAATCCAGGTTTTCGCAATGAAATTTCACATGTAACAAAAGTATCATTTGAGTACTAATGTTACCGATAATCTATCTTTTTAGTCATCATTTAGCCTAAATGAAAAAGCACTTCTCAACATCTCAACATTAATGACTAACTAAAGCTAGACTGATCAATTTGATGGCAAAAATCAGCCTCAAGTTGAACAATTTGACTATCTTATGAAGTTACAAAATGGGCGCACTCAATTAAGCTATTCAAATTATTAATTATTGAGACTCCCCAACAACATCACTTTAAGCTTTTTGCATGTTGGGAAAATAAATCATTTTATTCCCATTAACACTTGAGTTCATCACGAACAAATTATCATCAAATGTACTCATCATACTTCTAGCTAATAAAAGATTAATCGATAACACAATAAACGGTTAAAATAGATTAGCTAAACCTTGTCATCATTGTTCAAAATCAACCTGCTTCAGATCGCTTTGGACTTGCAAAATTATCATGACAACCAAACCTTTCAACAGCCAACTTAACACGTGAACCTTAAATACATGATTCAATTGAGAAAATTGAAACCAAAATAAATTTGTTATTAATGTATTTCAATTGACTATGAATTGCAATAAACCTTCCAGTTAATAGCAAAGTTATCCATTTGAATAATCCCTTTCACTCCTGAAAGTTGTTCACTTTTGTAACAATAGGTGACACTACCTACTCTGGTAAAAACCGCCATTCAATTGCTGTAAAGCTTTTAGTTTTTAATTTAATTTATTTTTTGAGTATTTTAATTTACTTTTGAATGTTTACAGTGCTTTTGGTTTCATCAAAAATTAAATTTTCATTTAATTATGTCTAAAACAGTCAAGGTAAGTCTTTCTAGACTTTTGCAAGATTTTTCTCGCAATAAATCAATCCATTCGACTCATTGTTTACATTTGACATTCACAAGTTTGATTCAATTCAAATTCCCTTTCACTTTCTAAAATAAGTATATGCTTCAAAATTCAAAATTTTAATTCTTCTAATTCTCATGATGATTGAGATTTTACAGTTGATTCCTGAACAAGTACTATCAATTGATCTAAATTGGTTTCTCGTTTTTTGGTGTTTTCATTTTCATATGTTTTAAAGCGTCCAAGCTTGTGCTGTGATCTATACATCAAAAAGTCGACAGAAGCTAATCATTTACAGAATTAGCTTTTAATATCAGTTTATATTTTAAGTTATAATACTAAAATGTGTATTTCATTACAAACTGTGTTTCTCCTCTCGATCTTAATTATAGCAATAGTTACAATACAACAGTTGGAATCAGCTAAATTACATATTCCCAATGAACCTGCTTCAGGCAAATTGATATCGAGCTTATGTTCGCAATGGCATGGTCAAGTTGATAATATTGCTTTCTTAATTAAACAATTGGACCCATCATCAGTTATTCGCATTGCCCATCAATCTACAGCTGATCTGTATGACATTTTTGAAAAAAAAACTTATGCAGGAAGTGGAAAAGAAGAAAAAAGGAAAATCAAGGAATCAATTAATTTCACATGGATATGGAAATCCTAATTCTCCAGTTTAACTTCCATCAAGTGTTGAATATATCGCTCCTGTTTCTACTCCATATTCAATTCCATCGACTACTGTTAAATATATTCCTCCTGTGACTAGACCATATTCAACTAAAACGACTGCTGTTAAAGACACCAAGCAATATGAACCAACAAACACACCGATGATGCCATGAAGGAAGCTCCTTTACTCTTTGGATAGATGGCTGTAGTTGCATTGTCTCAACAAGATCTTAAAATCGCGGCTTAAATTAATAGCTGTTTTATCATCCAATATACTGGCAATATTGTGACAGTAATTGTAACATTGAGTAACTTCAACAAGTTATACGTTTATTGTGGCATTATTTTGTTGGCTCAAGAATTATAAACAATTTAATCGACTAAATCAGCAATTCATAATTTCCAAGAATTACAATTGTAACAAAGTACTTGATGTAGACAAGGATAAATTGAGTGGTAAATGTAGCAATGCATGATAACCAGACGGATCTCCAGTGAAAATATCTTATTGGTAATAAGATATTAGATTAATATCAAAGGATCAAGAAATTGACGGTAATTATCAAAACATTTATAATTTACAATTAAGCTAAAGCTACTTGCAAAGATAATCTTTGTAATTTTGAAGACTCATGAAAAAAATACAATGTTAAAACCATATTGAAAATGTTTTACCAAGCACCTAATGTGCAAATTATGAAAAGTAAAATATTAACCCTAAATATGCTTTTTAATTGGTCAATTTGTAGCTTTTAACTTAAATATACAGATTAATCATATTGTATATTAATTATTGAACATCGAGGTACAAATTAGTCTCACAAAATTACAGATATTAGATAGTAACAGTGATACAAAGGTAAAAAATAGACAATCGAGACAACCTTCTGTTTCTATTAGATACTAATGGTTACTAATATACTTGTTTCTGTGCTTTTCTGTGTTTTCTGTACTTTCTGAGAAAGTACAGAAAAATGTAATTATTGTTGAAATTAGCTGAACTGATTTACAGATATATAATTAGTTATCGCCTTCCAAGCAAGCAACCAACAAAAACCATTGGTACAACTGTATGTTAAGTTGAAACCAGTGAAACAGTGAAAAAACAAGCCAACGTCAAAGTCAATTAAATTTAAGTTGAAGATGAATTAAAAACTAATCTATTTAAGTTACAAAAAAAATATAATTAAATGCAATTCCCATAGAAGTGAATAAGTGAAAAGGCAAAATGGCATAAAGATGAGAAGCAACTGATTGACTTAATTATACAATTGTAACTTCAACTAAAACCATTTGGTGTTTTAGTAACAATCCTTTTAACCCGATAATTAAGAAAGCAAATTGTCTTGTAGATGATAATCAGTTAAGGAAATGGTTTAACAATAATGAGAAAGACAAGACAATTGATGAATAATGTATAAATTGTGTATACAAATCAATTGGCTCAAGTGTTAGGCCTAACAATGGTTTTACCTTTAAACATGAAGAAGATGGCTAAAAGATATTGTAGTTTATGAGTTTATACCCTGAGGATGTTAAAAGGAGGAAGGTGAAGGTTTGAAGAGGCTTTATTACTCATATAGACACACAGTGGTCAGTCAATAGTCCACAATGGTTACCTTTGTAAGGAATTAGTCGAAACATATGGTCAATCTTAATGGCATTTCCTTGGATCCATAAGAAAGGAAAGATTCAACTGATTAGCAAATTTTCAAGTAAAGACATTGTGAATAACTTTTCTCTTTTGCTTTTTTTTTCTTTCTTCTCTTTCTTTCTTTCTCTTCTTCAGCTTTACTCCTTTGGACTCGCTTGTCTCATGGTTATTGGTCATTACAAAGGATAAAAGTTCAGATAAAAATCAGGTAAGATTCAAAAAAGAGATAAACAAACAAACAATTTCTAACAATATTTTTTCCTTTCCTTTTCTTCTAGCTTTTTACATTGTATTTTTATATACATTATATTGTTTGGTTATCAGGTAAACCTGACTGGACAACAACTGATCAAGTATAATCAAGTTAATCAATTGTAACAATGAGTGGAAGACCAAAAAGTGACCAAAAAAAGCGACCAAGAAAAGATCAAAAAATGCTACTTTCCTCATCCCCAAAGTACCCATTGTGATTGGGTTTAATGCATTTAAAGCGAGTGTTAAACGGGATCAACGTTAACAACTTGATGTTGGTGGTCAACTCATTTCAATCAATTTTATCATCTTCAGATGCTGCTGATGTTGATCATGTTGATGATAATCATAACCCTGATAATCAACCATGATAATCATAATCAACATCTCATCACGGATAAAGATCACACTAAGCTTTACCCAAGCAAAGGCCTTTTTTTGCCTCTCAAGTAATACAAACCTCAAAAAATCAAACTTGATGTAATCTTGATACACTAACTCACAATTCAACATCTCCACTTTTTTATCACCAAGTTAATCAGTTAACAATCAATACCTCAACATTGCCATTGACAATTAAATTGATTCAAATTGAATTGTTCAAAGTCAGGGGAGGAAATGGCCACAAAAAAAACACCGTAAACAATCAGTGCTATTATATTATTAATGTTAACCTTTTAACTATACAAAATGAACACATTTGTATACACACGCATTGGGACAGATATTAACTTTGAAACTCAAGTTAACCTGATCCCATAATGTGTATAACAAGATCACAATCAGACACACAATACCATTTCCTAATAACTAATCAATATTGAACAAAAGGCTAACGATCAACTTAATCAAATGTCTTGGATACGCTGGAAACAAAAAGGATTCCCAACTCTTCCCAGGTCAATCAAGAAAACCTTTAACCCCGCAAAAGCAAACGTCCAAGTCTGTGTGGATATTTTTTTATACATTCACTCTTGGTGGTAAGAAAGCGAACCAAATTAAAACTAGATTTAGACCATAATCAAGCCAAACCTTTTACCGTAACAAGAAAAGGCCGTTCGTCCCACTTCAACAAACGATGGAAATGATGATTAAAACTAACCTGTGGTTTAGTATTTAACAATTTACCAAAACCAAAGTTTCTTACTTTCAACCTTTCCAAAGGATTTGCCAATCATTTGATTCACCGAGAAAAAAAACCAAATTCAATAAACTTAACCATCTTTTAGGTTTACCTTTTTTTTACCAAGAAAAGGCATCAACATGGCCATATTCAAACAAAGCAGGCAGAAAAAAAAACAATTACTTGTAACAAAAAACTTCAAGACTGTACCTCACATGTTGGTTACAAGAGTTGATTGTTATTAGACTTTTGGTGAGGCTTTACCTTACATGATGTGTGTTAGGCCTTTGCTGATGATGATAACATTTGCTTATTTGTTTTCAATTTACTTGTATTATTTGAACTGATTGTTTTGTTGATTGTAAAATCTAAGCCCAGCGAAGTAAACATGGAAAGCATCTTGAGATACAGTGAAATACAGCTTCCATGGTTAAATTAATTTTGCGTTTCGTGACCAATACCGGTGTTCAATTTTGGCTGCCTTTTTTTGTAAGCCATAATAATGTAATCAGTAAACTGTGATATTAATAATTATAATGATAATAATGTATAAACTTGTACAATTGACTGTGTATATGTATAATTGATTGTGGGCTGTACAAATGTGTATTTGTTTCAAATAAGGTTTACTGGTTGTTGATTTTTGTTTCTTACCTTCATCTGAAAAAGCAAAGCAAGTTAAACAATCAATTTATCACCAGTAAACTTGAAGATAAATTACAAAGTAACTAGCAACAAGTCCAACACGATTGATTATTAATCAATGAGCTTAACTAACTTAATAAAGCTTTTACATCATCATAAACATTAAGTGAAAATACACTTGCGTAGCTGTAAGCCCAACGAAAAAAGGTAGAAAATTGAAAATGAACAAGAAACGTTCACTTTTACATTTGTCGGACTTTAAGTGTATACTAAATCTGATTGTAATAACACAAAGCCAAGTGAAAAAAAGGAGCAAAACTTGTCCCTCACTAATCAATTGTAAGCCTTGAATCTATTTAATTGATTGTCCAAATCAACTGTTACAATGCTATTTGATGATAATAATAATAATTTACATTTTTGCTCGTCTTCTCATCTCTCAATTCCCAGAGTAACTTTCATCTTGCCATCATCAACATATCATCATCTCATCTCCTCCTTCATACTCTCTTCGCTTCCCATATGATGATAAACTGTCCACAATTGAATAAAATAATCTCACAAGTCATCATGGTAATCTTTTATCAATAACTTTCCCTCCCTCTCCTTGGAACCATTCATTCAATTTAATCATTGGCTTCTCCTCCCACCGCAAACGCAAAAACACCCTTCTTTTTGTCAAACCAGTGAAGATGAGAAACGGCAAGACAAAGATGAAATGTATTATATATACACACATAAATATATTTAAATTGTAGCCTCTTTGACCGTTTCTCAGTCCTTTTCATCATCATCATCATCACCATTATCTCAAGTTGATGGTACGAACAAAGTAAAGCCAAAACAGCATTTTTGCCCATTCAATTGGAACGCCAAAGGTAAAGCTTGAACAACACATTTTTAGGTCTAAAAGAAGAGCAACCGACAAAAAAAAGGGTCAAATGTTGAGGGCAAAGGAGAAGGTAAGAGATGATTAAAGAGTAGTCTTTAAAGGTCACCCAGAGTGAGAGTTTTAAATAACATCCAGAATATATATGTACATGCATGGATCCAATGGGAAATAATTGTCCATCTTATACACATCCATTGACAATTGACGATCTGAATCGCCCTTTGACTTTGTCCTTTTTGCCTTTTTTCCTTTGCTTATTTCACAAGACGAAGATGGTAAGGGATATAAAGTAGCCAAGAAGAGGAAGAGGAAAAAGTGACCATAAGGAGCTTTTCAGCCCCTGTTATTAGTGACATTTGTGACCTTTATCTCCAATGATTCACTCTCACCTTCCTTTCCTCCATCTCCACCCACCTCCTCCTCTTTAACCTCCTCTCTTCATCTTTCAAATACCTTTGTTGTTTATAAATATATATATCTATGTATATGTCTGTGTGTGTCTGTGGATGTCAACCTGTTTATTTCAATTCCTTCTTCTTCTTCTTATTTTTCGTCGTCTTCATCTTGATCTTTTTATCTGCTAGAAAACTGACCGACTGACCAAAGAATTTATTTCATCTATTTCTTAAAAAGGAGTTACCATCACCACCTCCTCCTCCTCTTTACTCGGCTTTCCTTGTACGCTTGATAGATTTAGCTAAATAGGGAAGAGAAAGAATAATGATTCAGATAAATAACCGTTTCTTTTTGTCATCTCAACTAAACATGTGAAAAGTGAAAAGGTTTTCCTAAATAATAAAGGTTGATTTTTACCTGGGATTGTTGTTTTTGTTTTCATCTTTCATTTAACTTGAAAAACGTATACTCAATCAAGCAAGTGGTAACCCGCCCGTGGTAAGCCGATCATTGATGCTTCATCAACCCATCATCAAACACTGCTTTTTTTGTAGTCCGTTTTCATTACTCCTTTGAGTCCCTCTTGTTTGTATCCGTATATTGTATCCTTGTATTTACACCTTTACATTCAAGCCTTTTGTATTTGTAATTGTAATACACAAATATTATATTTCAATGGATGGATTACACAAAAAAAAATGAAAATGTCAACCTAAAGAGAGAAAAAAGAAGAAAAAATCTTTTAGTTTTGCTATTATTTTAAGATTGATTGCTTTACCATAAAGGACAATATTTCAATACAGTTAGTTGATTCATTTCAATTCATAAACTCATAATCAGACATTTATGGTTTAAAGCGTAAGCTTGGTTTGGCTTTTTGTTTTACATCCACATTTCATGCAGTCTGTGAAGTTTAAGTGATCGAGTTGATTTGATTGAGGCCTGGCTTGATATAAATGTGATGATTAACTGTTTATCATTGGTTAAACAATGATTTGACAAGAATGTAACAAGTCTAATTGGCATGATTAACAAGTTATTTACATAATTGTTGACGGATTGGTTTTGATTAAAGTAAGTCGACTTGTTTACAGGCTTGGATCAAAACAATCAAATTTACTACTACTTGATAAGGTATTTAGTGTTGGTGTTGTCTTCATTATCATCATCATAAAATAATGAATGAAAATGAATACAGTTTAAATTGTCCAAATTAGATTGTTGAAAATCTCTTATGATCATATGATAATAAGATTATAATCAAAATCATGTAATCTGATTTTTGTTTCTGGAACAAAATGATCGGGTTATTGATCTAATGAAAACATCTTCCTTCTTCTTTACTGATCATCATCATAATTATTTAATCATTACCATGATGATTATTTATAAAGGAAAAAACTAATTTCTATTTTAACTAAAAATTGATATCATCAATCACTATCACAGTGAGAAATGAATGTGTTGGTTGATTTTTTGTTTAGCTTCTTGAAAATCATTTTTACCCCAAATGAATTTGTGTGGATGTTAATACCATTAATGGAGTGGGAATTAGGTTTACCTCTCTATCATTATAATTTTAATATTACCTTTCAATTTACCCTTTTATCGTTGTAAGTATTTTAAGTCAACGTCCTTTGTGGTTCAATTATAATTCAATTTATGCAATTAGGAAGACTTTGGAAGGAAAAGAAATTAAAATTAGAAAACAATAGCAAGGATAGGTCATTCAGTATAACGCACTATGAATCTTTGTGGGCTCCCATGTTTGATTTGTGATTTGTATTTGAGCCAAAGACGATTTACAGGTGTTTTAAGCTGCATTGCTTTATTTACAGGTATTTACCCCGGTATATAACTGGCCATAGACCAAGATTTGCACAGATCCTGCTTAATCCTTTCACTGCTAGATAATGGATTGGCTATCCCAATGCTTTAAAAAATGACTCTACACCATTCGATCCATTCATCTGTGATATTTAAACCAATTGTTCAGGACAGGAATCTCAGCTTCTAAAAATAGAAATCTGTAAAACTAGAATAATCAAATTGTTAACATTAATGATGAAAGATAATTAATTGAAAGAGTGCAACTTACTGTACATTAGATAACAAGTGTTAGCATTTTAAATCGTAATTTCGCTAATCCTGATCCAAATGTATCAATTTTTGGGCATAGATGAATCCGAATTTCGAAAAACAAACTAATAATTAGAGCACATAATTTTATATAATAACAATATTAACTAATCATCATAATCTATAAGCAAAACAACGTTCTGATGTAATCAATCTGCGTCTTTTAAGCTATTTTCACGAGCAAATTGCAGCTTCAAGACGATCATTTCCCTTAAAATAGCCAAGTTTCACTGACAATGTGAATTTTATTAGCCCATCGTATTTTTTGTGTGAATTTTCACGGAACATGAATTATGTCATGTATATAAGATTTTTTGTGATTAATCTATTTTTCTTAAAAAAGTGAAACCAATTACATGTTTCAGTAAATTAACAAAGTCCCAGTTTGCAACCAAAAAGGCATCTCATATCTCTCAGTATCGGATCGTTGATATCGGTGAGACAACAAGTAAACAAACACTTTTTTGTATTTATAATAACCTGATTTTTCGCATGAACTATGGGTGCCATGAATATTGTCATTGGTTGTACAATGGTTTAACCTTATAAATATTCAATAACGAACTTGTGTTGTGTCCAAGCTTTTAAATGTTTTCCTTCAACTAAAGCTTCATCATTTCGATACCCGATATCTCATAAGAAGACTCAATTCATTTTAACAATAATCTATAAAGATGATATTTAATCTTGGAGGAAATCAGTAACTGATTATCAGTTTGCTCATGATAATACCTATTTGCTGTTGGTTAATACAATCAATAATTGAAGCAACTCTACTCCAAATCAACCTCCTCAAAAAAGATGGAACCAGCCTACGTTAATGTAAAATTAATCCATTCTTGAAGTGTATTTAGCCACATTAATCAATGATTTTGTTTCCCTAAAAATGATTAGGTTGAAAAGGGAATAAGAACTAAATAGGTAAAAATAACAAAACATCTCGCGGAGGTGATTAGTTAAAAGCTAACAATCAACCAATTTTCAATACTGACACTTTTACACTCACTCAAACACACACACACACAAATGGTACTCATACACAGTAGCATAACTGTAACCATGTGTTACAAATAATCAGTTAAAATTGATTAAACATTTAGCCCATTGTCAATTTGAACCATTTATCCAGCCAATTAGAGTTGAAAATGTACCAAAAGGAGACATTTGACCTGGCTAGATGATACAAATTGACTACAATTAATTAATAACTTCACTGATTGACTTTCAATCAAAGTAACATACAACAGCCAATACATAACATGTGTGCAGTAAATGAGTAAGTAAGTGAGTAACATTTATAATACAATTTTACCTGTTTTGGCATTATTATTATCAGTACTTATTACCAAGCCCTTCAATGTTAACAACACCAACAAAAAAACATCTTGTAAACGATGTGAGTGTGTTGGTTGCCGTATATTTACACATATTTTTTCAAGTGAGTGTAAGCTCTACTCAGCGTGGGAAGATTGTTTCAACAGGTAACAAACCTGTAGGGAAGTTATTGACGCCTCCAAGAAACAACGACTAATACGAATCAGCAAGTTATCTAAATTGATGCTGTTTCGCATCTTATTGACCAACACTAGTCTCATCATCACCATCATTATCATCCTTATCCCAGTCATTTTAACCTTTACCTTCAAACCAGATTTAATGTAACATCAACTCAATGTGATTTTTTTTCTTCAATCTTTTTCCTTTCCTCAGTCATTCTGAACATTTCCATGGTTCAATAGTTTACCATGGTTAGCTTGAATTAATTGTCTTTGATTGGAAAACAATCAGCAATCAGTTGATTGAACATTGGATCCTTTTTATCCAATCTTTTTACTTGTTTCAATAACCACATGTTGACTTGATTTTGTTGCCTCAACTGTTAACAACAAGTTCAATATCATCCATAGTTTCATCATCGTAATCAGTTAATCATTTTCAGTTTGCTTCAATGAACATTTCAATTGTTTCGGTAATCGGGTTTAAAATAATGTTAACTATCCATAACCAAAGGTAATAACATAACATACGGTTAGGCCTAGCATCTTTTTTCAGCTAAACATTGATTTTGTGGAAATACTGAAAATTACTAACAATACTTTGATTATTTCATCAAATCAAGTTGATTGTTTTAAACAATGTAAAGTAATCAAATAGTCAAGTTATTAAATATTGAAGCTTGTGCTCAACAAGACAAATTGATTTTTGGTGGTTACCTTTGATTATAAATCTGATTAATAACCACAGATGATCAATAGTCAGTTGGTTGTCAGCAATATCTTTAAATGTGTCCAATGGACGGTCAAACATCAATCTAACTATCTCAGTGATTAGTCTTAATTACAATCAATTAACTGGGTTTCAGTTTGAAAGAGGTTACAGTCAACTGTCTGTTCAAAGATTTCAAGTTTGCTTAATGACAGGAGCCTTTCAAATTTAACAACTTTTCCCAAGTCAGTCCGACGTTTTAAACAAATACATCTTTGATAATTGATGCTAAGTGATGGTCAAGATGGAGATGATAATGAAGTTGCTTGTTCACCTGTGGGATTAGGCTTAAGATTATACCTTTACCATGTCAACATTGACCTGATTAAAAACATAACCTGTTGAGCCAATGTCAATAGCATCAACAGACGATAGTTATTAGTATTTTTTTTTAAAAAAATGTTGACTTTTCAGTTAAATATAACAATCTAGTCAATATTGTAATAACCAGACAATACTTTGAAATATCAATCTTTACAATTGATTTCAATATCAATTAAATGAGATCAGTTGAACATTATGAATAACAAAACAATTAGGAAAATATTTTAGTGCAAAATTGAACAGCTAATATGAGCAACAAGTACCAATAACCTGAAAATTGGTTAATCAATAGTCAATTGTCAAAGGTTAACAATGAAATTTGCTTGTGATTTCAAATGGTTTTACAATTTTAACTTTATTATCATTAGTACAATATAAATTATTTAGCGCAAAAAAATGAAAACAAATCTTGACAAACGTGTTTCAATTGAATGTAAATTGAAAGTTTAACACAATGAACACATGTATGGACATTATTCAAAGCATTGGTCAAGTATTAATATAAATAATACATTGAATACTCAACCTTTAACCTACAATAAACGGTTAAAAATGAACAGATGAACAGGTAAAAAAAAGGTAAAAAATATAATAATAATAATGAGCTTAAAGATGGTGATAAAGATGAAAGTATTAAAAAGATGGCAAAAAGCAAACAAAAGTTATGACTTTACCTTACAATGTTTAACCACTTAACTAGCAACTATTTTTGATGACAAAACCTTCATACCTTTACAACTCTCCCATCATCATTATCATCCTATTTTTACTTCCGATTCTTGCATTCCTTTACCTTTCACTCTAAACGATACAATACAAGAAGGAAAGGAAAAAAAATCAGCTGCATTTGCAATAATAACAACAGCTTTTAAACCAAAGGGTCAATCCTTTTGTATTTCAATTGACCATCCAAAAAGGTTGACAATGAGCTTACCAATAAAGATGACCTAACCTAAAATACTAGTTTGTCACTCTTGACTGGACCAATTGAAATAATCTTAAAACACTCTGCTATTAACTTCAATATCAACTTATCAATCCATTAAATTGTTAACAATACAATCGACCATAAATATCGATCTATCGACATCTAATAACATATGATAGGCTATCAATGATCAGCAAATTTTTAAGATTATTGTCAATGGCAAGTAAACAGTTTTATTATCATTTTCAATGTTTCAAAGCAAGTGGACAAAAATTAGATTCAATTATCGTTAATTTATGATCAAGAGTCTTGTAAATTATCTAGATTGGTAATTGAATGGAAAAGGTAAATTGATTTCAAGCTACTGAAGATGTAAGTTTGTTTTTTGTTTCAATTTGTTTCTTTTTTTCGTTGATCATCTTTTTGTTTTTCAATGAATCTTTCTCTCTCTCTCTCTCTCTCTTTTTTAGGGGCTTTTCATTTTGTTGCCGTTTCGGCTGGCCCAGCATATTGTCACGAGTAACGTGCTAAACTACATCTGAATGATCAGCTGCAGCAAATGAGAAACCAACGTTTTAATAATGATGATAATGATGATGATAACAAGCAATGGTTGGTGAATCACATAATGTTCAGTGAATAATTTTTACTCATAATCAAAATATAATGAATAGTAAAACTTGATAATAACTTGGAAAAGGTGAAAATTTTGAGCATTTTTTTCTGTATATTTCATTTTACGTTTAATTTTCTTTCTTCTTGTTCATTAGCCAACATTAAATTTATGGTGAAACAAATTGAATTTATCATGAGTTGATTATTTTATATAAAAGAGGAAAGCAAATTTTACTGTAAAATGTACTGAAAATGCGATGAAATATTGAATACTTTGCAGCTTTCCGTTTTATTAAAAAGTTATCAAGTTATCCCAATTAATAATCAAAATTGCAATTTTCATGAACAACTTTCCATTAGCAAAATCAATGGCTGAAAAAGATAGGTAAATGTTGCTTTGCTTTATAGTTTTCATTCCTTCATTTTTACCTTTTAGTTTTGCTAACATTATATTTTGTTGAGACAATTTTTGTTGCTTGTTTAACTGTTTATTTTGTTTTTGTTTAGCTGTCAAAAGTGGCCTCAAATATTGCTGGCAGCGAGTTGATGATGAGGCCACAATGTGAACGCAAAAAGACACAAAATTTTGCTTGTGTTCAAAGTTAACATTAAGATTCAATTGGAGAGGAATTTTTGCTGCCGATAATTTGGTTCTGAGACTTTGAATTGTTGCTGTTGCAAGGTGATTACATGATAAACAACGAGAGATATTAATTAATGAGGTTCAACATGATGATCATGATGATTAAACAAGGTAAAAGTTAACCTTGATAATCAACAATTCAACATTCACTTACCCAACACAAAATTTTTGACATTAAACAACATTCACATTGATAATGCAAACTGTCATTCAACAGTGATTAGATTACCTTTTCAATCATATTGATTATGTTAATATAATTAGTCTCATTATCCTCTTCCTCCTTCATCATCATCAGCTTTTTTTACAGGTTAAACAAATAGACAAAAATAAACAGACAAAAGAAGGAAGGTAAAAATTTCAATCCGTGATTCCTTTAATTTTATTTTGATTTTTTTTTCATCTATTATTATTTTAATAAACAAACCTTATTTCGGCTCATGTATTATGAATAATATCAATTTCACCTGTTGACCTTGGTCCATGTCATACGTCTATTTTCAGGCTATTTTGTCAGTCAGTGTCTTAGGTCAGGTCAAACCATCAACCATGTAAATATTTAAACTAAAAATAACTAATAATCTGTTTTTGTTTTGCTTTGCTTTTTTCCCATTTTTGCCCATTTTTTTCGGGTCCAAGCAACTGTTTTTTTCCTCTCACTCTTCGTAAATCACTGTATTTCAATATAATTGCCACTATTAGTATTTTTATTATGATTAAGAGTGCTAATAGTGTCCAAATAATTGCCACTTTATTAACAATATGTATTTTCAAGGAAACTATCAAATGGTAATTGAACGTTTCCTTGCATCTTTTTTGGGCTTGATCTTTGTTACTGCTTTACTATTTTCATCGGTAAGAAACACCCTTACGGATGTATCTTATTTTTTTGTTTAAAACACCTTTACATATTTGCTTTTCCTATTTGTTTTATTTTGTGGTTAACATTGGCATTAACATACAATTTCAATTTGATTAATTAATTCCCTATTAAAGCCTATTAAAATTAGCGCCATTGTTTAACTTTGTTGCCATCTATAATTTTATTCAGTAACCTTTGGTATGACAATGCTAAAGTGACTAACAAAAGCGGTCAAGAGTTTCTTAAAGGCTTTTTTAATGTGTTTCAATTGTTTTGTTATTAAATGTATTTATTTAACATCGTTGCTTATGTTTGTGCAATTGAATTTGCTAACTATTTGACCCATAAAAGGGCAGCTGTTAACCTTACTCTGCTAAAGTTGAGCCTCTGACCCAACCTAGGTAATATTTTCAAATGGCAACCTGTAAATATGTTTATACTATTTTTAAATTCACCTTTTGCTCTTTTCAGATTGTGTTCAACCATTTTAGCCTTTTCTTTCGTGTTTTTGATTGAATCAATAATGGATGTTAATTTTATTGCTCTTGCAAATTTTACTAATTAAGTCAACAAATGTAAAATTGCAAAAAGGTAAGTAATACAGGTTGACACTATTCAATGAATTTAGTGATCTTTTCATTTTGTGGTTAATAACTATGTTATTTAATGACTTGGACAAGTTGTAAATACAGTTAGTAGATAATGAGAATCAGATTGATACAGAATCATTAGCATTATTGAATCATCAAACATCATCATCATCATCATCATCAGCAACAACGGCAGCAGTATTAAATCATTAATTATTGTGTGGATTCCTTTGAATGTAAACTAAACAAAAATGTTTGAAGGTGGCTAATGAATTTTAAATTATCTTGTTATGCAAAGCAAGAGAAAAATGAAACAAAATATCAATTCAATCTATTGACTATTTTACCTTTTAACAATCAATCTTTCGTTTTCTCTTTACAGGTTGATCATTTTGATTTAAAGATTGGCAAGAAGAAGAGGAAAAGAAAGCAAATTATGAAATACAAGAACAGCAAGGTAATTAAGTTAATCAATTGAGGCCTCATCACTTTAATGGATGGATTAATAATGGCTGGTAAACATTAATGGATTATCTAACGCCTGTTCAACTGTTTAACTTGTATTTATTTTCATTTTGTTTGTCAATCAAATGAAAAACCTATCTCATTTTGGCTTACCTCTTCAACAAATTGATGGTGTAAATATACAAATTAAGACGATAACTTAAACTTGCCAGTCTAATAACGTTAATGGTTCTAATTAAAAGTATAGTTGTGCTGCAAGAGATGGCAATTATCATCATTTTTAAAGTCAAACTTGCAAAGCTAACTTTTCAATATAACAACTGAAGATTATACAAAATCCAGAGAAAGTAATGAAAAATCGACTGTCCAGCAATCGGATATACGATTTATAAGATCAGCTAGATGCTAAAGAAAGGTGCACATTTTTATTGAGTAAAACCTGTTTCTGTTTCAATACAATAAGGTTTACAAAACCAATGTTAGAGGTGTTAGAATTCACTGTTGCTGTTGTTGTTGCATTTGAAATTGAAGTTGAACTTTAAGATGATCCTCATTCAATAAATGATTATCCATTTCTGATGTTGGTTGGATGGTGTTAGTATTGTTACTAGATGTCAACTGAAAGCCTGTAAAAGTGAGACGAAGTTTAGCTAAGGATTCATCACATTGGGCTAAAATGGTTTCGGTCGAGGAAAACAATAATGATGATGTTGATGTTGAGGTGGAAGAGGAATTGGAAGAGTTAGACTGACTAATGGTTGGAGGTGGAGGTGAAGGTGGTATTGATGATCGCTTCTTCAAGCATGATTTTATCGGACAAGAGGATAAAGAGTTTGATTGTAATTTTTTGGCTGTTATGAACTTTTTATCCTTTGTTAAGCCACAAGAGTTACAGATCATATTTGGTTACATACAGTTTGATTAACAACGATTATTTCACAAAAATAACTAAGGTTTGCTAAAAATTTATACAAACTGATTTCACTAATTTTTCTCCAAATCTCTATCTCTCTCTCTCTCTTTTGATTGATGATTTTTTGCTTTGATTACGGTTTGCTGTTGTGATAGCAAGTGATGAACGCAAAAATTGTAATTTTATTATTTAGTTTTTTGCAAATCTAGGTGTTTTACCTCGATTAGTTAGTCATTATCAATGTCAGATAATGTATTTTCTTTGCCTGAGAGATTTTTGATTTTCCACCAAAAGTTACTTCACGAGAATGAGTTTCTTGACAAAATATTGTTTTAATTTAATGTTATTTATACATTACATTATAAAATATGCTTACATACAATTATATTCATTTTCAATTTCACAATTTAATTTTACGCATTATTTAAACAACTGAACTGCTAATTGAAAATCAGCTCTTATTATAATGGTGACAATTGTGGTGATGGTAAAGGCGAAGATGGTTCAGATGATGGAGGTGTTAGAGGTATTGTTACTGTAGTAGGTGTTGTTGTTGGTGATTGTAATGGTGATGATGACGATAATGATGGTGAATGTGATTGGGTTTGTGATGACTTGATAATTTTGTGTATTAATCGTTGGTGCAGTTCATCAATGTATTTAACAGCTTCATTAATAATTTTAACTTTAGGAACTTCATTTAATCCATGAAGAGAAGGAATGATTTTACAAAGATTTCGATATTCTCTCAATCTTAACTGCTTCCTTTTTTCACGTTTTATCCTCAAAATATTTTTATTTGTTGCATCTTCCAATGGCAGGGAATGTTGGTTATGATTAGAATTCACTGATTGTTGTTGCTGTTGTTGATGTTGCTGTTGCTGTTGAAGCTGTTGTGAGAGTTGTTGTTGAAGTTGTTGCATTTGAAATTGAAGTTGAACTTTAAGATGATCCTCTATCAATAAATGATTATCCATTTCTGATGTTGCTTGGATGGTGTTTAGTTTGTTACTAGATAACACAAGTAATACAAAAATACAACAAAAATGATGTAAAAATGGTACAAAGTTACAAGAATGTAAAAAAATGATGTTAACTAGTCAACAGAAAGTCTGAAAGTAACTCAACAAAAACCACGCACAAGCAACAGACAGATCCAAAGAGTTATACAGTCAAACCTCCTAAAATTTTCATAACGGGCCAATCGTTCGCAGATTGCACCACCAAAAATCTCTCAAAAAAGGACGAGACTCGTCTATTTCTTTGCAACTTTTAAGAGGTTTGACTGTCCAGCAATCGGATATACGATTTATTGTTAAATATCAGCTTTTCGAATCGGCCCTTGTACTACTGATCTACTCCGAAAGTGCTAATATTATACAGGATCACAGCACATTGACCACCATTTCCCTTTACATCATCATATTTATCAAGGCTTTGTTTAAGATCATTGTTTTGATCAATGATTATTTAACGATTGTTAAAAGTGTATTACCAATACATTGGATAGTAATACAAAGGTTTTCTTGTAACCTTGTAATATGATTCAACTCATGATCATCTTTCACTTCAAACTGGAATTAATATTTTACTTAAATATGATAATTCTAATAATACCAAACTAGAAACTGAGAGGAGCAAAAATATGAACAAATTGAGAGGTAAACATAGAAAAGAAGATGAAGATGAAGAAGATTTTGACATCCTCTTTAACAAGAGGCTTATCATTTTCTTATAACAATCATACATAATTATAATAAGTACAAATGAAAACAAGTTTAACAGTGACCTTCATTGGTTCAGGTTTACCTTTGCAAGTAATCGGGGAAAAGAAGTCAAAATCAAAGAAGGTCAGCCCAGGTCATTTTTACTGGGATTTTCATCTTCTCTTCCTTTTCCAGTTACATGTTGATAACGTCGATTTAACTGTTCAAAGTAAAATATCCTCTCTAAAATAAGGTACACAACAAGAAGAAAAAACTGACCTGGATTGCAATGTCAGGTCAGCGCTCTTTCCAATCACAATCTAATGATATGCAATTGACCTCACTAGGCAAAATTTAATGATTTCGGGTTTTGTCTACTTTATTTATTTTCCCTTCCTTAAGCTTCTTACAGTTAACTATCATCATTATTTTATTGCATTGCGTTTTTTTTTCTTGCCACAAAAAAATTGACTTAAAATAACAATTTAATGCAAGTCGATAAAAAAATGCTAACCTCTGGAAGAAAGGTAAGGTCAAACGAAAATGGAAACCACAAAGAAAAGTAATCAAACGTTGAGTCTAAATAAGGTTACAGGTTAATTATTGGATCATTATTAACCAGATTCGTAAATAGCTTCAATGGTAATGATGATGATGGTTGCAGTGAAAATAAGGTCAACATGAATAATGCTAACCTCCTTTATTTAGCACCATTAACTTTCTCCATAGACAACAATGTAAATTGTTGAATCGATTTTGAGCGTGACTTTATTGTTATTATTAACCAATATGATTGTGTAGATTAAGACATTATGTATTAATAAAGCTGCTACTACCAAAATTAAATCAAAATTTAACTTTCCTCTTCTTTTGATTACTATTATTATCATGTTAATTCTTGTATTGATTAAATGATTTTCTCGCATGTTGCTCCATGTTAAGGCGTAAGATTATGGCTTTTCACATTTTTCCTGGCAAAGGTTAATATTGATCATCGGAAGTTACCATCAAGGTTTAATCACAATTTAACGTGATTTATTAAATGAAAAAATGTGTGAGGTGACAATCTAACTATAAATTAAAAGGCTAATAAAGAAACCTTAGTCAACTATAAAAAGGTGTTTGCAAGATTGGTTGCTTGGATGGATGGTTAGGCCTTGTTGTAGGCTTACATTGGGCAAGTTGGTCCATTATAACCACAAATGATGATAATGGTACCAATTGAGTCAATCAAATAATGAACAATGTCAAGTTTGATTGTAAAAAGGTAAGAAACAATTTAATCAATTAGAGAGAAATGATAATTGAATAAATCTATAAAGCTTTGAGGTTCAGCTAATGTTATTCAATGATTTTTCAAGCAAAATTTAATGACGCTTGAATTTTTGTCATCTTGTCCCTCTCGTATTAAAGCTTTTACTTTCATTTTCAGCTTCAATATCATCATCATCTTCCTCTTTTCCTCCCTTTCTCCTCCTTTTTCTTGACCTTATTGGAGGCTCTCTTCTGAACAAAATATCCCCATTTTTTGAAACTGAATTTGAATCTAAAATGATGGTGAAGAGAAAGAAAAATGAAGATAAAGTGAATATCTAAAGTCTATATTAATCATGGTATTAGATGCCTGAGCATTAATGTCACCTCATCATCATTATCATCATATTAACTAATTGTTGAGGTACTCCAAGTATAACATCACAGTTATATACATATTGACATCTGGTTTGATCAGTTAGAGGCCTACTTAGGAACGTTTTTATCAACCTTTTTCACATAACATGATAATAATAATAATCATCGTCATCATCATATTATTAATAATGTTAATAATATTGAACTGAGCTTTAAAGATGAGGTTCCTAAATAACAAGGTAAACACGGCATTGCTTGAGCTTTATAATTTATCCATTTGGCTTTCTTTGTTTTCACTTTCATTCAGTCCAATATTCCGTCAGAATGTATTGATAATTCATTTCTTTATAAATCTATTCAACAGGAATGACAGTCAAAATGGCCTCTCTCTTCACCAGAACCAAGAGCTTAGGCCTCATAAATGGCCTTAGACCAAAACACTGCAAAAAAGCATGTAAATAAAGTCAACATTAAAAACAAAAGATACATTAGGTAACCACATGAGTCTTTGGCCATTTCCAAATTGGATGCCAATGAAACTTACATTCTAGTCTTTTAAAATGACCATTGCTAACACAGATAAGATCATGAAAGTCCGCATTCATCCGAAATCAGAATTGATTGAATAAACTTGTATAGAGCCATGTTTTTCGTTGAAAATTAAACCATCAAGAAATCGTCCATTAAACTGGAATTTGTAATTTAATTGGTTTGATGGTTTTGCAGTAAATATCACCATAAACTCGGAAAAATCAGGAAAAACTAATTTGAAAGAAAAGATTAAAAACAGAAATCGGTTTAACATTGAGTTGTCAATAGACTCATTTCAATGGACAGTCAATATGGATGAGGCCCAAGACTTATCTGGTTAATAGACTTAAGTTGGATCTTACCTTGCTTCCTTTTTGATGTCCTGCTTCAGGCCTAACCTTTAGTTGTCATACTTGTTGGTCAATTGAATGGTTGTTGCCTTCTTAATCCAAGGAAATTGGTTAAGACAATTAACAATGACGATTAAGCACGCCAAAAGATAGTCATCACATTATACATGTATTATATGCTGTTTTATAGATGTTGCCATAACTCTGGAACTGCTTTTACCACTAAAATCATGCTTTTATTTTAATCATCATGATTAGTTAATTAGGCAACTATTTAACCATAATGGTTAAGAGCACCCATAATAAGCAGCAAATCTGTTTAATTTGGCATTATTATCATTAAGATGATGAAAGTAAATATTATTAATGAAGGAGAAAACAAAACAAAAAGATTTAATTTATGGTTAGCTTTTTTCACTCAAAAATGAAACACAAGCACAAAAAAAAGGTGAAATCCATGCAAAGGTTTGACTGTTGTTGATTGTATTATAACTAAACCATTGTATGGAAATGTATACTTATCATTTATCTTTATACACTTAAATAACAATAACATTAATGATAACAATTAAGATGATTTGTTTTGTGTGTTTGTGTGTTTTGCTGACTCTGTGAGTTGACTTCACTTGACTGGCTCAACAATCACTGGACCGTCAACAGTATCTGATATAACGTTATAGACAGGGTTTCATGTTTCCCATTTAATTAATAGTCCCTAATTGTTAGATAGATTAATGAACAGATGATCATGATTATCTGACAGATTCTTTGTCTAATTTTATTAATCATATCATGTTAACAATCCATTAACAAACAACTGTAATTGTAAATAAACAATAATCTTTTGTCTTACCATTGCTTCCCTAATCCAATAATGCGTTAGACTGGCAGCTAATTTGATCACAATTAGCAGCTAAACAATTTCACGACAACCACAATTTGACTCCATAAACAGCAATTTGAAACATTGAGATACAATTACAATTGCCGCTAATCCACTTTAAAGATTGAATCTAATTGTAACTTGTATTGATGTTGTTAATAAGATGCAATGGAAGCTTCATTCTGTTGGCCTTTCCAATTGTAACAGTTGAGTGTTATCAATTGGTTCACTAATTATTGTTGATTTGATTATTGTCAACTATAATGAAGTCTGAGCCAATATTAATTATCAAGCTTCAAGAGGCGTTTACTTGAACAGAATGCCCTTAAAACAAGATTAACTATTAAATCAACTTTCACCTCCCAATTAACCTTAGTTAGGCATTTCTTGATTGCAAGTTGGAAAACATTCATTTGCATCAACATCTTTTGGCTAACATTATAATCACAGCAAACCTTTAATCCACTTTTCATCGCTGGTGGCCTTTTAAGACACAAAATTAAAACTAATTTTAATCTAATAATTACTATTAATCACTAATCAATACTAATTACAGACTATTGTAATGCATTTACACTGAGGCAAAGTAAATACCGAAAAAGGTAAACAAGAAATGGGCAAAACTAGGGTTTACTTACCGTTTCATAGATATTATCAATTCATTGGTTGCTCATTAATTTGATTTTTCAATTGTTTTAATAATGAGCAGGTTAAAGATAATTAAGCAAATCAATTGATAAATAATGTAAATTATTGAATTAACAATAGATTAAGAGTTAAAAGGAGGTTGCTTTTATATGCATATTGATGTGGATATTAAAGATGGAAAGGGAATCGACCTAGTGAAGGATCTATGAGAAGGGATAAAGGATGAGAACGATGATAAAGAAAGGGAAATGTAAGAGAAATGAAAAACATATGGAGAGGGAAGATGGAGGTGGGAAGGATGATTAACAGAGAGAGAGTGGGAAGGATGAGGATAAATTTGTTTTTTTGTTGTTCACATCAAAAATGAGGCTTAAAATTTGCGCCTCATGTTGTTGTTGGTTTTCCTGTTACTACAGCAACTACCTCTGTAGTAAAGGTTGTAACCTTTATCATTAATTTTTGGATAATTTTGTGTGTTTCAATTTGGACTCTTCTCGATATTAACAACTGTAAGTAAGTCAACTCGAAGTGGACTGAGACAGAGAAAAAGAAAGAGAAGATAGGGAGAGGGAAGAAGCCAAACTATAAGTGAAGTGATCGGGTGAGTAAATGAGTGAGATTACATCGTGAGAAAATATTTAGTTCCCGTTTTTATTGAGGTTTATATTATTAATATTATAATAACAAACGCCTAAGGTGGCCTTGAAATTACTCTCTCTTTCTCTCTCTCTTTCTGTGTCTCTGTCTCTCCTTCAACTTAACTCGATGCTGACTGACTTGCCGGTCAGGCCTATGACAATTACCGTGTTACCTAAAGCCTACATTTCTCTTTCTTTTTTTTCCTGAACATCATCTGGTTTAAAAAGTGAGGACCAGTTTTTAACAGGACAACCTGGCCTATTGATACTGGATGGATGATAACAGCTGATTTTTACCCAACTTGAATGTTTCCTCAAACCGAAAAGGCTGCTGCTTCATTTTCACACAGTTACAAACTCGTGTTTTGCTTGCATCTTGTATGTTTAAATACACAGACCCTCTATGAGAACCGAGAGAACCTCTTCCCATCGCCATCATCAGCAGCAGCTTCGCACTCGTCATCTTTATCCTAAACTCCTGCTCTTGTCTGTTTGCCCATCCGTTTTGCAACTCTTTCAATTTCAGTTGCAGTACGAGGTCCTTCCTATTATGTCAATATTTTAGCAAACAATTGCTCAAAATTTAATTAATCAAAGCAACAAGTCGGACATTGAGAAAGGAATGGACTATTGTTCAATTTGCTTATTTGCTTAGCTTGCAATTAGACTGTGAACTACTCTTGTGGTATCGACTGAATGGAAATGTACATCAAACAAATAGACAGAACTCAGAACTTAATGCAGAACTGTGTTTTATGCTTAAATGCATACTAATTGAATGTCATCAAAATCATCAAAAAAAGTATATAACAGTAAAAATTTGCAACATTTTTACGTTTCTTATTGGAGTTGGATCATGAAATTTATATACATTTTAACTACAGCTTGAATTGCAATACTTGAGCAAACTTGAATGATATTGAACCTTGATTTAGCAACTTGGAAGATAAAGTTCATCAGTATTATTAATAACACGGAAAGAGTTAAATGAAGAATTGAAATTTAGGCGATTCTAAAGTTCATATTAGCACCTGATTTTGAAGCATGTGTTACTGGTTATACCGATGAAATTAGATTCAGTTCTCATTGGTAAGTCTTTGTTTTTCCCAAATTGAGGCATTTTGAATTACTGGATCTCTTGCATTTTGGATCATTGAATTCATGGCTCTGGCTTTTTCCACTGTAAATTGACTGTTTAATTCAAATTGATGTTCAATCGCCTGTTAAACCGCAGATTCCCAGCTGAATGTAGCTATAAATGCAAACCTAACGATGTTTTGTTTCTCAACAAATTACATTGATTGAACTTGGTCATTTTTTTTCTTTGTTTTTCGTTTTTTATCTTCTTCATCATCATCATATTACTCTCCTATTATATTTACAATCTCCACTATTAATATAAAAAAACCGTTGCCAATAGTAAAGGTGCGTTTAGCTTTCATTAAAAACTTACCTAGACAGGTGCTTAAGGTCATTATTAGGTTTTGCTTTTCACATGCTTTTGCAAGTTACATTTTCAAATATATCTTGGCGAGTGTTTCTCTTTATTAATTTGAATTGTTTCCATCTCGCTCTTTCTCTCTTCCTTTATTCAATCAACCCAGAAACAAATTTCACCAAATTTCCATAACATTCAGAAATCGCCTAGAAATTTTATTCCTCACTAATATTGGCAAGAAAATAGTATTGAAAGTTTCCATTGAGAGTGAAAGATTGAGACAAATTGAAACCTCCAATCATCTAATAATATCATACATTTGCCAATAGCAATAGCATTTAACAATTTAACAATCCAAGTGAACTGATTATGTTGAGCCGGAGCAAAAATTATGATCAATTTCATTTCGTGGAGTAACAAACAAAAAATGATTCAATTTCAAGAAGATAGATTTGACAGGTGAGAGGATGAGAAAGATTATACAGGTGAGTATATAATAGGAACGAGACCCTTCTGTTAATAATAATAAATGATAAACTTGAGCAAGTGGGAGGGCTTTTAAGGCAAAGGTGAACATTTTTATTGAGTAAAACCTGTTTCTGTTTCACAAAAAACATTGTACAAAAATGCTTACAGAACCTATCACCAGGGTTAAAAGATTTGCTCATCTGTCTGTCTGTTGCTTGTGCGTGGTAAAGGAAGCTAAAGGTAAAGCTGAAACAGCTTTTTGTTGAGTTACTTTCAGACTTTCTGTTGACTAGTTAACATCATTTTTTTACATTCTTGTAACTTTGTACCATTTTTACATCATTTTTGTTGTATTTTTGTATTACTTGTGTTATCTAGTAACAATACTAACACCATCCAATCAACATCAGAAATGGATAATCATTTATTGATAGAGGATCATCTTAAAGTTCAACTTCAATTTCAAATGCAACAACTTCAACAACAACTCTCACAACAGCTTCAACAGCAACATCAACAGCAACATCAACAACAGCAACAGCAACAACAATCAGTGAATTCTAATCATAATCAACATTCCCTGCCATTGGAAGATGCAACAAATAAAAATATTTTGAGGATAAAACGTGAAAAAAGGAAGCAGTTAAGATTGAGAGAATATCGAAATCTTTGTAAAATCATTCCTTCTCTTCATGGATTAAATGAAGTTCCTAAAGTTAAAATTATTAATGAAGCTGTTAAATACATTGATGAACTGCACCAACGATTAATACACAAAATTATCAAGTCATCACAAACCCAATCACATTCACCATCATTATCGTCATCATCACCATTACAATCACCAACAACAGCAACAACACCTACTACAGTAACAATACCTCTAACACCTCCATCATCTGAACCATCTTCGCCTTTACCATCACCACAATTGTCACCATTATAATAAGAGCTGATTTTCAATTAGCAGTTCAGTTGTTTAAATAATGCGTAAAATTAAATTGTGAAATTGAAAATGAATATAATTGTATGTAAGCATATTATATAATGTAATGTATAAATATCATTAAATTAAAACAATATTTTGTCAAGAAACTCATTTTCATTTTCATTTTGTTCAATTACGGAATAAGGTTTTTTTCGAGAAACTCAACTGAAGTTACTTTTGGTGGGAAACCAAAAATGCTCTTATTTTGAACAATAACATTTGATCTTAGCGAACAAATTGATAAGTTCGGTTTTTAGTTAAATTTGCCGATTTTTGTGACTGTAAGAGTTAAAAGCTAAAACTTTCTAATAAACTAAACTTTTATACGATGCAAGTTTTAGCTCTGATTGAGAATCGCGTTGAGTAAAGAGTTGAGACTTTATGGGTCTGTAGAAGCACAAAAACCGAGTCCATGAGTGCTATTAAAATGTTTCTCCCATGAACAGTTTTCGAGCAAATAGAAGTCAAAGCTGAAACTTAGATTCGCTTTTGTTCAATTATGGAGCAAGATATTTTTAAGAGATTCATTTTCGTGAAGTAACTTTTGGTGGGAAACCAAAAAATGCACTTATTTCAATCAATAACCTTTTCTGTTTCTGGTTAAAGAGATAAGTTCGGTTTTCGGTTAAATCGACAATTTTTTGTGGCCGTAAGAGTAAGAGAACTGAAACTTATTATTTATCGATTGATCATCATCAGATCTGACAGCATAAGTAATACAGTGTTATAACTTTTTCATACGATCTTGAATAGAGGTTTATTGCTAAATGAGCATCAATGTTAAAGCATACTCAATTTTCAGAATGCTCAATCGCATCCTTAAATATTTAGACTGAGTTTTGTATCAAGATGGACTCAGTTGCAAGTTTAAACATCATAAATAGTCTTAATACGATGCATAGTAAAAGTTTTACAGTTTGGTAACTTATTAGTTTATTGATAGAATAAGCGAAACTAGCATAAAATATTAAAATACAATCGATGCTCAATCCAATTCTCAAATGATTTACACTCAAACCTCGTATATTTTGCCTTTTTTGAGTGCGGACATCTAACGTTCAAAAAAATAGAATAAGCACATTTTTACTTATGTTGACTGTAAATTACAGTAGCTCACAATCAAATGAGCTCACTTTTTGACTCATTTGAGCAAATTTTATTTTCAGAGACTGTAATTTACAGTCACCGTAACTAAAAATTTGCTCATTCTATTTTTTTGAACGTTAGATGTCCGGCACTCAAAAAAGGCAAAATATACGAGGTTTTGCTGTATAACTTTTCATCTATAGCACTGCATTACTTGGGCTGTCAGATCTGATTATTTACAGTCAACTCTCACTTATTTTGACAAAAAACAGCTCCATCTAGCTGCCAACTGAGCGATCATAATTTTTTGTTTTCCAATTTTTGATCTTTTTATCGATGCTGATTATTTATCTGCGAGTTTTCATTCAAGTTATAATGAACTAATTAAGGAATCAGTCAATAAATTATTTGATCATTTCATCGAATTTTTCACTAGAGTTTTTCATTTGAATCTTGAGCTGGCGCTGATTCTTTTGTCAAAATACTGTTTTTATGAAAGTAAATGGTTACTTTGTTAGTTAGTTAGTTAAAGTTGATTTTGCATAGTAAGTAAAGGAAGACTGTTATTGTCCTTAAATTTTCCACGATTTCTACATTTTCTTGGTGTAAACTCACAAATATCAGTCTAATTGTTGCTATTAATCATTCAAGAATTGAATTGAGCATCCTGAGCATTGATTATATTTCAATATTGACAAATGGAACCGATTTCGATTTGGAACAGTCCCTCCGATGGACAATCATTGATAAAATAGAGTTGAAAATTTTGGTCTCTTTCTGTACAGATGAGACATCGGCAACTATTTTTCGGACATTGATTCAATCGTGCCTTTTAAGCTTTGCAATAATTTTCCTTAAAATCCTTTTATGCCACAATTTTTGCACAAAAATTTGGGTAAGGTTTTACTTTTACGGAGAAAGGCGTTACAAAATGAACATATGAGAAGGCATTTAAACGCTTAGCCAATGGTGGAAGTATTTTTAAGAGTGTTTTTGATTAACACTGAAATTCAAGAAAAATAAATAATTAAAACAGATAGATATTTAGAACTAGCACAAGCTAGGATTAGCACCTAGTTTGCAATGAATTTACTCTTACAATAAACTAACCTTTTCAGGTTTTGCATAACTCTTATCAAGCTACAATTAATAGTCAATTAAATGTTGAATAAACACAAAAAAGTTGATTGTTAAACATGTAAAAAGCAGCAAAGTGACTGTAGTTGCACAAAGCTGACAGAGCTTGAAGACAACAATAATGTTGACTGTAAAGACTAAATGGTTATTGAGCACAGGGAACCGGATGTGTCCATGGTATATGGGCAAGGTCAGTGTGGTGTAAAAATCAGTACAATACAGAGTAAAAAAAGAGCAAAAAAAACGAGAAAATTGAACAAGTTTGGGTAAAAAAGAGCCAAAAAAATGTCATAAATTTGTATCCAAAGAAATGCAATTTTATGCCTTTTTCATGCTCATCGGAAATTGTTATTATTCATTATTTTGTATCCCTACCTTTGGGCTATAAAAGCTCAATTATTATCATATACATTATTTAAATTAGTCGGTCAGTTTGGTTTCAAATGGTTAACCAAGGTTAAGAGTTTCAATTTTAAGGGTAAAAATGAAAAGATTGAAAATTTTGGATGAAAAGGCAAAAAAGTGAATCGTTTTCTCAACTTACGAAGGAAGTTACAATTAATTAAAACACCCTTAAGGTGTTAATTTTGTCAATGATAAGGTTAAAAGAGGAGGATTATCAAAGAAGATAATCATCATTTTCATTATCAATTGGATAAGGATGGTTGACCGTTAAACTGAAACCAATTAAGGTGACAATGGGACAATCTTAAATAGCGCGCCTTGAAGCTTTACTTTGTGAGCGCTGCTGACTTTGTATTACATATGAGTTACATGTTTTGTTTTTAAGTTATTGCTTAGTTTTCAATCATTTTAATCATTTTTCATTCAATTTCAATTAACTTGTGTTAATTATTTCGGGAAACAAGTTGCTAATTATTATGTTACAAACACAGTTTTCATTTGTTCATCATTTGTTTCCTTTTTGTACAGTGATTTGGAGTGCTTTTTGTGTGTTTAGTTTTCCCTTTGATCCTGTTTTTTTTGCCATTTTTGGTTATTGTGACAATTTGTTGACCACATTTTAACAGATAAAAATTGGACCTTTTTTAGCTAAAACATAACATTCTTGGTTTGTAAATTTGTTTCTATTTTGGACTCACTCATTAGTTGTCAACAACTGTTAAACATCATCTTGATTAAGCTGGAAATTTGGTTGGTCAAAAATTTTAATCATGCTGAGTTATAAATCAAGTCAACTGACTTTGAAAAGACCACTCATTTCATCTATTTACCTTTTGACAGTCACAGTTAAATTGTAATGCCAGTCAAATAGTGCAACTTGATTTATGATTTAATTAACTTTTTCTCATCTGACAATCACTGTATTTACTTGCATAACCAGTTAACCAAGCAACAGGTTAAAGGTTAAGGTCTGGGTTACTGTTTTAGCTTATCGATGCAAATATTTACTGTCAAATAAGACTTATTTTCACAACAAGATTTCATGTAATAATATCAAAAAGTGATTCATTGAACCTTGTTTTTGTAACAGAAACAGTTTCAAGTTGATCTTTGAGTAGTTTCAATATTATTTAAACAATTTTCATTGCCATTATCGTAATTAAATAACTAGTCCATTTATTTATTGATAATGAGAGAAAAGGTTTTATTGAAAACCCATCAGACTGATAATTTGATTAGCTTTGATTGTTGTTATTGCTTTTTTGTTGCAATTTGTGCGAATACAATTTTCACGATTGCAATTAATAAATATGTTCATTTCAACAGTAAACCTGAATAACTTTCATCGTTATAATCAAGTATAATTAAGGTCAAAACAGTGCAGAAATCAACAATCAAAAGTTTAAGATGATGTTAATAATCATCATAATATTAAGTTGAAAAGTTGTTGATTTGTGAAATGGTTTTTTCACGTCAACTCAGCACGAAGTGAAATTGTTTCTTACAACAAAATGGTAATAATTTATACACACATTGTATGTGATAATTGTCTGGGCGATTTTGCTTTTATGTAACATGATAATAATGATGATGATGATTGTAATGCTAATAATAATAATGTAATCTAAATGTAATAGATAAAGTTAGGAGAGAGAAAGAAAAAATATAAACTAAATTAAGACGATTTATCTAGGTTGAAAGAGGATGAAATGATGTTTCTTGGTGATTTTACATTCTCTCTGCCTGTGAAAGCAAATCAAGGTAGAGAGCAATTAAAGTAAAGGTGATGAGGGATTCAATAGATTGTAATACAGCCAGACCCATTTACTTTACTTGTGTAAATTAATGGTTAAACTATTGAGGGTGAAATGAAGACGATGGTGATGATGAGAGCACAAGAAATGTAATCAACAGTCAGTTTCATCGGCTTGTTAGAGATTCATGTTGCCAACCAAAAAGTCCCGAGAAAATAGGTGTGGACAAGGTAAGATAAGTCAGGTCAGGCCAAAGTTTGACTTTTGGTTCCTATTTAGTTGGGTACAATTAATTTAACTTGTTTATATGTTGTAAAGCACAGGAATGATCGTTGTTGTTGCCTTTGTTGTTGTCCATGTTCATGTTCAAGTTGCTGTTGTGGGGAGGAGGAGGGAGGGATGATGAGGATGAATTAGGTGTATTGATGAAGGCGGAGGATTATGGTTAATTGGAAAGGTGAAAAGGTAACATATTGAAACTAAAAAAAGCACAAAAAAAGAAATAGAAAATAAATTATCATTGGCTCAAGAGAAAATCTTTTTGTTTCTTTTTAAAAAGAACCATTACCTGGTTAAGGTGAGAATCCACATTTAGCTAACATCGTCCATTAACGTCCAGTACATCATTTAACTTTAATCTTTTTACCTTTTCACTTTTACTAAACCAATTTAAAGATAATTAGAAAAATAATAGCAACACTTTGTTGTTGAAAAAAATGCGGTTAATAATTGTAACCTGAAAAGGGGTTGTTGAAAAATAAATTTATGATTTTTGCCAAATGTTTAACAAAATCCCAAAGAATCAATGTAATCATGTTACATGTCAATTCTGTGTAACAATTGAAAATTGAAAGAACTAAATTGTTATTAGTTTAACTTGTATTGACAGAAAATTAATTATCTTAAACAGTCGAAACAATTACAAATTAAATATAGTGTGAGGTTAACACATGCAAGTCTAATTGAAAACAAATGGCATATCAAAGATTGTTATTGAATTATGACATGTTGAGGATTAATTAAAGATTAATGGATTTATCTATAAGCTTGTTTAGTTTCAAAGATGCTTCAGTAATCTTCAATAATCCATTAGACAGATTATTATTTAATAATAACATTGGATAATAGTGAAATTAGCAAATAATAATACAGATGAGTTGATAAGCTATTTTAAGAGAGACTCGTTTCGGACAAGGATTGGTATCTGTATTGATCTTTAATATCTGCTTTTGAGATCAGATTCAAAATAAATGTCTTTTCATTGTTGATTGTTGTCTTTTGATTAAATAATTTGCTATAAACTAATTAGTTTGCTTTGGGAATCTTGAAGTTTATAATGTTTAAAAGCCTAACCTGTTGATTGGTATTTTCAAACTTCAATAAGTTTTGGGAATCTCAACATCTTTACGCTCATCAACGTCATCTTTTGAGCAAATAAAAGTACCATTGGAATGTTTCACCTGCCTTTTTGCTAAGCTTTCCTCAAAGGTATTGTTAAGTCTGCTATAACATAAAAGATAGTAAAGGAAATCACATTTTCATTGATATTAACAACAACAACAATCTACCGAATTCGGCATCAGAAAAAAAAGGTAAGCAAGTCACAAAAAAATTACTACAAATGCAGAAGGTAAAAAAGGCAAAAAAGCCTTTCACTTCATTTTTTGTTGTTGAAAGTGTTGTAAAGTTTGCAAATAAGGTCCTCTTTTTGGTCTTCAACATCACATATGGTCAATGAAAAATGTACCATAGTGGTTGACCAAATAAAAAATACTTACGGATTAAGTGATGTTTTATTATCAATTGAATTTATTTTTACTTTTCATAATCATTTATACATATGTCATCATTGAAATTGAATAAGAAACATTGTTGACTAGTTTTTTTAAATAACAGTCCAGGTTATCAAAATTAGTAATTGAAATTGCTTTGAAAAATTTATCTTCTGCATTTACATGTAAACCTTATTCAATAATAATTATTTGGATGAAATTTTCTTCACTCAATTGACAAATCTTCTTACACTCTGTTTGTATCGCTCATTTAAGAGTGATAATTACAATAATCTTGAATCTAGTTGATGGTGATTAACTTTTCTCTTTCTCTTCATGTTCACAGTTTTTAGGTTGGGCTATTATTACCTTATAATTATCGTGAATCGAGTTGATTATTGGTCTTGGCTGTTTTGGCTCTTGAACGCTGCAAATAAAGGAGACAATTTCGTCAGTCAGCAATATTGAAATCCTCTAACAATTCCTGATCAGCCATCTTGAAATTGATTTTAATGGTAACCATTGATGATGTTGATTATTGGTTTTGGCTTTTTGTCTCAATTGTACAGAAATGCTGAAAATTATTGGTGTTTTTAATTGCTAAAGGAAACGTGAATAGATTACATTGTTATCATTGGTTAATAATGGATTTTACAAGGGAATGAGAAAAGTCAAGTCAATATAAATATGTACAATTAACTCAATGATTTACTGTTATTGCTCTTGAACATTACATTTTTTTTTATTTTATTATTTCCTCAGACTGACCCAATTGTTACCTAGCAAGGTAAATTTAATGTTTCCGGTGCGATTGTAAACTGTAATTCAACATTCAAGTGTTCAACCTGATTATTTGATGATTTTTTTCCCAATCAAGTGTTAACTTTTTTCTGCCAAATGCTTTTTCTTATCAACTCACCACAATTAACAATATTTACAAGTTGATTGTGATTCTGAGTTACTTGGACATTCTAATTCTCAAGTTTTAAATGATTAATCAGCTTTAAAATGTATGGCTTTATGTATTTACTCAGTTTTGGTGGTTAAATCAATTTTAAAAGGCAATTTTTCTGGGTTTCAATAATTTTGCAAATCAAAAAAAAATCAAGGTGTGTATAATTGTAATAATGAATCTGGAATAATTGATTGTAATGCCTTCCAGTTGATCCAATAAAGTGTAACAAGTTGTTTGATTGTTACAAACAAAAAATGAAAATGTATTTAGTTGTTATTACCAGCTAAGCAAATACGTTGAAATACAGGCTGTTGAAAGGTAATCATTGATGATAATCAAGGGAAACAAAATAAATAAAGATAACCATGTTAAAGATGGTTCATTGTTGATAAGGTGTTTGAGATATTTGAAGGTCACACAGTGTGAATTAAATAACCTGATGGTCAAAATATAAGGAAGACGATGAAAAGGTGACCAATGTTTACCCAATAGCTAAAGGTTTCTCTTTTTGCTTCCAATTGATTGTTGAAAGGCTTTAACATTTCCCTTGCACAGCATTTTCTTTGTTCTTAATCAATGTTGAAAAGGTAAACTGGAAACTTGACTAAAGATGATGATGATGATGACGATAATAATGATGATGATAATGATGAAGATAAATGAGGGTGAAATGGTAAGGAAAATATTGTTCAAGATTGTTTACTCAAGGTGAGTGAAGGTAAAAGTATCTCTGGGAAAATTTTTGTTGGTCATTTGTTTTTCTTTTTGCTTTGTGGGTCAACATTTCACCTATCCAGCTTTACTCTTTCTTTACCTTTTCTCTTGCGTTCCAAAGTGTTCTTGGTTAAAATATTAGGCCTTTACCTTTGACCGAAATACAAAATTGTTTAAATGGTCTGTTTTCCAACATGCATTGAAAAGGCTCTTTTGTCAATGAATTTTGTTTTTCCAATCCAATGAAAAGGACTCAACGAATTATGAGTATTATATAAAAAAGAGAAAGGGTTTATTTTGGTCATCAAAATTGTTGCTTGAATGATCAATGAATAGAATCTGTGCCCATAAATTGACCATCCAAGTGTATACAAGAATCCGTTTATCTGAATCTGGTCAGTTGTGAAGCCAGGCTCTTTAGGAAAAGTCCAAAGGATAACCTAGAAAAAAAGGGTGACAAGGAAGAGAAAGAAAAGAGAGAGTTAAGCCTAAGAATAAATAATATGATAATAATATATTCATCTTGAGTTTTAAATTTCTTGTAAATAAAATATAAGTGAAATAATCAAAATGATAATAATGAGAGGTAAGAAAAAAAAGGTTAAGGTTAAGGTTAAGGTTGTTAGGAGGGCGAAAAAAAGCAAACCAAAAGATGCAGTGAAAGAGGTAAGAAAAAGGGATTAGATTTTCTGTGAAAAGGTTTATTTGATCAATTCACGGTTTTATGAATTTCAACAACACAATTTAACAATGAGGTTAACTAATGTAATACGATAATATTAATAATAATAAAGGGTGACTATTTATTTATAAAATAATCATAATAGTTTACCTGAAGAACGATGAAGATAACCAGTGAAAGGAGAGAGAGAGAGAGAAAGCAATGAGGTTTTACTTGTATAGTAATCACAGACAAGGGTCAAGCCTTTTTTTCATAATATTTGTTGCTCTAGAGATTTTTCATACTTTCTTAACTTTATTGTTAGTTTCAAGTTTCAATCATTTTCTTTGGTCACTGTTAATAAAAAAAAATATTTGCATAAATATTTTGACCACATTGTATTTTTCAGTTTAAATCTTTTAACCAACAAACTTGATATTAATGGTTCTTAGGCCTTTCATTAGATGGTGTTGAAGTTGTAACCAAAAGGGTGACGCTTACCAATCAAGTGTCAATCTTTTTCCTTTATTTTATGTGACTTATAAGTTTCCATGTTATTAATAATATTAATTATGTGTAATTATGAATAATAATTATGTGTCAGCCTGCCGACACTTGAACACTCGGCGGCTTCGTAATTTAAATTTACTGATGAATAAAGCTGAAGTGTAGTACCAAAGCTACATGTTGTGTTTCTCTATAGATGTAGTGGTAAGTATGGGTTGTCCAACAAAAATGGACTTTTAACTCTTTCTTTTAAGCTCTCTTCATTTTAACAAGATTCATTGACCCAAATGGACCCAACAAATCATCCATGTTAAACTCCTTCCTATAAAATACTGATAAATCGACAGGAACTACAGTCCTAATCTAAAAGAGTTTGACTTTTACTCTTTGCATAATCTGCATTACTAGGCCTATTGAAGATCTTTGACAAAAATATTTTTTGAATAATTTTGTGTTTTATTGTTGCTTTATTCATTTTGATTGATTATTTAACTTTAGTACGATTCTAAATCAAATTAGATCATTGCATGTAAATACTTTTAGATGCATTCTAGTGTTACTAGTCCATCAAATTGTGAGTATTTTTGCCATCGCTCAACTTTTTTTTCACATGAACTTGCCATTGCACATTGAAACTTTAGTTTATACTGATTGTTTTTTAATTGTTTACCTTAAATTGCTCATTATTCTTCTCCCCAAGTTATCATTGTTATTCAATTTTCAAATATCTGTTCTCGTGATAACCTTAAGGCAAATTATTTTATGCAAAGTCAATGTGTTGATAAGAAAAGATTGTTTCTCTTGTAACAACTTCTTAAGTAACCTTCTTCTTCTTCTTTTTTTCAGCTAAATTAAGGTTCACCCACTGATCATCATCATCATCATCAACAATCAACACTTGGAGGCGATGGTTTTAATAATGTTGAACACTCTTATTGTTACAAACCTGCTGTTAAACCATTAAAAAGATTAATAATCTTTGACCAACGAAAGTGAATCTACAATTGTCATAGATGAAGATGAGATTGAAAAATGTTTACTATTCAACAGTTACTCGAATACACCCAACAAAGGCCGCTGTTATATAATGGTCAATGAACATGTTGAGATTCACCAGTCTTAATCTATGGTCTGCAGTTGATTGGTAACTTATAAAACAAAAGCCAGACTAAAGTTGGAAGAAACCTTTAGGAATACTTCGTCATGGTAAACAACCTTTCTGCAGATTTATCATTGAAGCTTTCACCTGTATTTTCCTATGATAAATCATAATGTTTGAGTAGGCAATGCAAAAAATAGTCAACTTAATAATTTTTGCTACAATTAATGCTAGCCTTTTTATATTGGGAAATATGATATAATAATGCATTAATAATTTTGTAAATGTATTTATGTGCGTTTCTGCCTTACGGCCATTTTGTCAAATAAGTTGAAGTAAGGTTTTAAGGATTTGTTAGTTGATTCCTATTGAATAGCCTGAACCTACGCAAATACCTTTACTTTATAACATTCAACTTAATATTTTAAAGCTTGTCCAAGATGAACACACACACACACATCTCATCTTCATCTTGGCCATCTACGGCTCTTTGAGTAGATGATGATAAAAAGGCAGGTAAAAGATGAAAACCACAAAAAAAATTGGCATACCTTAAGATTATGGGCTAAGTCTGGGTAAAGTTGTCGATCACATTAACCTTATTTTCATGTTATTATATTTTAAGATGTTGACTGATTGATCTTACCTTCCTTATCAAGTATCAGTTGATTATTGAATTGATTGTAAATGAGAGAATTAAAATTATGAATTAGTCTTTAATTTGCCATTTTTCCTATTTTCAATATTGTCTTGAAACATTTAAACATATTTTACCATCCTTTGTTTTGCAGCCCTTAAACAATATCTTGTTTAACAATCAATTTACAATTTAAAACCTATTAACTTGAAACGATGAAAACATGATAAATTACTTCAATACATTAATGGTAGATTTAAACATAATATACTGTACTTATTTAGTTGATGATTTGATAAAACATACAAGAATTGATTCTCATAAAAGGTAAAAACTTGTCTTCCTTATACTTTTGCTTCAACATTTTATCATGATAACATCAGCTTAACATAAAAGTAAATTAGTTTTAATTGCATCTAATTTGATTCTTATATTTTTACCTCACAGATTCAACTGATATTTCAATCAACTAATTGACTAAACCACAACAATTTGGATTGGACAATTAAATCCCAAAAAGGATAAAAGATGTCCATAAAAATTGAAATATAATCTTGGCCAATATTCAAATCAGCTGTAAACCGAGAATCACTTTCACTGGATTAACTAAGAATTAAATTTGCTGCTGATTAAAATATTGTATTATAATCAATGATTGTAATTTGATCTGATAATTTACAAGCCAGAAGATGATGTGAAAGATGGACAACAATGAATTGGTTTCAATTGGAAAAGGCAAAGGACACGGAAAACGCCTTAAGGTGATATTATTTGCAGATTTATGTCCTTGATATTTCTTGGTGATTATATTGAACAATTTAACCACAGTTTAATGAGATTCATAATCTTAAAAAATCATTGATAAAACCGTGAGAAACCAGAAGACATTTTGCTTCACACCTTGAGTCTGGGTGTGACAATCTTACAAGGTAATAATTAAGATTTTCACCTTTACCATCTTCATCTTGAATCTCATCATTATCATCATCATCAATATAATCGATTAGGTGTCCACTAAGGTGATGAGAAATGTAAAAATAAGGTTAACTAATGATGAGCAATCTTGATTAACGCCATTTCACAATTGAATATTTATGTTTGGCAAAGCAATGTAACTCAGCGAAAATTCATCTGCTCAATCAATTTGTTGTTTGTTTATTATACTTGGAGTGTTAATAAATTCAATTAACTCTCCTAATACAACTGACAACACTTTTAATTCAATAAAATCATTTGCCGTATTAGATTAATATTTGATTAATTTAACGATCCTAGATGATTGAAATAATATTCAAATTGCATCCAGTTTTTGCCAAATTTTCATTTCTCAAGTTAAATAATCATTTGATGATTTTTTCGTTACTTCAATGTTTCTCGGCTTATCACTTAGTTTATAGCTAATTTGATTAACTTGATAATGAATGATTATCATATTAAATTAATAATTAATTTCAGGTTAATCTGATTCTGATTCCATTTTTGGGTCCCATCTAATAAAACATAAATCTTATCACGTTAATCGCACCAAAGGGCTGCAATTTTCACAATCAAAACAGGTTGTTGTTTAAATTATTATACCTTAAAGAGGCTATTAGGAAACGTTAATTAAATTTGCGTTAATTAGCAATTAGTTGATTGTCAATACACCAACAATATAAGAAAAAGGTTGAATCATAAATCTTGTGAAATGGCCATCTAAAAGGTGGAAAATGTTCAAGACCAAAGTATATCGCTTTCATTGAATTGACTGATGAAAAATCTTTTGTTGGTCCTTATCCATGGAAATTAAACTAAACTTCATTTTATTGTGTAAATTAAGGAGCCATTTGAAAATTTGCTTTCATCTCCAAAAGATTGTGAACAAGACTCAATGACCTATCACTTTGTTTCTTTGTCTGCCCATTGAAAATCCATTAAAAAGTTATATCCAAGTGGAAAAGCGCACTGTATGTGTTCCTCGGCATCTCTTCCTCTTCACTGCTTTTCATCCTCAATAAATTTAATTTTATCGATCATTAGTCATCATACTGGAAAAGAGAGAGAGAAAAAAGAAGCGTCAATGTAACTGTTGTCAAGTTAATTTAATACATTTCAACTATCCAGTTAACTTTGTTTATTGGTAATTATTTAAGCAAAAATAAGGGGAAAATGGGAATCAACGATAAAGAAAGACTATACACAATAACATACATTTTGTCTATACATTGGTCTATATAGTGGTCTATTCATTTGTTCACTTAAAAGATGTTTTACTGACCTTTTTTACCTTTTACCTTTTACCTTTAAAGATCAAAACACAGTAGGACTTAAGATGGTTATAATCAGTATGATGATGAAGATGATAAGAGCATAGAAACTAATATTATAATTTCAACATAAGAAGCACATAAGTTACATGTTTCGGAGTTCACAATGACACTGACCAAACCTTCTGTGTTTCTATTAAAACTGTAAGGTTGACAGGGTTTCACTGTAGACACATAATTCACTGATTGTGATTATTGGAGAAGAAGAGCGTAAATGGGAATTAAATTGTAAAATTATGAGACACTAATTACATAAGATTGCATTGTCGTTGTCAATAGATAATTACACATAAATTTTCGGGAAAATAACAATTGGATGAGAGACACACTGTGGTGTAAAAAGAAACTGTCAGCTGTTGATATTAAAATTTTTCTCTATTTTCCCAAACATTTAATCCAATTGATTGTATTATTTAGTGTGTTCAGTTCAGGTGTTGATTCAACAATTGGACAAACAGACTTGGACAATAACCATGTTCCTCCAAATGCTTGGTATATTTCAGTTAATCAATCGCTCAAGAATTTCATCTTTGCCTTATTACCGGCGTTTATTCAGTGTACCATGGATTCCTCCTGTGTTTATTTTCATCTAAAGGACATTTAGTGATTAAGTAATAATAAAATTGAAGTTTTAAAGCTTTGATTAACTTAGATTTAGAAGCCATTATTTATCCAATTTCCTCGACTAATTGGGTTACATTAAATGATCTTCTGCTATAATTAACAATCAACAGCATGAACAAAACTGCATTTTCTGAAGTAACCTAACAAGATTGAAAAGAAAGGTGAATAATTAACTCACAAAGAAAATCAATTGTGAAAAAATTATACCAACCATAATTAACGAAGCCAATGAATACTCAACAGCAGAGAATATTGTATTGAACTTTCCTCCCCTGGTATGTTCCAATACTTGAATGATTTTAATTTTAGATGGACCAGGAATTCGTCTGAACATCAATCGATTTAACTGGAATAAACACTTCTCAATCTTCATCACATTGTTCAACCAAACGGTAAAGTATAAGAAAGATTTATTAGATTTATTCACATGATTTTGTTTGTAACTAAAATTGTTTTTTTTGCTGCATTTTCTCTGATTTAGCTGCAACTTTGGAAGTTGAATTGAAAATTAATATTTACCTGTACTTTAGCAATGTGTCCAGCTATAAAATGAATCGATTGGCCACCAAGAAAATTGACAATTGCCATCAGGAAAAATGAACATTTCATGAGAAACGGAACTGATACAAAAAAGAGGAGATACAACAGGACTGATTGAGCCAAATAAGTGGATAAAAAGATTGTTGAATTGAGATGTTCCCAGAAAACTTTGGATCCGTTCAGATGACGAAGTTCCTTTGTGACTCGGTGAAGGTACACATTGATGTGCTTTGCTGTCTGTTTATTTATGGCTAAATAATTGATCATTTTATCTACTCGTTTGGCTAGTCTATTGAATGTTACTCCAAGCATCATACAATGAAATGTAAACATACAACCAGTGGATCCTAGATAAACAGCGGTCAAGAATGCGTTAAAAATATTGAGTATATAATTAAAGAGACAGTAAGCAATCAAACTGGTCGGACAACGTGATAGCGTGATCATCTGAAACAAAGCAATACCAGCCACAGAAAAAACAAGAACAATCCTTGTTTGAAGAAGAAAACTTTTCCTTATTAATTTATCTAAAGAAGAGACTGAAGCTTTTGGTGATAAATATACGAAGCTTTGGATCCAGCTTTGATGTTTCTTTGAATATTGAGTGTATTTTATGAACAGAGCACAGTATAAGGTACCAGATAACCATAATAACAAGATGAGTGATATTTCTCGGTGAAAAATGAATCCAAGGGAAACTGTTGGTGCTCCTAACTTGTAAAATATTGGATCGTCACTTGGATCGGAAAATAATAACCAAAACTCTTTTAATATTGCTCCAAAGTAGATGAACAGGGACAATGAACAAGTCAATACTAAAAATGATGATTTACTAACATTTACTGGTAAATAATTAAGATGAATCAACTGTTTAGCAAGATAATTGTTGAAATATTCATAGAGATTTTCATGAGGTTTACCTATTTCCTTCATGTCGATCAGTGTAGCCATTACTTGGTTAACTCTCGACACAATATCTTGTTTCTACTCAACCTTTTGTCCTGAATAATTTTACTTTTCATCTATTCAACTGGAATGAGTTAGTTTTTTCAACATAATTCATGATCTTTTGTTTCTTTTTATAACATTTACATAGGATTTATTGCTAGGACAAGAAAGTTAAGGTAAACATGTTTTCTTATTGCTTTTTAATGTTACCTAAATCTGAATCAATAGATCAGTCTATTAATGGACAAATAATTCAAGTAAAAAACATAATTAAACTCTCAACTGTAAACTTATCGATTATTTTTAACCATTTAGCCTATTAAGTGCCATCAATCTATCGAGCTTTTGATTTATGCCATGAATCTTGTTTACTTTCATAATATTATTATATTTCTTCCAAATGTATCATTTTTTATTTATGAGTTTTCCATATTTCCTTCAAAACATAAATCTATTGAATTTTGTTCTTTTGATCTTTTCAGGGAATTAAACTTAAGATGACCAAAAATTAGCCAAAAAAGTGCAAGTTGGACTCAATTTTATCGAAAACTACTGATCATCAAAATGGCCTCAGTTGTAATGACAAACCCACAAAGTCCCAACTCGAGAAGTCAGACTTGTATCACTACTCCTTACATGTAAGTTACCTACATCAGTGAAAAGCTGATCAACATTTATTAAATTTTATAAATTGTTATCCACCTACCTTGTAATTTAATAGGAAACCTCTGTTTAATATGTCCTTTTACCTTACCTGTTGCCTTATGAAACTATCTTCCTTTACCTATTAGGATGTATGTTTAACTTAGGTCTACACAGTGAGCATCAATCAAGATAATCACAATTGAATAAAATGTAAAATATTTCATTCTCATCACCGCCCAATGAATTTTGTTTGAAAAGCTATATTATTATCACCATCATTATGATTATTATGAGTACCATCAATGTTAAGGTACGTTCCTATTCAATTTGTAATCCTTAATTCTTATGATGGCGGAGATTAAATTTTTTACTTTCTTCTTCCTCTTCTTCATTTAGCTAATAATTTATCGTCCTTTTATCAACTTCAGGTTTTACCATCTATTTACTGTTGATGTTAATTGTTACCAGATTAGTTTTGTAATTCAAATTGTTGTTAATCTCCTTTGGTTAACCATAATAATGAAGATAAATCATTCTTAAAATTTAACTATAAGGGTCACACAAATGATAATCAAAACCACAATCCCAATCATCACCATAGTTTGTTTTACAATTCAACCTTTCAACAAATTATTCAGCAAAATTAATCCTTATTGAATTGATAATGAATTGTTGAATGATTTAACATTCAAAAGTGAGTCCAGTTAACATTAACATTTGATTTCCAAATGCAATTGTGAATAATTTTCAGTCTCAGACAAAGCAGTTGATGGTTACAATTAACTCTCAACATTAAAATGTATATTACTATGGTAATGACAATGATTAAAATTGAAACGATTTATGATCCTTTCTCCCAACCAATTTACCTTCACAGCTAACTAGAGCTACAATCAGCTTACAATAAATAATAAAAAAAACAACAATTGTTAATCAGTTTGAGCAATAAATAATTTTAATTTGTATCTTGTAACAGGAAGGTAACAAGTTAAGGTTCATGTTTTATTGCCAAGTTAAAAATGGGTTCAAATAAATTATCAACACTAATCTATTATTTGCTGATGTATTTGAATGGACGCCCTGGACTGATCATGGTGGCCTTTTACCCTGGACGTTAATCAAGTCTACACGGGAAGACGATAAAGATGATAATGGGTGACCTGGGTGCCAATGCTTTTTTCACCGTAAAGTGACCCAGGTCATCGGGCGTCAGCATCCTCATTATGGATATACCCTTACCATTGGAAAGATTTATGTCATAATTGGATATCCAACCTTTTCTAGTTTTGTACCTTATCAACCTGTCCATTTGATTTTGCCTCGTCCATCACATGTAAACTTAATTTCTTATCAATACCTTCTTCCTTTTGACCATCATCATTATCCTCATCTTTAATGTCTTTTGGTCTACAGCTTTAACCTTTCATCTTCACCATCTTTTTTTATCGTGACTTGAAGACATTTAGGTGCAAACCAAGAAACCATGATCTTCATCTTGAACCTTTTTTGCCTCCAATTCACCTTTACTCTTGTAACTTAAGGTTGTGTCTGTGTGTGTGTCTTCAAGTATCATCTTGAAGCTTCTTCATCATTGTCCAGATAAATTATTACACCCATCGATCATCCACATCAATTTAACAATTTACAAAGCCATTAACTGTTGTTGTTTTTTTGTACCAAACAGCGTTTTATTTTTAAATTGGGATTATGTTTCTTCGTTTAGAGTTTTGTTTTTTACCTTTTGGCTCCTAGTTTTGGCCTTTTATTACACTTTGCTCCTTTACCTAACCCACTAATTAACCTAACAATTAAGGTAAAAGAAGCAAAAATTTAACACGAAAAAATAAGTCAAAGTCTTTCAGTTTTGTCATTCAATGTTGCCATTGAACCTCCCAACTCTTGATTCAACTGAATTGACTAAATGTTGTTTCCGAGAATTTATTCCTATCAATGAATTGAAACTGATTTTACCCAAACCCAGGTGTAAATGTTAACAATTAAAATTAAGACCAACTAAGATTGAAGAAGGATGTTGATTACACAGAAAAGATTTTTACTCTAATTGTTTACTCTCCCAATAATCGCATCAATCACAATCATATAATATAATAGCATTTATAAAATTATATTATTGCCAATGAATAATCATAATCAATCTTGAAAATGAAAACTGATGATGATCTTCATTTAATAAAGGTAAAACATTAAATTGAGACGCCCTTCTAACAATTTTGATTTACCTTGTAAAAAAGTGAAACTGTAATCTAAATTGTTATTAACACTGAAATCTGTGTACGTTGTTGGTCTAATTGTTGGTCGAAACCATGTTAACGAAAAAAATACATGAATCGATCCATCATTGGAAGTAACATTTTTGGCCATTTTGACCTCCTAACAGTTTCACGTTAACCTTTTTTTTAACTTTTGTAGCTAAAAATGGTTGCTGTTAATTTTAACATGTAAACCAATCTCACCTTTCAATCAACAGCGAGGTTAAAGAGAGTAAAAAAACAACCTTTAACCTAACATATTACTAAGGTCATCGCATTTAATTGAAACGATTGAGATTGATCAGTGAAAAGGAGAGATTGAAAGATAATTGAAGCTAACTGAACAACAAGACTAAAAATTGATGTGATTTTTACAATTTTTACATTTTCTTCATCTTACATCATTTTACAGCCTCTGATGGCATTGACACGATTGATGCCATTAGTTTAACCTTTGACCAATGGTCATTGGTTATATTTTGCTGAGATAAACAAAATTTAGACTTGAAAATATGTCAAAAAAGCAGTAACATTCATGTATTTGCTCAGGCCTTGCAGCGACTTCAAGTGTCTGACTTCTTGTTCAACGTTGATTCCTATCATTGGTTAAATTGCTACAAACAACAATTTAACTTGCTAAATCATTGGAAAGTAAAAGATTGATCGATTAATATATTATCACATTTAGTTGCAGTAAAAGCATCACGCAAGGAAATACAGCTAAAAAAGTGAACAGTCAATACAGCTAATAATGGTTATTCAAAGTTGAACAAGCTAAACATGGAATGATAACAGTTTTAAACTCTCTTTTTTTTCTGTAACACTAATTGTCAATAAACACTGTCAATAACTGTTTTCACTGTTGACGTTGTCAAAGGTTATTACTGTAAACCAAATAATACTAATCTGCAAACAATACTGATCTACAGGTCTGATCTCATATCTTGTTTACTGGCAATCAATGTGCAAGGGCGAAAGCAAAAAACAAAATCTTGTCCACAAATCCATTGATATTTGATTAAGGTTAATCCAAGGTATTCATACGACCAGTGCAGTGTCCACACTAACTGATTGTTCAGATGATTAAGGTAAACAAATGGTTCCCTGTGAATGATAAAATTGAAAAAAATAAACATCTATTAGTAAGAAATTAAATGTAGCCTTTGATGTACAGATAATACCTTAGTTAGCACCCATTAGTTTGTAATAAGCATCTGGTCTTAAAGCTTGTCTTGAAACATTTACTTTGTACTCCTGGCTTTTTGTTATCATCTTTCGGGATCAAGATCAGCATGAACATCATCTTCCTTGAGGTATTTTTTCGGTTAAATACACAGTTGGTGACCTGGAATACATATTATCACGATAAAAGATCAACATTATTAACAAAGATCAATGGGATGAACATGTGAAAGGAATGACGATGGATGATTATTATGGTGATGATGATACAAGAGATAGAGAGAGAGATAAGATGAAATATATTTTGTTTAAGGTAAAAGGTGAAATAGGTGAAGGTGGGATAAACCTGAGACAGAGCTGGGTGGGTGTGAAACACACGAAAATTAGGAGTTTGTTTTACCTTTGCTTCTTTGGTGATCATACCTGTGAACTACTAATTATCTTTAATAACATAACGCTAACAGACAATGTAAATATTATTATTTACTAATATTGGTGAAAAGTAAACCTTTATGTTACTAATTTAGTCCATTTTTTGTTTACCATCGCTATGAAAATATAATTTTACATTGCCTTTTGACCAAGAGCATATGTTTTTGCCTTTCAAAGGTACAAGTGAATAATACTTGTTGGTGAAGATGATGATATCAACCCTAGGGTTAAGTTGACCAAACCTTTCCATTTCTGTTTCAATCTTTCAATATTTATCTTACTATCATGCTATGTCATATTCAAATTACCCTATCTATTACCTTTCACCTTGGTCTTCTATTCATTTACCTATCATTTTTGGTTTGTTAATGTGTAAATAAATGGTATAGACTGAAAGGTTATACCCTTGCAAGGTATTATTATTCACAAGTATCAATGTTATCTGTTTGTTTGAAATAGTCGAGAGAGTGAGAGCGAAAAAAGTCAACCTTTCAATGTGAAAATAACTAGGAATCACTTTCAAAGGGTGAAACAAACGCCTATTTTTAGCTGTAATAGGATGCGTTGAAAGGTTATTACTAACAAATAAACGTATAATTTACCTGAGTAACATTTTTGCATGTGAAAATATGAAGATTACATTACAACTGCTGGACTGGGTCATAGGCTGGAAAATGGTCTTCAATCAGCGAAAACAATACAACTGGTTTAAAAAATTAAAAATGATTGCCTGAAAAAAGAAGCTTTTGGTTAGCTTTGAAGCGATGGAACACAAACTTTGAAATCATTTGGAAACTCAAACAAGCAGAAATAATTAAGAAATATCTAGTTAAAATGATAAATCATGACGAATTAAAGTAAAATCTTCATAACTAGATGAGAATGGTTAATTAGCAAATTAAATCAATCCAAGTTATTACAATTGAATAAAAAAGATTCCGTTTAATAGAATTAAATGAATCCGTTATTCATCGAGAGATGGCAGTGCTGATTATTTTATTTCATCCCTTCAATTAAGGTTTTTAGTTAATGAAAAATATTTATTAATCAAGTCATTTTTATTGTTTTTATTCTTCTTTTTCATGGTGATGTGGCGAATCTTGGAATTCAGTAGTTCTAAACCTTTGATAACTATTCATTGTGCCTAGTTTTCTTGTGTTATCCAGCTTGAATTTCAGTTGTGACTATTTATAAACCAAGAAAAGGACAGAGACCACCAAAAAATCATTCACTTACGTTTACATGGTATAACGGTGTATCAGGATGAACAGTTATCAGTCAGGCAACGACCGCCTCATTATTGAAGATGAAATCAAAACAAAACATCGGAATGCATTATTTGTTATCATTGCCCTCTGGAAATAATCCTTTGTAAAATTGACTTCAAAGACTATTAATTTAATAAAGTTTCAATTCTCCAAGTAATCAAATGAAAAATCATTTATTTATTCAAAAACTTTCAATTTTATGCAATCAGTATATTCAAACCAGGCGACGAGGCCAGGTAAATAAGGAGCTTGAAGGTTTCCTCGGTAAAATGTTACTGTTTGTATTTTTAGATGAATTTAAGGTGAAAAATGAACGGATTATATTGTTTTTGTTCATTTAGTAGTTTTTAATTTGGCAATTCTTGATGGATGTGTTATTTTTTAATGTTTTCAATATCATCAATTCAATTTAATTCCTTAATTGTTTTCAATCTTCTCTCGTTTTCAAAAATAACTTTATCCCTGTAAAATTGAATTCAGTTGAACTTGGCTTTTACTCACTAAATTCACTACAACCTTTTGTTTTACAATTAGTACACACTTTCAGAGGGTTGTTTCAAAAAGACACACTTATGTAAAAATTGACACAAATGAGCAAAACGGGTGAAAATTATTCTCTTTCAAGATTAGACTCTGTTAGGGACATGAAAACTGAGTCCATTTATGGGATTCAAAATTTTCTCCGATCGACAGTTTGTTAGAGGATCGAGTTCAAAGTTGAAACTTAGATTGCCTTTTGTACAATTATGGAAGCAGATTCTTCCCTAAAATAATTTATTGACGAACTTTAAGCATAAAGCAGAAAATGAACTCGTTTTGAGAAATAAAGTTTTCTGTTTCTTTACAACAGGTCAAGTTCGATTTCCCGTTAAACATTCCGCATTCTATGACCGTAGGAATTAGGTGGCTTAAACTTAATTTTCGTCTATGAAATTGTTGATAAACATCAACGATTGAACAATTTAATGACAATTCTATTGATTTAAATCATTGACTTAAGCACTTTGACCATCAATATTTAGAAATTGACTATTAGTCTATTTGCAAAATGGCCGTCAACAATGCAGCGACTAATTTATTGATACAATGTCTATGCCATTGATGCTAAACAACCACAACCTGCATCAAAAAACGTTAGAAATCGTAGTTACAAGTACCGTAAACCCTATTCTTTATACGATTCCAGTTTGACATTGCTTTCAGCACATTAACCTATCTTTTATGCGCAAAATAATCCAATGATCAATATGTACATAGCATCACAATTAAAGCGTAAGAACAAGACAGTATCGTTGGATTCTAGTTTAATTACAAATCATTTTATTTACAATAAAAGTTAAAATTGAAACATAATTACTGTTTATTCATTGACGAGATGTTTTAGGACACAAATTGGACTGAGTTTTGTATCAAGATGGCCTAAGTAGCAACTTCAAGCATCATAAAACGTCTTCTTTATTAAGATGCATAACAAGAGTTTTCACATTGCTTTCCAGTTTAAGAACCTATTAGTTTACCGATAAAATTAGCGAAACTAGCATCAATATTAAAATGTGATCAATGCTCAAGGTGTTCAATTCAATTCTTAAATGATTAATAGCAAAAATAAGACCAATTATTGTGATTTTACACCAGGAAATGCTTAAATCGTAGCAAATTTAAGCACAATAAACACTCTTTCTTTACTTTCTATGCATAATAAGCACTATTTACAACTTTACAATTTTGACGATGAAAGTTTTAGCACTGTTTGAGAACCACTTTGAGTTGCAATTTGAGACTTTATGGGTTTGTAGAAGAATGAAAACTGAGTCCATGAGTACTATTAAATTGTTTCTCCGATCAATAGTTTTCGAGCAAATACAGGTCAAAGCTGAAACTTCGATTCGCTTTTGTGCGATTGTGGAACAAGATTTTTTCAAGAGATTCATTTTCATGAGGTAACCTTGATGGGCAACCAGAAATTGAACTTATTTCAATCAATAACCTTTTCGATTTCTGGATAAAGAGATAAGTTCGATTTTCAGTTAAATCGACAGATCTTTGTGACCGTATAAGTTAGAAGGCTGAAACTTGTTATTCATGCATAAAAATGAATGATTAACATTGGCGACAAAACGATTTTTTTCAAGTTATTGATAGTTCTCTTGATTTTGGACGTTGACCTGAAAAGTTTGAACATCGGTATTTCGAGAATGGCAGCACTCACAATCACCATTCTTTGATTAAACATTAGATTTTATTATGAACTATTACATGATGTAGCTGAATATTGACGAAAATCTAAGCTAATTCATTTAATTATGAATATTTAAAAGTAACCATTTGCTTTTATCGATAAAGATTAAATCTGACAGCGTTAGTAATACAGTGCTATAGCTTTTTTTGTAGAATATTGAACAGTCTAAATTTTCAATATCTTCAGAGTCAATAATAAAATCTAATGTTTAATCAAAGAATGGTGATTGTGAGTGCTGCCATTCTCGAAATACCGATGTTCAAACTTTTCAGGTCAACGTCCAAAATCAAGAGAACTATTAATAACTTGAAAAAATCATTTTGTCGCCAATGTTACCCATTCATTTTAATGCATGAATAACAGGTTTTAGCCTTCTAACTTATACGGTCACAAAGATCTGTCGATTTAACTGAAAATCGAACTTATCTCTTTATCCAGAAATCGAAAAGGTTATTGATTGAAATAAATACATTTTTTGGTTGCCCATCAAAATTCATCCCACGAAAATGAATCTCTTGAAAAAATCTCATTCCACAATCGCACAAAAGCGAATCGAAATTTCAGCTTTGACTTCTATTTGCTCGTAAACTATTCATCGGAGAAACAATTTAATAGTACTCATGGACTCAGTTTTCATTCTTCTACAAACCCATAAAGTTTCAACTTTCAACTCAAAGTGGTTCTCAAACAGTACCTAATATTGCATCGTCAAAATTGTAAAGTTGTAAATAGTGCTTATTATGCATAGTAAGCAAAGATGAGGGTTTATTAAGCTTTAATTTGCTGCGATTTAAGCATTTCTTGGCGTAAAATCACAATTATTAGTCTAAATTTGCTATTAATCATTTAAGAATTGAATTGAAAACCTTGAGCATCGATCACATTTTAATATTGGTGTTAATTTCGCTAATTTCATCAATAAAATACAACAATAATAGGTTATTAAACTAGAATCTCATCTCCTGTTCTTTCGCTCTAATTTTGATGTTATGTACTCATTAACCATTGCTTATTTTGCAATAGGCTGATGGACTGAAACGCAATGTCCAACTTTTTTGACAACACAGTAAGAATAGGGTTATGGGAACTTAAATTTATTTGATTTTAATCGTCTTTTGATGCAGTTTGTGGTTGTTTAGACTTTTAATAAATTTAATGGTATTTACAATGTATGGCTTGATTGCTAACGCTCATTTTGCATATAGACTAATACACAAGCAAACTACACGCTAAGTCAAAATTTCGTTTTTATTGTAAGATTGTGGCCTGGAATAGAGTTTACTATGTTAAATTACTGCAGTTTTCATTTCTTTCATTGAAATCATAATCAGACTATTAAACTAAAACTCTTTGTGCAAACTCTGGTTATGCATCGTATTAAAGAAGACAATTAATGGTGCTTAATAAAATGCATAATTAGTCAAAGAATGGTGATTATTGATGATCCCATCTTGAAACATCGATGGTCAAAGTTTTTAGGCTAATGGCTAAAATCAAGAGAACCGTCGATAATTTGAAAAAGATGTTCATTAGCCAATGTGTACAAACAATTTTTATACATGAATAGTAAGTTTTAGCTTTCTAACTCTTACGGTCACAGAAATTTTAACTGAAAATCTAGCTTCGAAATTTCCATTTATTGTCTATTGGTATACATAGATCAATGAGATGAGCAATATTATGCTCATATTATACTCATAACCTAAAAATATGTAAGATTGATTTTTGATTGTGTTTCTAGTTTATCTCGCTAACCGAAAGACTTCGAGGGAATTAAATACTCATAAACCTAATTGCTCTGTGATGAAAATATTATCTTGTATTAGAATGGATTTATTTACATACTCGTTATTCCAAGTCTTATTTAATATGCAAATTACTTGAGATATTAGTAAGCTAATCGAGAAACTACTAAATTTTTGAAGGACACTGAATATTAAACAGTAAATTAAAAGTAAAGCTTAAGATGGCCAGTTAATGTTAACTTTCCTGTTTGCGTTGTTTATAAACCCTAAAAGCTTAGATTTGTGAATTTGTGTCTTTAAGCCAACAAGAAAACTCAAGCCGACTTATATTTTCGCTATATTTTCACTCAAATTGCTGATATAATAATTAATGCAAATTGAATAATCGGCAAGACTTTAACCAAATATACCTTTAATCATAATCTTATTACATCGTGCTTACCATTTCAAATAAATAACTTTCACATGTAAAAGTAAAATGAATTATCATTACTTCAACTATTAAACCGCTATAAATGAATATTACAGCCATTTGAAATATATCATGCAACTCTTGATGTAAATGATTTTTATGTTAACAAGCTGAGCCCCGATCATGACTGATCGTAAATTTCTTTTCACTGAATACAAAAATCAATCCACATTTAAAGACTCAAATTACTGATGAAAAACCATTGTCAAGAAAAAAAAATAAAAAAACTTTGGTTCAACAGTTGAGGCAAGATATTTTTTGCCTAACTCTTTGCTCGAAAAATGGCTCTACATATCCTTCTAATTTAACAATTAACCAACAATCAACCTGAACAACCAAAACATTTTTTCCCCAAAGTCAATAGTAAAAGATACGGATTCTGCATTTTTTCCCCTACCCTGTTTAAACGCTAATATCTCAGGTACCTGAATTCCGATGAAGTTCAGACTATTTTTCGTGGATGTAGTTTAATCATGGCTTTCAGGCTGTGAAAAAATTTTCTTTAGAATCCTTTAAGTTTGGCCACAATCTTTACACAAAAATTTCATGTTTTGACTTTATATATGGTATGGTATAGATACAATTAAAACTCTAAATGATTTGGCTAATGGTCAACTTGAAATGCTTTATTTTACAAGCAAATTATGAAGGGACGATCTCAGGTCAAATAGAGGATTTTGTTTTTCAAATCCATAAAAAATACTAATACAATTGAGCTTGACAGTTGAGCTAATTTATTGTTAATCATTTAATATTTATACTTATACAAAACATATTTTCCACTCATTTTTATTAGACTGTTCATATTAATATCATTTTTTTGGTACACAAAATGTGTAAGTGGTAAAATAACCAGAGGCAAAAATACAGTGTTTGTCAGGTCAACCAACAGATATGATTAAGTTTGATAATTTTAAATTGTTGCCCTTGACATGTCTTTAACTAAGGCCATAATATAGTTGAATGACAGCTTTAAGCTTTGGACGTTTTTACTTATACTGGACTGTATACTGGACTGTATAGATAGTGAAAGGCCAAAATCAATTGGTTCTGGATTGTTGTTAACAAAAAGCTTTACCATTTGACTTCAACTTTCACTTAATAGCCTTTATGATTTGGTTAACTCAAAAATCTGTATTTAACTGAATCAAGATTAAAGTTGATCATATTAGTTAAGGTTTAGGAAAGGAGACGCAAAAATAGACTCTTTTTTTAATGAATAATATTTACTTTCTTTTATTTTGCCAATTGTTATTATTATAATATAAGATTTTCAATTTCATTTTTAAATCACTTTACACATTTCAATGGATATCAATGGCTATTATTATTGGTGAATTTATTGTCATTTCAATTGTTGTTGGTGTTGGTGGCAATTGGAATTAGTAAATGATCATTTGACAAGGTTAATACATCGGTTTTTGTGCTTTTATTTCATTCATTCAGCAACATTTTCAATGTGATTTTTGGCTTGTCAATTGATCATTAGACTGTTCACTGATTTGAGTAAAGATGCCATCGCTTTTCAACTTTAATGATGGTACAATAATGATTTCAATTTTGTCTCTCTTGTTGTACTTTTAATGTACAATCATAATCATAATCATAAACAATACAATATTTTGGTAAAAGTTACAAGTTTAAAGTGAAAATAATACTCTGTACATTAGACTGCAATAAATATAAATTGTAAATGATTTGGGGAAAGACGGAATTTACCTTGTTAGAGTTAAATATTCATAGTTGGGTTAACTATTAATATGAAAATGAATTGAGACAAGACAAGGTCGATTAGAACATCAAATGGCTTAGAGTTTCGTAAATTACTATTTAACTTAAGAAATTAAAATGATCTATCACGTGAAGAAGGCATCAAATAAAAGGTCTAATCAAAATTATGAGTTGGATTTGCAATGAAATTTCAGTGAACATTTGTTAATTTAGAGTTAGCAAGCAACATTGGTCAATTCAACAGCTGAAATATGTTTAAATTTAAAGCTAATCAGCTTCTATTAATGAATCAGTTTTTGTTAATCAATTTGCTTAATTTTCATCTTGTAATAACTCAAGGTAAGTTTCATTGTTAATCCAGTTATTGAAATTTCATCTATTTTTCAACACTTAACAAATGATTTACCTAACAGAGACAACACCAGAGACTATCGCAACAATTGGCTTCACTGAAACATCAAATGACTTGACTAGTTCAACAACTGTTTTAAGTGATGATTCAACGGAAATTATTGATTTAACTACTGAATCGAATGGAACTCTATTAACCACAATAAAATCAATAGACGTTACAACAAAAGCTACCACAGAAGCTACAACAGAAACTACAACAGAGGTTCCAACGACAACGATTTCTGATCCAGTTAAGGTGATAGATTATACAACTGAGTTGTTCAATAAGGATTGTCTCAATGTACATAATCAATTCAGAACTTTGCATGGAGTTGAGCCACTTAAAATGGATGATAAAGTAAGTTTGATGATTTATTCATTGATCTCCTTTTGTTAAAATCAAAATGTTTTCTTTTGGCAAAATTTTCTTTAGATAATTGAATTTGCCAGGCAAAGAGCAGCAACTTTAGCGCGGTTAAATGATACATCTTATTTGAAGCATGAATCAGGAAATTATGGTGAAAACCTTGCTGCTTGGCCTTTGTTTGGATCCATCAATTGTTCCGAGGTGTCACAGATTTGGTTTGATGAATATAAATATGTTTCCAATTGGTCTAACCCAGACTCTTTCACTCCTTATACATATCATTTTACCCAAATTGTTTGGTCTACAACTCGATCTATTGGTTGTGGTATGGCTGGACTTGAAGGAAGTGATTGGATCTTTATTTGCTGTAATTACGATCCTCCAGGCAATTATTTAGAAGAGTTTCAGTATAATGTTAAGCCACCAAGTTATCTTAATGAATCAGTTAATGAGGTTCAACATCCTCCACAAATTGGTAAGAATTGTAAATGTACTTGTCAAGTTTGATATGAAAAATTTGATCACCGTAATGTGTAAAAATAAGAGACAATTATGTTTCGATAAAATTATCAAAGTGATTTTTTTATAATTGCAACCAAAATTATTGAGTCCATGATTTAACCAATTTTTAGATTGATTAACTTATACAGGATTTGATTTATTTCAATTTGTTATTTCAAATATTATTGGCAAAAATAAAAGCCTTTATAATCTAGAGTTTTCATCTTTTTGCATTTAGGTTTTTTTGATTTATAAATAAAGGAAGAGAAAGGGTTAAATTACGGAAAAGTTAGAGACCAAGAATAGGTGAAAAATGGTAAAAGTGTGAAAAATGAAAGTCTTAGTGAACTTTACAAAAACAAGAAACATTTGCTTTGCATTTTATTTCCTAAAATGGCTTTTCTTCCTCCTTTGGAAAGAGAAGAAAAATTGAAGACGATGAAGATGAAAAGAGAAGGTGAAGAAAGAGATAAGACAGAGTTTTAATCACAATATCAACCAAGGGAAGAGCTGATAAAGGCAACTCCTCTTTCATAGAAAGAAAATTCATCGTGATTCGGTCCAGCTTCCAGATCAACGGTGAACAGAATTGCAGACCTATTCAAATTAAGATATACAGGTAAAGTGACTCTACATCCTTTGGTACCACCAGCTTTATCAGCTCTATTGAAATAAAATGCAAAAAAACGGTTAGTATTAAAAATTCAATTCTTAATTGGAAAATAATTCAAATTACCTTCTCCATCTAAGACGGGTTATTGGTGAATCTGTCATTATTACAGAAGTTAAATACAATTTATTTGCAATCGTTTTAGCTCCTTGTAATTTCAAACCTAAGACAAAATGAAAAGTAAAAAAGGTATAAGAAATCTTTATCTGATTCAAACATCGGGAAACTTAGATATTGATAATCAACTTACCAGTAACAGCAAAACTACATTCATCCATTTGTATATTTTGATTGTCTGAATCAGCGATCTCAACTTCAAGATCCAACTCTTCTAAAGACCAGTTATTGGCTTGAGCAACATATTGTCTAGTTGCGGTGATATAAGCTTCAGGATTGAATAGACCACCAAGCCAAACATGGATTCCCTTTAATAAGAAAATGAAAGAGAAAAATATTAGTCGATTTAAATCTTTGATAATGTTGAAAGATTAATTTACCTTTAACACAGAAGCTCCACCAGAAGTACATCGGTCAGAAACCTTTTGCAATTGTTTAACTCTATCACTAAAATCAGCAACCCATTGAATAACTGTTGTATCATGAGGAACTGTGTATTTCCTCCAATGTTTCGGAATCACTCCCATAGCCAAATCACTTAACATTATTCTGTGATGGTTAGTTTGTTTTTTGGCTGCTTTACAAATGAGTATAACATCGGCCAAATCATTACGAACAATATCTAAAAGACGAGAAGCACTGTTAACTTCACGTTCAAAGTAACGATAGAGAGGATCTTTGATGTTTTCAACGGTTCTATGAAGAGTTTGTAATGAATTTGGAAGCAAACGCAACCAATTAGTTGCGGAGTTAAGAAGAGTTCGCATCCAAGCGGGTCTTCCATCACCGGAAGGTTGTTTGACTCTTTTCGGGCCATCACTAGGTTCATTTTCACTAACATAAACCACATCTTCATCATCCTCAATCAATTGAAGCTTAAGAAGTTTGGAAACAACATTGGTTCCTTGGTTAGTTAACAAAACCTTTTCAGCATTATCTGGCAATCCAAGCCATGAAGGGGTTTGTTTATCAGGAAGATTTTCAACCCACTCGAGGAAGTGTTCTCGACCAATACCTTCAGGCATGTTTATCACAGATTTGGTTCCATCAGGACTGATCTGGGCAGATGTAAGACCAAAATCAGGCTCGAAGCTTTTAAAGGTGAATAGTTTATTGAGGAAAGATGTTAAAAGACGCTGATCAAAATCATTGTCAATTTTTCCTCCATAGATACATTGGCCGAATAGAGTTCGAATAGCATCCCAAGGAACTTTTTCTGGTGGTAAATTAGTTCTGTTCAGTGCAACTGAATCGATCCAAGTGTCTAATGTGTCGCTAGCAACACGGAGATCAGATTCATTAAATTCATATTTTTTGGACCAACCCAAAGGACAATATCGTAATCTCTCTTGAACAATGGCATGGAACCAAGACAATAAGAAGTAAAGTCGTGATCTTTCTGCAGGTAACCTAGTCATTCGTTCAGCTGGGATAGTGTTGAATGTTCTGAGCAGATTAGCCTTTATTCCTGGTGGTGGTTCAAAAACAAATATGCGACCAGCGCGGAGTAAGTTGACTGGAACTTTTGGATTTATTTCAAAAGTTAAAAACAATCTGAAACCAGGATGAGCCATTAAAGTGTGTAACTTTTTCTCTAATTGTACAAGCCATTGTGGGGCAAGATGGACGTTTTTCAATATTACCCAGCCACCATTTTTGGAAGCAGAATTGATTGCTTTTTCAGCACGGCTAAAACCTTCAGCTGATCCTAATGCAATAGAGGCTGGCTTGATACCAAGTTCAGCGGAAAGATCTTCAACACGACCAGAAGCGTCGTAACCGGGAACATAACACATAAGAATAGGATTGGTAGGTTTAATCTCTTTTTGGACAATACTTGTCATGTCAAGTTCAGTTTCCGCTGCTTGTAAGAAAGCAGAGCCTAAGACAGTTTCAACAACTTTGCGAGCCGTAGAAATGACACGATCAGGTCGAAAAGCTTTGGTAATTAATAATTGGTGCATAGCAATACCAACAGATGTTAAAAGTTTCTCATCATCCCATAATTGGGGAACATTCTCTTCAGCTGCTGTAGAATCCAGCCAGTCTTTCAAATTTGAACATGAGTCAATTTTTTGCTGAATGTTTCTGAAAGCTGGAAGTTTTGATAATGCGGTTCCATTTTCAAGTTGATCAGTATTGAGTAACGCAGATGAAATAGTCGGATGTCCAGGTAAAATTCCTTCTTTTCCACGCAGGAAATGATCAAATTCATTTTCAAAGTTTGGTTCACTATGAATAGTAATGAAAAATTAAACAAAACAAAATTAAAAATCAAATTTTCAAAATTAGTTTCAGTAGTTTATACTACATAATTTGAAGAGAATACTCACGCAGAGAAGCCACGAAGATGAATCTTGCAAAGAAGAAGCGCAAAGACGATCCAGTCATCATGTAACATTCCTCTAGTAACTCGTCGATAAACGTTCTGTAAAGAAAATAATGTGTGAGTGATTTGAAAGTAACCTTTTTATGTATATAATTTTTTTTACCTCAAATAAATCTTTGGTCACAATAGATAGACGCTCATTTGGTTCATTAATTCCTTCGAGATGTTGATTGCGAAGTAAAACATCACTATAAATGTCTAGGAAGAATTGTAAAGAGTATTGATAAAGGAAGTGAACGTGGTTGAGACCTTCCAGAGTGAAGTAGATTGAACTGCAAGCATGAGAAAGAGGCATATATTGCTGCGAAACGGCATCAACTTCAGCCATAACCTTATCAGTTTCTTCCACTTTACGGAATATTTCAGCTGCTTCGTTTTTCAATTTCTCCAAAGTAGATATCACATTATCATCATCAAGGATTCGACCCTTAGCATCATTCAAAGCTTGTAAAAGAGATTTTTCGAGTTGCCGCAATTTAACATGGAATTCTCCTTGCAATTTAAGCAGATCGGAACGTTTCTCGTCGATATCAGGTCTCTCAGCCTTAAGAACTTGGTTAAGACATTGACTTTGTAAACTACTACGAGTAACAGTAAAGTTGACAAATGTTACCCTAGAACAAAGGTCGGGTGAAAATTCAACGGTGGGATCTCGAGTTGATAAAAATATCGAGAAGGAAGGCGATAAATCAATATCTTGATCACCAAGTGTAATCAAAACTCTGCCACCAGTTTTGCGTACTTCACGATTCAAGACTGGATTTAGGATGGGATCATAATTTTCAACATCTTGGACCAGTAATGGATTACCGAAACGAAGAGCACTTTCAAGGTTCTTACGGAAAGAGTCGTCCAAGAAACTGGTTTTGGTGATCTTTTTGTTAGCAAACTCATTGAGAAGGAATTTCGTTGCTTGGCCAGATGGATCGATGATGAGAGGATAACGATTGAATCGTTTCAACATAATTGCATTTTCAACACAAAGATCATCACTTGGCAAACAATTTGCTTGCCATCTTAACCTCTCATCAGCAGTTGAAAGATACTCAGTTCGAGCAAGATCAGTTCGGAAGAGGATTCCCGCTTGTTGCAAATGTGTACACCAAGAGTTGAAAAGATTTTGACGATATTGTTGATCAAAATAACCAGCATAAGCAAGGAAAGCAGCCGAAAGTAGTACATCACCGGCAATAGTTTGCATTTGATGTTTAAATGTATCACTCGAAACTTTCCATCTATCCTTTTCAGAGCTAAGACTTGATATAAGTGCAATACTTCGATCAACTTTGGCTTGGACTGCAGCTAAATCAGCTTTAATGGCTTGTGCTTGACTAACGAGGTTGGCATATTCTTCTTTATATGAAGCAATGGACTTTTCTAAACTTGCAATAACCGCATCGATATCTGCAGCCTTTTTCTTATTACTTTCTGCTTCTGATTGTAAACTGGTCAGTTCGTTTCTTAAAGGTTCGATTCGCTTCAACATGGAGGAATAGTTGAGTTGAGCTATGGCCCATTTAACTAAAGGACCACAAGCAAGACTAGCACGGTTGACTTTTTCAAAATTGTAATCAGGATTATCCAAATATTTAGTTCGCATTTTTTGTCGAATGTCATTTCTGTGGGAAAATACAATTGAAAAGTATTGATTATTAAAACACAAGGATACTGAATTCAATGGAAGATAACGATGAAATAAACTAAAAAAACTGAAATAAAAAACACCGAGATTGATTTTTTTATTTCTTACGATATAGCTTCAGTATTGAATTTGAGGATTGTAGGAATAAAATTATCACGAATTATAACAGTTCTTATGGCCTTCCAATCAAGAACTGTTTCATTGAGAAGCAAACAAATTGATTCCAGTGCCATTTTTACGAGAATTGGAGGATTGCTCATTGATCTGACTTCAACTAAATGCTGCCTTTTAATACCCTTGACAGCTATGAATGACATTATGAAGAAATTGCGGGAAAAAGAAGCAGGAAAAAAATTAAAATTAGTTTCTTACGTTATATTGTCAGTTTGGAAGTTGACGATGGTAGAAATAAAGTTATCTCGTTGAAGAACAGATCTGATAACTTTCCAATCAGAGGTTGATTCACCAAGAAGCAGACAGATCGACTCAAGAGCCATTTTGACAGGGGGAGGTGGGTTAGACATTGATTTAACTTCGACAAGATTTTGTTTCTTGATCGATTGTACAGCTACGTAAAATACGTGCAAATTGGCCCAAATAAAAATTCAATAAACATAGAAATAAAGAAAAATAAAAATGATAAAGGAAAGGAAACGCAAATAAAATAAATAAAATGGTAAACAAAAAATAAACAAGATAATTTCAAATGCAAAAAACGACTGCATTCGGATAATTTTAAAGTCGATCGCAAATAACGGGATAAATATTGAAGCATTGTAATCAAACTTACCCTGTTGAGCTTCTTCTACAGCAGGTTCGACTTGTGACAGATCGGCCATAACACTAGATCGTTTCTCTTGGATAGCCGCTTCTTGTTTCTAAAGCCAAAGGGTAGAAAATAATTTGAAACGGTTCGAAAAATAATTAAAAGATAATAAATAGACAGACATACCTTGAGTTGAGCTTGAATATCTTGTGATTGAAGTTTACGCTTTTCAGCTTCTTGTTGGTCTTTCAACATTTCTTTCAATTTGGTATTGGCTGCTTGGTTCTTAGCTTCGAGTTCAGTTGTTTTAAGAGCAAGAGACTTTTGGAGTTCTTCAACTTGCTCAACGGTCTCATTTATTTTTGCTAGACCAACGTTGAGATGTAACTGCTCTTCTTCAAGTTCAGAGCATTTTTCGTGGAATAATTTAACATAATGGTTAATGAAATCCAAATAATGTCGAGGTGTAATGGTTGTAATACGACTTCCTCTCTTGAGTAGCCGCTTATTAGCCAAATGCAGGGTTTGATGACAATAAACAAGAGCGTTGATAATAGCAACTCGGTGGGTTGGTGGCATAGGTGTTCCTGGGAATGCCGTTGGAAAGTATTCGGGAGCTCTGTATGTTGGTCTATCAATGTCCAATTTAGCAGTAAACTCTTTACCAACTTCAAACAAAGCTTCATCAGACCAATCACCAAACCAATTAATAACACATCGATTGAAAAGAGCAGGTGATGTTGCGGATTTATCTTTAAGACCTTCGGATGATGGATTCATGGTGAAGACAACATGCAAATTTCTCATAACTTGTTGAGTAAACCATCGGTACAGCTCTTCATTAGAGTCCAGCATGAGACCTTCTCGTTGAGAAGCTTCTTTACATTGTGTCATTAAAGTGGTAAACTCATCTCCTTCAAATAAACCAGGAACCTCACCATTAGCTAAAAGAGTGTTCATTCGTTCAAGGAAACTTGAGTCCAGGACATTAGATTCATCTAAAATGAAAGCAATCTTTTCATCTTTGCACCCTGATCGACGTAAGACACATCGCAAGTCCTCATCAAAATCTGCAGCGGTATATTTGTTGTGAACTTTGATTTGAAAGATACTGAGACCGTTCATCCAAGCCACAAACCGTGAAAGTGTTGTTTTACCAGCACCACTAACACCGATTAACAGCACATGACCCTGAGGTTGTCGGAATATACGATCAATACGAAGAACATGGTCTAAAACTTCGTTGAAAAGTACAAGTTGAACATCCAACTCTTCTTCGTAGAAAACTTTGAGACGTGCTTTGATGAATTCTCGTAGCTCTTCCCGATCAACAGGAATGTAATCTTTTGATGTCCAGTTAGAATAGAGGATTGGTCGATCAAGAGCTTGGCGACGATCAATATTGGGAAAGTGTTTTAAAGCAACCATGTCAACATTTTCATCGGTCCAAACACGCTCTTCTTCTCCCACAAGACGGTCCTGAAATAGACGAAGAGCTTCGTGGGCCCAAAGACGAACAAGTCCTTCAACTGCGAGAGTCTCTAATGGACGAATAGCTTCATAGATACCGCGAACCCAACGAGTAAGTTCACGAGGTGAGTAAACATAGTGAGGTTGCATATCTTGAGTAAATCTTTCTTGTGACATGAGATAAAATTCAACCATAGCTGAGGTTAATGGGTCAGCATAGGTTCGTAGTGAAGGTATAACACGTAACATGGCACGATTGAATGTACCATAAATTTGTTTGAGTGAAGTTTCACCGGGATAATCAACGTACACAACAGGTACATGACGAAGGAATCGATGAGAAAGCGGTTTACGACCGGGATCGGTGGGAGGATTACAGGCACCGACAAACTGTATTCGTTCTAAACGAATCCATGCCTGATCAGTGGTTCTATAGAAACCACCATGACCTACCATTTGACGAAGGAATGATATAACTCTCATAGTGCCATATTTATCCATATCAGGTAAATTAATTTCGTCACAGAAAAGGATAAGCCATTTTCCTAATTGAACTGGAGCAAGAACAATACCATTTGGTGTTTTTCGGTACTCACAGTAATGGTCGAAAGTTTTTAACAATAGCTCCGGTGAAGTAGCACTAGAAAAGTTGAGACCAACAACCTCCATGTCAGGGAGGGAACGGAGAGCACTGAAAAGGGTCATTGTTTTACCTGAACCAGGAGGACCACAGAGAACAATTGGATTATGTTCAGCTAACCATGTTTTCAGCAGAGACTCGTGACGAACAGTATCCAATGTGGGAACGACAACATCTGGTGCAGCCACTTTATGAGTTTCAACTTCAATCTGAGGAACTCTATTTTGCCAAGGCGTCCATTCACCATTGAATGAAACTTCATAATCAATGATTGGCAGAGAAGCGGTATTTGGGGGTAAAGGAATGGTGGTAACATTGCGAATGAAGTCTCCTAAATCACAGCGAGCCTTGAGTTTAGCATCACCAGCAAATGACCAAAGTATAGCATAAACCAATGACTTTGAGATGTAGTTTTCTAACTGTTCTGGAGGCATGGGGAAATCAGGATGATTGTGATTATAATTAAGTACCCGTCGAACAACTTCATTGAGCATGGAAAAGAGAGAGTTAAGAGCTCGAAGACGAGTAAAGTCCATAATATGTTCTTGAGTAGAACTGTATTCGAGAGCTCTGATAACTAAACCATCAGATGAAAAGTAAGGTCTTAGAATATTGACAGCATCACGTTGGACTTGCATATTGGGAGATAAAATGTCGGACGTTGATAATTCAGAACCAGCTTCGCCCCTCTTCTTTTTATTACCATACAAGGTTGATTCTTCTTCCGCTTCTTCCAATGGAACTGAGCCCAATCGAAGGAAAAAGTTTTCACAAATCATTTCGGTTGAAAGTACATCTTCACTGAACCAGATCATACCACAACGAGATACTGTTGCAAGTGTTGCGTACTTAAGATCTTGAACTTCAAACATAATACGGACATTTGGTGGTAAACTTAGACGTTCTCCGTTTGGTAGAGTAAGCAATTTGTTGTCATCTAGAACAGAATTAAGATTTTCAACCCATTCAGGATCGACATCACCATCAAATATAATCCATTGTCGTTTATTTATTTCTCCACGAATATTGTCGATGATTTTTCTCAATATATGGGTAAACAAACCATCGGTCCACTCTCTGGTATTGGAGTCAAGGTTTCCATATAAAGCTTCTTTTGAAATAGCTTTAGGATCAATTACATGAGCAACACCTTCGATTCCTTCGTAACGTTCCAGTGCTTTCAACAAAACTCGCCAGGCAGTTGATTTACCTGAGCCACTTGGTCCGACCATCATAAGACCATGGTTAAGATTAGATATTTGATAAAGTTGTAATACCTTTTCAATCCAAGCATTTTCTTGTGCCGAGTCACCCTTTTCATTGCCAAAGATAAGATACATTTCTTGGCAAACTTTCGCAATGTGATCTTTAAGTTGAGTCATTTCAGCTCTTGTGTAAGGTATACCAGGGAATACATCTGATAATAGAGAGAAAAGTAGCGGAATGTCTTCAGCAACCAATTTAGGAACCATAGTTTCACAGACAGATTGGATGAGAATTTCTTGTTCAGGTAACTGCTCTGCAATACGAGCTTCATCTATTAAATCAGCATCGCCCCGAGATTTCATGTCTTCCTTGATTTTGGCAATACGATCACGTTTGATGTTACCTGCCGAAACGAGGACATTTTTCAAAGCACGCAAGCCAAAATCGTAATGAGATTGGTTAGATAATTGTTCATCACATAATTTAAAGAAAGGCACAATTTTGTTAGCCAGCTTTTCAGCTGTTCGAAAACCTTGAGAGAAGAGCATGACTTCGGCGATCAATTGACGATCAGGTTTATTCATGGCTAACGATCGGAAGAGTTTTTTCAAATTGTCAGGTAAGTTGGATCGACCAGCATATCCAGGATTCATAGTGATGAAAATTGCCATATCGGAAACAATTCTCACTTGTTTTCCGAGTAATTCCACTGTTAGATCCGTTCGATCTTGGTTTTGATTGCTTTTCAATGTTTCCTGGATTTGTTGGATTTGTTGAGAAACTGCTGATAACATTCGTTCTTCGAGACGATTGAATTCATCGAAACATCCCCAAGCTCCAACTTGACATAGACCCACAAAAATACGTCCCATTGCTTGAAAGTCAAATGTTTCATCACAATTGAATACAAGTACGAATCGACCCAATTGATTACCGAGAGCTTTAACTGACTCGGTTTTACCCGTACCAGCTGGTCCGAATGGCGATCCACCCAATCGAGCTTCTAAAGCCTGAGTCATGGTAAGATAACATCGATCAGTGAGTGGAGTTTGAACAAGCTTATCCTGGACTCCTAAGTATTCAAAGCCATAATTAAATTTAGCATTTGCCATAACTATAGATAGTTGTTTAAGGACACTTGGGCGACGTGGATCAAAGTAGAATCTCATTTGATTCAACCAATGGAATGATTTAGGTGACATTACTCTCCTTTTTATCAGAGATCGAGTTACATCTCGTTTGTGTACAAATTCAGTGATCAGATGTTCAAGTTTTTTACGTCGAAGTGCAGGTTGTTCCTGAAGAACTGAGTCGGCAAGAACAGTTAATGTTTTTTCAACCGATTTGAGCACATCTTCTAAAGGTTTAAGATCGTTGGTTTCTTCGCTACTGATTTGCGAAAGAGCACTTTCAACATACTCGGACCAACCAATTTGGGCAGCTAAAACAATAATTTGAGCTTGGTACTTGTCAAGCCATTCCATGTACTCAGAAGCATTAATATCGCCAGTTTTGAATGGTGCACTGTCAGAGACAGCTTGAGCTAATAATTTACCTAAAGTAATTCTCATTTCTTGCTCAACAAGGGCAAGCCATTCATTGATTTTGGGATGATCTTTGATGGAAACTGGAGTTGCAAATCTAACCTCTTCACCTTCTTTTGAGCTCAAACCAAGAACATGAGTAGAATCTTCGTCTAAAATGATAGAGGATACACCGGCAAACATTTTACGGAAATGTTTTTGAAGACGAGGAATATTTTTACTGTTACCAATAATCTCAAGAAGATCCTCGTCACCAACGAAATAGAAACGTGGAAAAGAAGATCTCTCTCTTTCCAAATATTCACCAAGAGCTTTTTGAATCTTTGCTAACAAATCAGCTAATCTCTCAAGAGATTTTTGAACACCGGGTATGTTAAGTACATCCATAACAAGGGGACTTTTGCTAACCTTTTTCATTAAAGTTAGAAATTCAGTGCTGATAGAATGAAATCTTTGCGTCTCAACGGGTAGTAAAGCTTGAATGTCAGAACTACCAGAGAAGATGCCTTCCAAATAAACCCATCGACGCTGAACATCAATCCATACATCAAATAATGCATTGATTCTGTTAAGTTTCTCTTCCCATGCAAGAGCATCTTCTTCAAATTCTTTATAGTAAGGTGATAGTTTCATTGCTGTAATAGAGTTGATATGCTCTTTAACTTTGTTGAAAAGATCATCCCAACCACGAATGAGACGACATTTGTTTTGATAGCTGATTAAATCAAGCTCATAGTTCTGCCAAGCTTCACGAACTTGTTTCAAGAATTCTTCCAAAGCCATTTCTCCTTGAGCAATCAAAATAACATCACGCACAATTGATTCATTACGTTGTAAGTCAATGTCCCAAACCTGACCAAGTGTTAAATCATTGATGACCCAGCGAACCCTCAACTGTTTGGTAAGTTGTTTCCAATGCCGTTCTTTAAGAGCATCTGATTTAAGTTCAATAATAATCATATTCACTTTTAGATGAGATTGGATTAATCTTTTAACATAGTCGTATGATGCATATTGCCTGAACCGAGCTGGCATTTCCTTCAATTGGCCCATTAAGTTGTCCAAACTTTGACGGACCTTCCGAGGTTGAACAGAAAGCCATGGAAGTTCTTTAAGAGTTTCAATCTGTGACCAGATTTTGGATAACTCAGACCAAACAGCTTTTAGATCTTGTAATTCTTCCAATGCAACGTCAAGTTTTTCATCAGACGCCAAAACTGGAGCTGCACCAGGTTCAAGTAGTTCCAGTGCTTCTTTGGCTTTCATAACATTGTCTCTGTCTTCACGAAGTCGAGTGAATTTAGTTTCAAATAATTGAAGTCTGGTAGTTGCCTCATTGGGTGGTAATGATCCTTCCACAGGTTTACCTTTTTCCCATTCAGACAAGAGGTCAGTTGTTCTTGTCTCAACAAATTTATCTTCAGCCACAATTTTAACTTGTAAGCTGGCCACTTGTGCTTGAATAGCAGCATCTTTACGTCGCATAATTTCATTGAAAGCTGACCATTCCCCTTCGATATTATCAACATGTAACCAATTTGTAGGAAATTGGAATCTTTGCCTTTCCAGAACTCTTTGCCCTTCTTTATAAATTTCAACCTGTTTCTCCCATTGGCGCATTTTACTTTTTAACGATTGAACATAAGTGATGAATGTTACTGCTTCCTTGGTATTAGCAGTATCGATTGATTGCTGTTCTAATTCAGATCGAGATTTTGAAATAAGTGTATGCATTTTAACCATTTCATTGCCCAAAAGTGAACCAAATTTAGAAAGAACTTCCTTATGCCAAGAATCGTATTTAAGTGTAACCTTTGATTGAACTTTAGCATAATCAATAATAATTGGTCCTATCTCTTTACGTGTTTCCGTAGTATCAAAAATTGATCTAGATTTTTTAATCTCAGTCAATGTATTCATCCATTTTTGAATATCATCACCCAACTGAGCGTATAACATATCAGGTTGAAGATCCCAAAGTGATTGATATCGCAACCATTGATCAACATAGACTTTCATCTGTTGGATTTTATCTTCTATTGCTTCATAGGCTTGTTCAATTGCTGTATGGCCATCAGCCATTTTTTTCAAAAGCATACGATATTGTGGTACTGATGATCTATCCAAGCCAACTTGATAACGAGTAGATTCAATACGGTTAAGAAGGAGTGCCACATTTTCCCAAGCAAACAGTTGCTGAAGTAAATTGAAACGAGCTTCCTCAATGCTTGGGCTGATGTACATGACTTGATTAGTAATTCGGAATTCATGGTAGAGGCTTTGAATTTTCGGGTCTCCACCTGCTTTGCAAACTGGTGTGTTGACAGTTTCAGTATCGGGTATAACATCCATATCATCTTTTTCTTGACCGATTAGAGCAGTAGTCCAAGCTTTGATACCGGCATGTAATCGAGCAGAAAGTCTTTTTTCAACTTCTTCATCTAATCTGTTAACCCATTGATTGAGATTGGAATATCGATGAAGACTTAAATCATCAACGGATTTTTGTATACGGTTCAAAATTTCTGCAAACACAGTCGAGCTGTAGGCACAGGTTTCAAGGCTTTTAACCTCTATCTCAATATGTTCATTCGTAATTAAAAGTTCATCAACTTTTTCTTGGAAATTTTGAACGAATTCTGCTAGACGTTTAACATAGGGATCAAGTTTGTAGGATTCCCATACAAGACTTACTCCTTCACATGCGATAGTTTGAACGTCTTTCTTCATACCGGCAACTAATAAAATAACGGTGGGTTTTTCATTAACTTTTTCACAGGCTCTTTCATAAGATTTAACTGTTTGAATTAATGATATTGCGAAAGGATAGAGTTGATTTACTTGATGAGCTTTGTTTACCACCGCCAAGGGTACTCTGAAACCTAAACTTTTAAGATTTCTCACTTCCTTGGCAAGTGTAATTATTTCAGGCATAAAGTTGACACGTAGCTTTAAAGCATTGCCTTTACCAGATCGAGATCTGATTGATTCAATATTGAATATACGACCCGAAACGTTGAGTTGTCTTTGCTGCACATTGCGAGCCCATTCATCAAATATTGCCGCTGTGTTTAGCTTTACACGAAAGCTATCTGCATCTGCCTTCAACTTTTGTCCCTCTACATGGTTTTCCCATCCTTTACCAAGGACGTCCTCTACTCTTTTCATGTAAACAGACAGTTGTCTTTCAATTTGCTTTGCCCAGATAATGCTTCCAGCAACTGGTGGAATATCACGAACTTTTGACATTTTGTATGCTTTGCTCTGAGGAAACTGTATTTTGAATTTCTCATGCAAAGCCTCAATATCATCTTTGACACGTTGGATGAGTTGAGTTTGGTATTCACGAATGGCACCTCTAATATGAGGGCGCACAAAAAGCGCATTGAAACGAGAGAAAATTCGGAACATTTCGTTGGCATTTTTAGCAGTTCCAAGTTGGTCACGAAGCTTAGCAGTTATTCGAGCTTCGACTCGATCGATTCTTTCCTCATATCGTTTTAAAGCTGCTTCCCATGAATCTGTTCCTTCCTTACTTATGTCCAATGGATCAACTTCTTTAACCAACTCATAAGCAAGATTGACTTCTTCGATTGCGTTAAGATCAGCATTTTCTTCAACTGAAAAATTTTCTTCCAAATCAATTTCTTTATCAGTGTCGGCAAGGTTTATGGCTCGATTGGAAGCAGACACGGGTCGTAACACTCTCACAATGACAGCACGTAATTGTTCATGCTGACGTCTAAATCTTTTCATTTGATCAACTCGAGTTTGCAGTTTTTTGTGAGCTAAATTGATTCTCCAAACCATTTTATAGTTTTCATCTCGCTTCTTTTTGATTAAGTCTCTTAAAATACCTTGAAGTTTATCATATTCATCATCCCAAGCTCCGAATACTTCAGAACAAGCACTTACAAGTTTTTCAAACTCTTCAAAAGGAATGTTCATCATTCGTCGCGTTCCCAGTACTTTCAATAACTGCGTCATTAAATCTCTTGAGATGGCTTCCATTAATTTTAAAGCTCGTCTAATTGGGTATTTGGTATTACGGATTTTTCTTATATGATGGAATATCACTTGAAGGGCAGAACGTATTTTGTCTAAATCAGTTGCTGATAATAGATCGTTCAATGGAAAATCTTTCATTAGAGGATTGTAATCATTGACAGTAGCCAAAGCCTCCTTTAATCGGGTATCTGCATCAAAACTAACGGTGGCATGAAATCGTTTACCCTTTTTCAAGATGTCTAGAGTTAAAGCGACTTCAGGTGTTTCTCTTTTTTCTTGAATTCTGAGCAAAGCTCTTTCCAAATTAAGCCAGAAACTGATCTCTTGAAGTGCAGTACCTGTGGACGGATCACGATCTAATTTGGTCACTTTTTGAATTTCTTTAATCCAACGATTAACTTGGTTTTGAAGTTGATTTAAGAAAACTGAGTCTTCTATTTTGTCAGAGAAATCATTGACATTTGCTTTGCGACCTTCTTCGGCACATTTTTTCATCACTGCCAGTACAGTTGGGTGAATTTGTAAATTAATCTCAGGAATATCAATATTTTGTTGTAAATGCAACAAATTCATTTCCAATTCAGCAATTCTCTTTTCGGTAGACGGGACCATTTTATCACCGTCCCTGTTTCGTAAAAACGCCCAAAAAAACAAAATGACAATGAATTAATCAAATCAACCATCACCATATTGATGAAAAAAATGAGTCATTTTTTCCTAGACACCTTACCTTTCTGCTCTTTTAGTTTCTCTAACATATGACTTGAAAACGGGTCCAATACCGCTGCTGACATAATAATGAAGAGTTTCATAGACATTTGTATTATCCAAATACATATACAACAGCTGGCTTGCAATGTTTTTATCAGCCTCTAAGACTGTTGATTTCTTTATTAATAAATGTCCAGTCACCCTGGGATTTGAATAGCTAGCTTCTTCCGTGATGGAGAAAGCAACATTGTCACTACTTTCCACACTATGATCAGATACTTCTTCATCCTCTGAAAATACATAATAAGAGAGCGACAAGAAAAAATAAGTAAATATTGGACAATAGTCAACAAAGATGAAATATTGTTTGAAGAGCTCACCTTTGCTTGAATATCTTTGAATTAAAATTGATTTAACCTGAGTATCTGATATAAATTGTCTCAACTTCTCCTGAGTACTTGGATGCTCCAGAAGGTTGATTAGAGATGGATGAACGTATGCTCGCCCTTCCAGGGCAGGAGCAACGACTTCTTTTATGTAAGTGACTAGGGCTGATACTTCAATTGCTGGCAGCTGAACGGTGGATTGGTCATTGGATGAGGGAAGTGAATCACCACCCGAACCACCGCCAGCACCAACAACCGTGGAGATGGGATCCAAACTGTCACTCATTTTGTGACATAGTATTCATGATGAATTGAAACAATTATTCAGTATGGTTGAAAAAAATGTGTAACAGAATAAAATGAAAGAAATTCATTGAATACATAAAATAGAAATGAGTCAACTGATGTGAAATGTAAAAAAAGACAACCTCTGTTATTTAATATTATCCAATAGATGTCTCTAGTTACAAGGCGCCAATATTTTTTCTTTTATTCATTATTTTGATTTTTAAAGTGATTTAATTTTATTAAAATCAACTAATTTTTCTATTTTTATGCTTTCAAGTGACGTTTGATTACTTTAGGCACCCAATTTAATCAACGGATAGTCTAATCTCTCATCACTTCTATGTCTAAAAGCAATAAAGGTAAGTCAAGATGTTAAATATTTGAAATAAAAATATTATCACACACTTAACCAATGAAAAAATCAACCTTAATCAAAAACTCCATGGAGTGTGAAATTTTAATGAACCTACCTTTGAAAGAATTGAAATCGAAAATCATTTTTTCAATGGGTTAAAGATAATCAAGAAAATTGTACGTCATGTGTAGTTCAGAAGTCTTGAAAAATTCTCATAAATTAAAATCCATTCTTGCACTGTAGATACGAAACTGACAAATTCAGAGTCAAAGGCTACAACTGTAACTGAAAATGAAGAAACTCATAATGAACCGAATGAATGTTACGAATGTACTCGGTGGTGAGGAAAATTTAAATGTCAGATAAAAGTATCTCTTCGTTAAAGCAATTATTGTGATTGCTGATTGTAAACTTCGTATATGGAGGTTCTTTGGGTTTGTTTATAAAATCTTGTATAATCCAATATTCCTCTCTTATCAATGAGTTGATTAATCAATGTCTCGAGCTGACAAGACTTTGCTCAGACTCTAACAACATTTAATCTTCAAACATTCTCAGTATTGTCATTTCATGACATTAGACAAATTACTCTGACTCGGTGGGAATAATATTCAAAGTAACCGGGTATTTTGATTATTGTCTTGTAATTGGATGAACTATCTTGTTACCAGGTAACTAAACTATTTTCTTCTTATCATTCCTAGAATTGATGAGAAATATCTTTTATCTTTTCTAATTGGTTTATGATCCTTGTTCATTAATCCATCTTTCAGTATATAAAGCATCTGATTTTACGAATGGGATCTTTTCTTGGTCGACCTGCTACACCTACAGTCATGGATGAAGGAATCAAAATTATGGTTGATTCAACCATCAGTAAATCTAAAGTTGTTGTGTTCAGTAAAACTTACTGTCCCTACTGTAAACGAGCAAAGGCCCTTATAACCAAGTTTCCAATTAAACCTGATCAATTGGAGATCATTGAAATCGAAAAAAGGCCTGATTGTTCAAGTATTCAAGCTTACCTGAAGGAAATCACCGGAGCTAGTACTGTAAGTTAACATTTCGTTACTGTCTATCTTTTTTATTTTATTTAAAAATGAAGCCAATCAAACCCTATTCATTTTATGAAAATGTTAAAGGATTGAAAATTCCAAATCTAATATTTCCTTGTATATAAAATTTTCCATATTTTTTTCATTTCAAAGGTTCCGAGAATTTTTATTGACGGAAAATGCATTGGAGGTTGTGATGATGCCATTGCACTTGATAATAGTGGTGAACTTGAGAAATTATTATCATCATGTGGAGCCTTGCAATCCCAATAAAACAATTTGATTCACCGGCACAGGAATAGTTTCATTTTAATTTTCTTATCGGAAGCAACCTACAATTGTACTCGGGATCTACTCTACAATACATTACAATTACAGTTTTTAACCCAGTTCAATGGAGAGTCGAACTTTCCTCTCGTTGAAGCCAATAATAAGCAGCTACAATTGGTACTTTGTTTTTGTTAACTTGTCGACACAATTTGTTATTGCTTCATTCTTGATTAACAACAAACCCAATCTAACCTATCAATAATTTTTCAACTTTCAGCAAAATTGAAAATGCTTTCATTCATGTATCATTATTTGAATTAAAAGCAATTGTCAAAGAATTTATGAAAGTTCACTTTCAATTTAAATTTTTCAAAGTTACAAGTTTAATACAATGTTGAAATCAAGTACGACCAAGTACAATCATCAATAAGCCATAAATGACTTACCAGGTATAATATCATAATCTTGAAACATTTTGATATAATTGATCAATTTTGTATGGTTTTATCTTAATATTTTATCGGATAAAAAATTTAATGTACATTAATGCGTATTATTAATACCAAAATTATGGTTACACTTAGAAATACTTTATTTTTATTGATTTTAGAAATGTCATTCAAATACATTTTATTGAAGCAAATATAATCTCATTTTATCAATCTTATTGTATTACTGTATTTGGTTATCAATCAGACAGAGGAAATCATGCCTAACTATAAACATAATGATCAAATGTCGGAAGCATGATTTAGTTTGAAAGGACACAATCACTGCGACGAACTCTGAATCTAACTAAAATTTCATATGTGGAAGACAATTAAGATTAAATTTTGATTAGCTTATGAAATCAAATCAATCGGTAATATCAGATTCTGGGAAATTTTGAGTTTATTTAATATCAAAATCGGTATAAGTTTCATCTTTATTTTTCACAAAATGAATTTTAATTTTGTCACTTTATTTTTCTTGATTTCATTGACATGTCAAAATTTTAAAACACTAAAATGTATTAAAGTTTGCTTAAACCAAGGTGTAATAAATTGTATTTGTATGAATAATAGGTAAAGCGCATAAGATATGATCTCACTGACATGTTTAACTGCTTCGTAAACAGCTGGTGAGCTTGCAGTGGTTTATTCACTCCGAGAGTAAACTATATCAACTGTTTTTCATCAATTTTTGAGTTTTGAATCAAAGTAGTGATGTGTTAAAGTTTATTCAATTCGCTATCACCATTCTAATCATGTCTAATAATTTAGTGCTTACGGTATTTTGTGCTCGGACTATCAAATTTTCATCAAATAAACAAACACCAGGAGTGTTATCTTAATTTTACGACATCTGATTCAACTACGGATGGTTCTTTGGATGATGTTTGATTGTACCCTGATCATCTTGGTATCATTTTTATTATTTATACTTCTGATTGAACCTTGGGATAGCTTCGTGGGTCAGTATTTATAAACTAATGATCCATTTTGTTATTTCAAGAATTACTCTGTTGATACTAATTTGTTGTGTTTCTCGTTTGCTCATTCACAGGGTTTCCGAATGGTTTACCTAGACAATTTACCATACATCAGATTCTAGAGAATGCAACTGAGTCTCAATTTAGATGGAATATTTTGGCAAAATAATTATTGGTCAAAGATAATTTATGATTTAGAGCAATGTTAAACTTTGCTTTATTGAGATTGATTTTACTACGTTTGGGTCGGTTATCGAGAAGGAAATGGCTCATATTTCTTGGTACCTGTTTGATAATTTTTCTAACCAGTTTTTTAATTCTCGATTCTATTTTGCTCATCATCAACCAATTTACAAATTTTTATCATTGGCTCGATTGTTTATCTGGTAAAATGTTGGCTCGACAGGAAGTCTGCATATCTTATGAGAAGGGAAAAATAGCCGGTAACTTGTGTCCTGATTGGTGTTCTGGGTCCACATCTATCTTACAGTCATGTCCATCATCTAAAACATTCCATGTTGGCAAAGAATGCATCTTTCGTGGTCAATGGAAAGAATCAGATATCATTGTGAAGGCCAAGAAATTAAAAGTGACCAATATGATAGATGAAGATATAAAGTTAACCCGAGAGGAAACTATTCAAGGCATACATGCAATTATTACGACCGATTTTGAAGGGACAGAAATAGATCCATCGTATTTAACTATACCTTGGTTTGGTTCTTCTGTCAAATTGTCTTCCTTAACGAACAAAGAACTAAATAGTCTATGGACACTTGCTCAAGATAACGAATACATTTACAGCACTTTTTTTGGTCAACTAACCCAATGGAATTCGGTTAAGCTCTTACCTCAAGTTCTGGGAACTTGTGGTCATTTCTATGCCGTTGAATATATCCCCGAAGCTATTCAATTTTTCGATGTTATTCCTGAAAAATCTTCACTTCACTTATTCAAGTCATCATTTAGTAAACGTCTGTCCATTTCTCACATGTTTTTGAAATTTTTATACCACCTTGAGTCTGGTAACTATAATTTGCAACTTTGTGATGTCAAGTATGATCAATTCGCCATGAAAAATGGCACTATTTTGTTGATTGACTCTGATATGCTTTATCCAAGTGAAGTTGTCCAAGAATCTATCCAACATATTGACTCGTGCATTAAAGACGAAGACTGTGATTTCATTGATTGCAAAGGACGCTGTAAACCATCCAAAGTTGGCGGTACTTGTGACATCGATATTGATTCGGACAGTAATCTTAAAAGGATTTGCCGAAATTTATTTTTCATCGATGAAATATCAACGAAAGATTTAGTAAAATCTTCTAGTCAAATTAATGCTGGATTATTGTCTCATTTCCCTCTCTCATACCAATCCGATATTTACAAATTGAAACAATTGTGTTCTGGACGGATAAAAGAGTCTGAAATGATATCTACCATCAAAAAGATGATTGATTTAACATCTGCTATACAATCAAGGACATATCCCCTGAATGGTTAAATTCATCATCAACTCTGATCATTTAAAAAAATCAAACCAAAAGAAATCTAGTCTAAAGGGAAAGGAGCAAAAATGTACATCACCAATTCCCTTCAATTTAGCTTCTAAAATTAAAAAAATTGAAGTCATCACATCAAAATATTATTCTGTGCAAATTAAATTACTAACCTGGACAAAAATAATGTATAATCGAGTCAGATTGTGAAAATGTTTCCAGTTTCAACAAGTTAATTTAAATTCAGTTTTAATGACAAACATTCACAAACAAACATTGTACAGACATTTTATTTCTGCAAATTCATATGTAAACGTTTTGTCGGAGTTTTTCTCTTGCGTGAAGCCAAAAACTAAAGTTCTTTTTATCACTTCATGGTGAAACCATTTTCACTGAATATACTAGATTGGCGTAAGATCAAAAAAATGCTCGAATTAATTACGCTACTGTTATGCGCAGTCTATTGATTAAAGTCTCCTTTTGGAAGCTTACTGTAAGCTTACACCTTCTAAGTTTTCGATCTCTGTCTAAATATTTTCACCAATTTTCAACCGTTTGTTTATCTTCATTATCTCCCGATTTCCAAGGTTTTGTTATTTATTTTTTATTTTGTTCACCTTTTCATTTTAAGAGTCTCTGTGTATAGAGTCATCAAAAGGTGTATTGCTTAAAAATCGATGCTCCTTTCAACCTCGTATTGAATTCCCTATCATATGACTTACAAAGACATGATGAATCAATCATGATAGACGTTAAAGTACAACCTTTTATTTATAATAATTTAAAACTTGACTCTTCATTTCCAACTGAACTTGCTCAATTTTTTTAAAAATTTTGTGAAAAGCAACGACAATGTCTTGTGATGTTAAGTTATCAGCCAATAATTCAATCTCTATGGATGAAGATTATCCTCCAGGAACCTCCTTTTGTCTTAAAGAGGATAAATCAACTGATGGTGAAATGTCAACCTTAACTGGAAATAGTAATATCGACAGTCGTAGGCGGATCAAGGAACAATTTCGCCGTCAAAAAGAAGCCTTGGTTCGCTTAATTGAAAGGCAAAGACACCAGTTAGAAGAAGGAGGTAAACATCTGATCTGGAAAAGAAAGAGTGAACAAAGTTTGATTCATGATGTGGTCATTATATTTCCACCCAAAGGATATGTAATCATGGATTCATTACAAAATTTAATCAACAAATTGGTACCTCAATTATTAGTTGAGAAAAAAGCTCTGGCCAACAAGAATGAACAAGCTTTTTATATTTCTGCTGAACACGAATGGCTCCAAGAAACTGCAACCATATTGGGTTATCTTCCAGAGTCAAATGTAAATCAGGGTTCATCATCATCGCCATCCAAATCTACGAAATCCTTTTCTTCTAACCTTTCAGCTGCAACTCGACAAAACATCATTCGCTATTATCTAAATACATTGAGATGGTTTAAGGAGAGTTCATCATTTGACGAGAGCATGGTTAGTCAGATGAAACTGATTGACGGAGAAGCCATTATTCCTAAATTATTACAATTGAAATACATCAAACAAATACTGCCTCTGCATGATGAGGAGGCTTTATCGCAACTCCGTAATTCTTGGGCCTCTGATTTTCTTGCACCTCAACCTTTAAAGAAAATTTACTCTTATTTTGGAATCAAAATTGCTTTGTATTTTGCCTTTCTTGGCCATTACACTTACTCTTTGATTGTTCCTGGGGTTACTGGTCTGTTAATTAGTCTCTCTTGCGGAGATCAATTTATTAATGACGTTTGTTTAACCCTATTTCCAATTTTACTCACCATTTGGTCATCTATTTATCTGGAATCTTGGAAAAATTATTGCTCCTCATTAACCTCTCAATGGTCATCAAATTCATGCAATCTTCAACTGATCGATGTACGTCCACAGTTCCATGGTATAGTAACTCGGAAAGGTTCCCATGGAATTGCTGAAATTTTTTATCCTCCTTGGAAAAGAAAATTGTTTTTCTATTTCATCACAATACCTGTTATGGGTCTAAGTCTTTTAATTGTTTTCCTTTCAATGTTTCATATGCTACATTTCCAGGTAATTCAATTCTTTAATCAAATCCCTTGTCTAACTTATCTTTTCTCATAATTTATCACAGACTTGGTGGGATGATGTGGCCATTGGGGAACAATTTTATCCAAGATGGACTTCATATTTTCCTAAAGTACTTTTCGGACTTGTTATCCATATTCTGGATGTTGTCTACGAGAAAATTGCTCTTTGGTTGAACAAAAAAGGTATTGAAATTGAATAACATTAAATCCTCTTTAATTTAAACCAACAGCTGATATAATTTATCCATCTTAATTATTCACAGAAAATTATCAATACCAAGAGACATATGAAAGCAATTTGATGATCAAACTTGTTTTGGTGGGTTTTATTTTCCCAATCAACTTCTTAGCATTAAATAACTAAGGGTTGTTCGTGATCAATTGAATCAATCATTTGTTTTTATCAAACGAATCGTCTTCTCTTTTTCAGTTCCAATTCGTGAATTCATTTCTATCCTTATTCTACATCGCATTCTACATTGGTGATATGAATAAATTACGAGAGGTAAATATTTATAGCTTCAACCTCCTTAACTACAGACAAGCAATCGTTTATTGAATTGCTTTTTTAATGATTCCTATCACTAACTTTTTATTGTTTTTATTTTACAGCAAATGATTGCTCTTCTTATTACTCGGCAAGTAATTGGTAACATCAAAGAGTCTCTTTGGCCTTTTGTCACTCAGTCCTACAAATTATCTCCAACATTGTCTGCATCTGATGTCTCACAAGCTGAACTTGAATCAAGTCTTTACTCATATGAATCAACATTCGAAGATTATCTTGAGCTGTACATACAATTTGGTTATGTTGCTCTTTTTTCTGTCACATTCCCTTTGGCTGCATTTTGTGCTCTAATCAACAATTTAATTGAAATACGAAGTGATGCATTCAAATTATGTGTAACTTATCAGCGACCTTTCAGTATCCAAGGAAATCGTAATTTGTTGATATGGGAAAAAGCAATGAACATAATGATTTATGTCTCAATTGTTGTTAATTGCTCTCTTCTAGTCAAATCTGGTCAACTTGAAAGACTTCTGCCAATGTTAAATCAATCACAAATAATCATTACTGGTGTCATCCTTGAGGTAAATTAATGATAACAAATTAATGTAACTGTCTACAATTAACTATTTTTCCTTTCTTTTTCTCATAGCATCTTCTCATTATAATCAAATTGGCAATCGAAAAGTTTGATTGCAACTCTGTTATAAACTATTTTGTGTATAATTATTCACAATTGGTTGGAACAACGACTTCAGTTAAGCTTGCCCAAGCAAAGGAAAAGAAAACTGATTAATTTGTTAAATTCGGAAAAATACTCATGATAATTAATACTCCATCCATTTTCTTCATGTTTAATTTTGTTATTAAATCAAACTGTTTGCTAATATGAAATGAATTGATACATTCTAATGAGTGAATTGCGATTTATGATTGATAAAAACACACCTTTCAATGTTTTCAAATATTTCATTTTTTATTTGAATAAATCAATATTTTGTTTTACAAAGAAAGATGATTGAAGTTGTCAAATACTGATCGGACTAGTATCTCGAAATTTTTGATCATATGAACAGCTTTATGAGTGAAAAAGTGAAAAATCGAAGTGTGATCGGTTGCGGTACTCTAAACTCTTACTATGTTGTAAATCTGGTGGTCGAGTCTATGTTTCGGCCTCAGAGGGAAAAAGAAAAGCAAGGGTAGACATTTGACTGGAAAAGAGCCTCTAAATTACTCTTAAAGTACAAAATTAATGCCATCCTTTATATGTTACATTCAAGACGAATCGCCCATTCAAAATAATTGAGGACGAAATGGAACAAAGATTGGTATTGACAAACGATTTGAGCCACAGTTGTAAACCGCTGGTTATCCTGACAAAGGAAACCGGATTAAGCGAAATTGAAAGTGATACTTGATTTATAAGCATGTCTTGGTACATTTAAGACCAAAGACCTCATGTCTTATCCATAAATATCTCCAATGTAGTGATCTAACACATACTTATAATAAAATGAACTCACAATAAGAAACAAAGTCTGCTGCAATCAATATAAACAGTACTTTTATGTAAGTTATTGCTGTAATTTAAACTTGATTTTGATTGCTAATACTAATTGATAAAACAAAAACAAAATCAAATCAGATTACCCTGAAATGTTCAATTATAGACATATTTTCTTACAGTAATCAGGGTATAAGTGATTGATAACAGGTTAAGACTGGTAAATTTATGAATATTAAAAAACAGGCAGGAACAGATATCTAACAAAAATCAACAGTTAATCAAAGAGCAAATAAATAACCTTATTCAAGTGAAATTCCAATTGAGAAAACGTTGATACCATCTTATGAGTCTCTCAATTAAAAGTTTGTCTCTTCCTATTTGCAAATATTGGATGATGAAGTCTTTTTCTCTGTCATATAATTCTTTATCCTTCGACCCATCAATGGATAATAATTGTGAAACGACGAAACGACGATGTAGATAAAGAGATTCTCGGTTACAATGGATTCTCAATAAATCATTAATCAAGTCCATTTCATTGACTAGTATTGATTCATAATCTTCATAGGCTAATAATTTGTCTTGAGTATCTAAGTAAAGAGAGCCAATTGTTACAATAATATATTGCCGGTAGCCAAATCCACTGTAATCAGATATGTGACGTTCAATCCACGCTTTACTTGTGGCCATTTCATGTAAACATGCCTACAGGAGAAGGTAAATGAAAAAGATTAAAATAAGTACGAGTTTCACCCCCAGAATAACGATTACATACATTAAGGTTGTAAGCATAGGTCTGAACTACCCATCGCCGATAAGTCCACGCATAGTAATTACTTTGATAACGCCTAGCAGCTTCAAGACATAATTCTAGTTCGTTGTTGATAAAATTTGTGTCTGGATGGCCCTGGGTTTTAACCATCATTTGTATTAACCATTGTCTACAGAAAAGAGAAGAATACAATGTAATGAAAAAAGAAAAATTTCTTTCAGAATACCGGAGTACCTATGAGTGAAATTTTCCATATTTTTAGAGCGTCTTCTCATCAGAAGTTGACAGAATGTCAATTCATCTTGAATAGTTAAATATTTATCGATAACAAGTTGCTTTCTAGACATAGGAATAAAACATTAAAATTGCTAAAGTAGCTTGATTGAAATCACTTCATGTCTTCAAATTCGGTACATACCTGCAATTCCAGGCAGTTTTAAGTTCAGGATTAATTAATAATAAAGTGCGAGTTAATTCATTGATTGTTGCACTATCTGTAGAAACAAAAAGAATAGAATTTTAAAGAGATAAAAATGATAAGTGAGTTATTGAGTTAGAACTGAATCCATTTCAAACTTGAAATGCATTGAATTTGTTTCATTACAGCCAATTCGCATTGAAAAATCCAGTATATTAAAATTACGTATGTTATCCAATGAACAAAATCCTTGCCAAAATTTTGTATCATAAATTATATCAAAATTAAAAACTATTTAATTCTGAATAAAACGAGAGAATTAGATATTTCATGATAACTTAAAATAAAATTGATTGTAACTATTTCAGAGGTATTTCCATTCTTATTATATTTTAACAAAGACTGACAAAAAAATCATGACAAAAAGTTTCATTCAATTTGATATTCATTATTTCATGTTGGCAAAGTAATTTTATATCATGAGTTTTTTCATGAGAATTGACTGCAATGCCAAAACAAAAGCAAGGTTGGAAGCTTAACACTGAATATAGTTAATCAAATGATAAAAATTCAGTAGATAAACACATAATTCGATAGAGTTTCGCTTCTTTGACCAATTTAGAGATATTGCAATTGCAATACAATTAACTTAGACAATCAGCGAAATTCTATCACGTTATGGATTATTGTTCTGATATTGATAAATTTTTCATTTGATGGATAGTTTATCAATTAATGCAATTAATGTACCTGATCTTGCTCGATGGCTTCTAGTTTTTAAAAATTCATGGTAACAGTATGTGTATAAATATTTGATCGACCAGCTTTCCAAACCAAGTCTGTGATCTTCAAAAATAACAGGACTTTTATTAAGAGTCTTATCCTCAACAGGTACAATATCAAATTCAAGTCTGGAAACAAAAGAATAATAAGAATTTAATCAGATTAAATTACACAGGAATGTAGCATAGTCAATGAGTTGATTGGATAAAAACAAAGAGGGTAACCTAAAATAAAATGGGTTAAAGTGATAGTTTACTTACAGGTTTGTTTCTCGGTCAAAAATGATTCTGAGATCTCGAAGAATACGTTTAGCCAATGATGTATCCTCATCTGAAGTATCCATTTGAAATAAAAACAGAAAATTAAACTAAACAACAAAACACAAAGCAATGTTGATTAATACATGAACAGTTGAATATAAACCCATTTGCCGGTTAAACCAATGAGCTTCACTTTTATTAAAAGCACAGGAGCTTTTCTGGTAAATCATGAAATAAGGGAACATTAATAAACTTACAATCAGAAAGAAGGAGAAAGATTTGCTCTCAAAAAGTAATGTACATTTCAATTTTTTCACTTTCTTGTCTTTCTTTTTGAATTTCCCTCTCAGTGTAACCATGAAATAACTGGTTACTTTTCCTTCCTTTAACCAAACAGCCGGTTACCAGTAACAAACCGACCTCTAATATTTTCGTGTAAGCTGAATGAAAAAAACAACAACACCACATTTTTAAGCGTTAACCAAGGATTTACATCTTTCGTGTTACTTAAGTGTTGTTTTCATCGTTCTATTTCGATTGTTAATCTAGAAATATCAAAGGCAAAGATGAGATTCAGTACTGTACTCATGTGTTACAGCAAATTGCCTAAAAGATATTCTAATTTTCCAGATAAGTACGTGAAAAAGCAAACAGAGTTCATCCAATGGGAAACCCCGAGAAGAGTGAACTACAATCCTACCAAAATAAGGTGGACTAGGTATCCTTATTATGATCGTTACCGAAGTTGGACTCAAGCTTTCCAAGCCATGAATAAACCTGGTGAACAGAAACCAAGGATTTGGGTTGAACCAATGGAGAGGTTTTATGTGTTTAATGGTGATAGAGTGCAAGTTCTTCGTGGTAAAGATAAAGGTAAACAAGGAGTTGTTAAATACGTTGTAGAGGAAAGAAATTGGGTTTTTGTCGAAGGATTAAATGCGGTCAGAACCATTAGACAGATGGCAGAAGATAGTAAATACGTTACTATTGTAGAACAACCATTGTTAGTTCCAAGGGATGTTGCATTGGTGGATCCATCCGACAAACAGCCTACAACTATTAAATGGAAATACACTGAAACCGGTGAACTTGTTCGAGTATCTGATAGAACTGGTTACATTATAATGATACCCTTAGAAGCATTCAAAACTTATGATTATTTAACTCCAGAGCAATATATTGAATCACCAAAAGATTCTAATCTAGAAGAAACCACTAAAGTGACATTTGAACCAGTCCTGAAAACCTTTGAGATGGACATAGCTGATCAACAAGGAATTAAAGAAGACCGGATACCTCATAAAACATATTGGTATTAAGCTAATACATAACTCAGCGGATGGTAACCGTTAGCTATTTCAACCGATATTTTTGATTATTTGCACTAGTGCACTGACAATGTTCATTGTTATGGCCACAATCTGTCAATGTTTCATGGCTAATAATAGTAACAAATGAGCAATTAAAACAAATGATTTAGTCCAAAATAATTGCTATTATGTGTATAATGTTGCATTTGTGCTGATTATCAGTTAAAAATTATCTAAATTAAACAATTCTAAATTCAACTCTATAACCCTAGATAGTTCCGTTTTTACAAAGCTTTTTCATGTTTCATGATGGTCAGATATCTCAAATGCAAGTTTAGATTGAATTTGTTATCGTTATTATCCATGTAATCGATTGATTTAATAAAAAGTGTTCTTAATCATTATCATCATTTGATTATTATTACCATTATTTTAGGCAAATGTTGACAAAATGTAATTTTTGATTCCTTTCTACGGGATTTTACAATAGGTTTTTTTTAAAAAATTATATAAAATGCATTATCATAGGCCTTTAATCATCATTATTTGCACTTAGATAATTTATTGAGATAATAATTGATATAAATTATATGTTATAAATAATAGGCAATCAATGTTTTTGATTGTTTTAAAAAGTTTTTAAAGTAATTTATTTCTGATAAATGTTTATGAAGCATCAACTTTCACCTTACATCAAGAGCGGTTTAAAATCGGAATTAATCAATATTAAGATAAATAGCGCTAAAACAAAATCAAAATTCAGCCGTTATTTGAGCAACACTTTCTTTTGAACAAGTTAAATTAAATCGTGTCACATCTGATGATTTAATAGCGAAAGATAATTCAATTGTTGTAAGGCTGCAACAGTATAAAAGTTGGGTTTTTTTCCTAACTGGAAATACGCATTCCTCATAAAGAGTGATTTAAATGGCAAACCAAATGAATAAATGATGGATTGAAAAACTAATTACACGAAGCCCAAGTTATCTGGTTATTATTCACGATAGCCTGTAATGAAGATTTGATGTGTTGATTGACTTTTTGCTCCATTCCCGATGGTATTGAAGCTCATGATAACTCACGGTAGAACCATAATAAGTCAAATCAATCTAATAAGAAATTTAAAAAAAGTGAATTGGAAACAATAATAGCATTAAACAGATGTTTTTACCACGTGTGAAAATAGTGATGAGAAAGCTGTGAATTATTAATAGTAATTAACAACATTAAGTACCATTGCACTCTACCAACTTAGATATACAACCCGACAATGAGTAGTTTATGATGAACATCTCAAAAACATTTCGCATATGTTTTCGCAAATTTTGAATCTCTTCAATTTTCACCATCAATCGATAATGGTAGTCTGAGGCATCATACGGAAATTCACAGGTCGATTCTAAATATCGTTGTAAAAGGTAAATGTAAGTGTATTGTTCTAGTCTGCAAGAGAAAAGGAAATTAATATTAGTAAATAATTAGAGTGATTAAAACAAAATGTTTGGTTTAACCTTATGGATTCTTTAAATTTAAGATTAGGTAGATCTGGATTGAAGATGATAATCAAGTAAAGAAGGGCTGCAACAGTTAAATCCTTTCGCCATCGATCTGGAAAAGTCTCAATAACATGAACAATACCATTGTGCAACGAAGAATCCAAGCGGAAAACATCTCTTCTATCAACTCGAATACCTGAACACTGGAAGACAATATTTCATCAAATTAATATACTTGGGAAAGATTTTGAATTTAGATTTAAATGTAATTGTCTATCGAAAGTCAACTTACATTCCAGCTGTCGGTTAGGTGATCATAGGTGAGAACACTTTTCATGGCGACCACATCGAAAAATACACTTGATAAAAGGGTAACTCTATCATCCATCTGTAATCGTCTGTATGCTCTTAATTTTCTACAAGTTCCAACGAGTATTTTTGGACAGGAATCGGGATAACTTAGTCCTATTTTATAGATAATGGTATTAACAAGAGCGACATCATGAAAAGCTGAAACAGCTTCTTTCAATACAAGTGACTGGAACTCGTCAAGAGATGCTTGAGTAGCCAGGAACTCTGATTTTAGGTTCAATGGTGTATAATAAGCTGCTAAAATTTTCTTTGCCACTTTTGGTCTCCATGGTTCTTTAACCTTTGACGGGTCCGTACACAGAGAAAGTACTGGCTTGAAGCCTGGATCCATTGGAGTTAAGTTATTGGATTGAGGATCGGTGTAAGGTCGACGAAGATGCGAAGGCAATGTCTCAACTTCCTTGAAACCATTTTGAGGTTCACTCGAAGACTGTGTGCTTTCTTGTGATGGTAATTGTGTCTCGATTGGAGGCGAACTATTAGAAATATCAGAAGATTCTGGTTTTTTAATGAATGATGATGTCAAAAGTTGCTCCAAATTATCAAGAATTGAATTACTTGTCATATGGTTACATTGACAATCTTGAGAGATACCATTAGAGGAGATTTGGTTTGAACACTCCTGAGATGTGTCTTTAATTGGCTCAAGTGAATCCATATCATGATCATTATTGTTGTTATCGACTGTATACTCTGCTTCACTATCAATATGGCTTCTGATCGTTTCTTCACTGGGAAAAAGTGAATTTAAAATAGTCTCCAGGTCACTTGGAGATAAAGTTGGAAATGTTGGTACCGGTGTTTCTTCCATCCTTTGGTCTAGTGAAGCTGGCTCAGTTGGTAAAGTTTGCTGTTGAAAATAGTCCCAAGTTTCATTCAAATCCATGATTTTGCTTGTCCAGTGAGAATGAGGAAAACAAGAAAACAAATATTCAATCACACTAAATTGTTTCAATAAGATTATTGTTACCTAGATTTCACTATCATCAAAATGCAGCTTCATGTCTGTCGTTTAATAACAATTATCATCTGACTTTTTATATCTTCTAATCTTCCCTCAGCTAGCAATAGAGATTTACACTATTAGATTTGTTACAAAGGAGAAAGTGTCAGTCAAATGATTACACACATTGAGCTTATGTCCCTGGAACAAATGTAAACTGAAAACAATCGCATAAGAGGAAAAGATGTTTACATGGAAGGTTTACTAAAAGTTGAACATTGATGATTGAACAATAGAGCATTGGTGATTGGAAAAAAACACACATCATCGACCATATTTTCTCAATTGATTGACTGTTCTAATCATGATTCACTATCCTCCCTCTCCTTTATCTGCGTTCATAATTCACCTACTCACGATCAGATAATTAGATCGATTCACAGTAATGTTTTACAATTAACACTTACCCTCAATCCATCTGCAATTATAGTTTTCCTAGTCGTTCCTCATTACCTTCATCTAATCAACTTTTTTTTATCTCACTTGGACTATTTCTATTTCATTTCTCGGAATTTCCAGGCGTTTATCTTTTTGTTTCATATTCTCAGGCTTGTAACAATTAGTGATGATTAGATATCTTCTCTAATTAATGCTTTCTACACATAAGCTTGTGGCGTAATTTCATTCCTCAATCCAAAGTAAAAGTCACTCTTTTAAGACTCTTCAAAGATAACAAAAAAATCAAAGGTGATAATTGTCAGCTACAAATCCAATCATCATGAAGCTCACAAAAAATATGGAATCAATAGTAAGTGTTTCATTGTGTAAAAATGTAAAAGTGCTTTAAGGACAATTTCACCGTTAATCAGCCCGATTATTTGCAATAAACTAGAGTCAATGAATGTTAAAACACTTATTTGGTTGATTCTTTGACTATTTTTTGTTGATCTTGTTGACAAAGTTCATTGTTATGGCCACAATTTATCAATATTTCATGGCTAATGGCTTAATCCAAAAGAGCAACTATTATTTGTATTATGTAACATGTGTACTGATTAACAGTTAAAAATTATCTAAATTGAACAATTCTAAATACAAATACAAGCTTTCAAAATGATTATGTAGCTTTCGATCAAATTCAACAGAGTCAACATTATTGTGGAATAATATTTACTTGTACTTAACAACCCTTTACACACTTGGCTTGGTAAAAAAAGTATTTTAGATTGTTGATTAAAATTATAGTTAACATTGTGTTGATTAATATCAACAATGTTTGTAAATATTGATTCAATTGAGTTTCATCAATTATTTCCAAGTTGATAAAGCTGTTGGACAAGTTATACAGTAAAGTAAATGTATTCATAAATAATACAAACATAAGACTTGTTGCTTTACGGATACATTAATCTATCCAATAATTGATGGAAATAAATGCTTCAAATCAATTTTGGTCATAGTTCGAATCATTTACAAGCAAAATACACATTGTTGAAATATATCAGCCCGCAAAGCTAGAGGCAGTTGAAATAAGCTTGTAAATTGTTTGATTATTAAAATCAGAGCTGCAATGACTAAATGTTTAACTTGTTTCGATGCGTAAATCTTGTTCAATCAACGGTTACAGCCTTGGTTGAAGCACCGCGATCAGGAGAATTTCTTTGTTGCATTAATCTAGCTATTTCTTCACCAAGTGTATTAAGATTTTCCTGGGAAATAAACAAAGGAAAAGATAATTGATTAGAGATTAGCCCCAAAAGAGGAAGAAATTAATCGTGAACAGATAATTAAAATTGATAATTACTTTTAAAGTGATATTCTTGAGTATCGTATCCTCTAATACTGCTTGCAATCTTTTATTGATTTCAAGGGAAAGGTTTAGAGTCATAGCTGAATCAGTCGGATAACTTTTGTACAATGATGTCATCACAGTAGATCCATGTTTAGCCAATTGTTTCTGTTGGGATGAAAAATAAGATGAGTTAATATCTGTAGAACCTAATTATAACAAAGTTAAGTGCAGAAATCACTGAACGTGAACAAACATTCAATAATTTGAGTGATTATCAAGTCAATTTTATATGAATGGTTGATCAATTTTCATTCATTGATGCACTTGAAATAAATGAAAGAAAGATAAGAACTGAAAGCAAATGTGGAAATTGTTGTTTAAAAAAAGACAAAAAATAACAGAAAATTAAAATAAAATTAAAAGAAAGTTAAAGAAAATCAAAAAATATTAAGAGCAAATGCAATAACATAGCTTAAAACAAGAGGATTAACACCTAATTGTCAACGTAAATGATTAATACCTCTTGAGCGATCCTAGATGTTTCGAAAAAAGTACAACTCTTCAGTTTTTGTAGTTTATAGATTAGGAAAGGTCATTTTTAAGACCACGTTTAAACGTCAAAATAATAACAAAGACAGATACAGATCGATGTTAGTTGATTCAAGGATATGGACGATACCCGTAATGAAGGTAAGTAAGTGAGTGAAATTAGCTATTTGAGTAGTTAGACATTGAAGTATTAAATTAACAATTAGTAACGTTAGTTAATGATAGACGAAACAACATTAAGAAGTGTAGGGTTAGTAAATAGTGTGTAGTTTTGCTTTGATGTACGATGGATCAATTTACTTGCGACGAACCTTATTTTCATCCATTCGATTGGTAGTTAAAGCTCCAGATTCTTCACGAAGAATATAATATTGAATCAATTTGGTCTTTTTCTTCATTTCTGATAATAGTTGATGATTATGTTCTTCCAGATAATCAATCTTTTCTTGCTTTTTGGCAATAGTCTTTTGTAGACGGAATATTTTGTTGATTAACATAGTTTTATCAACATGAGGTATAAGATCTGTTTCACCAGTTTTGTTGGTTAATGAATCGTCATTAACAGAGGTTGATGAAGTTGAACCATTAGCACTGGACACTGATTTCATGTCAGAGTTAGAGATGTTTGGTATATTCAAAGTGTTTCCTTTGGATGTTGATGCATCATTTGACGATGTACTACTTCTTGAACTATTACTCACAGTATCTGAATTGTGATTTCCATTCTCCTTTCTATGAGTACTCGTTGATTGTTCATTTTCACAAGTTTCCATATGTTTCTTCATGATTAACAATTCTTTATTCAATTCTCTTATGCTGTTAAGATGGCGTTTTTTCATCACTTTATTTTCATTTTCAATTTCTTCAACTCGAGTTTTATATTTAGTTATCAATTCCATTTTTTCAGCAACTTTACGAGCCATTAATTTGATTTCCTTTTCATGATCGTCACGTTCTTTAGCAAGTGTTTCGGTTAAAACAGTATTTTCTTTCTCGAATTCTTGAAGGCGCTTTTTGGTAAAATTGAATTTTTCCAACAGTGCTGAATATTTTTCTTCCAAGGCATTATGTTCAGCTTGTAATAAAACTGACTTTGCTGTTAATCTTTCAGTGAATTCAAGGAGTTCACCTTCTTTGTGTCGACATGATTCCATTTCAGTTGTCAATTCTGAATTCAACTCTGTAACCCTAGATAATTCCGTTTTAGCGCTTTCGACCATTTCTTTTTGATGTTGTAAATTAATTTTAAGCTCTTCCATGTCTTTAAGTTTTAAGTTGCACTCAAGTACTTCACCATTAAGCTTATTCAATGATTCTTTTAGTTTAGAGACAACCTCTTCATGATCCAATCTTTCTCTTTCCAAAGCTTGAATTTTTCTGGTTAAAGAATGATTCTCTGATTCCAAAGAAATACATTTGTTTCTAAGAACTTTGTGTTCATCTTTACTTTCATTTGTTTTCTCCGAATCTGATTTTTGTTCACTGTTAGACTCTTTTGTCTCATCGTTTTCTTCAGATGTTGTAATACTGAAAGAGGGCAAAACAGCTGTTGAGGTATTGTCATTCACATTCGTATTTTCGCCAATCATTTCGTTTCTACTACTGCTTCTACTACGATCATTTGTAAGTCCAGCATCTGAGGATGATTCGGTCTTGTTTTGCAAAGTTTCGATTAAAGCTAAAGCACTTCCAAGCTTTTTACATGTTTCATGGTGGTCAGATATCTCAAATGCAAGTTTGGATTGAGTTTGTTTCCATTTTTGATCTCGGTCTTTCAATTCTTCACGAATTTTTTCAATTTCTTTCTGGAGAAGGATATTTTCAGACAGTTTTGTTTCAACTGACTTAACAAGAGAGTTTTTATCACAGGTTAAACTTTTTACTTTATTTACAAGAGATTCCTTCTCTTTAACTGCTTCTCGTGACTTCCTTTCAGCTTCATCCTTGGCTTTTTTATATACAATAACATCTCGTTCACTTTTAGCATATTTAACTACCATTGATTCGAGATCCTTTCGAGACACATCTCTTTCCTTGGTACATTTCTCTAATCGAGAGTTGAATGTTAACTTGATATCTTCGACAGTCTTTTTAAACTCTTCTTCCTGGTGATTGAATTTCTCCTTCAACTCAATTAACTGCTTTTCAAGATCATTTTTCTCTTCAACTACTGCCGCAACCTTGGCCTCATAATTAGCCTCAATGTTTTTTAAATCCAATAAAAAACCATCCGTTATTTCATTGTGAGTCGAACGAGAACCAGCTGAAGTCATCGCATCGTCATCGTCATCGTCAATAGCAACCCTGTACCCCAAAAGATCTTTGATTAAGCTTTCATTAGAAGCATGAAATGGTGTCCCCAATGGAGTCGACGATCCAGATAGTCCAACTTCCTGGCTTGAATGTGAGCTTGGAGTTGAACTTCTTTCCTTATTAGCCAAACATACATCATCAAAAGTTAACGGTTGATTTGATGTTGTCTGGAAAGACAACTGATTGGTCTCCTCATCAGTTGTCTTTGTATCAAGAGATGCACAGGAGACACTTGGTTCATTATCTTCTGCCATTTATAAATACAGACCATTACAAACTAAAAAAATCACAAACAAAATTACTAACAAATAATCACTGAATAACGTTGACAGTCCATTTAAATGCTATCTTTTTGAAGATTTATCTCAGGCACAGATTTTGATGATTAGGTCTAGAACTAAAAAACAGATAGAGCAACAGCTTGAAAATAGCTTATTTTGACTATTCTCACGAAAACTACAACCAAGTTCACAATAATCGATAATAAGTTAAATCATGATTAAAAATAATATTGACGGAAGACTATCGTTTTAGGCAGTCATTAACTATCCATCATCTAATGAGACATAAAATTTCAATCATAAACATAATGTTTTCAGGATGAGTTAGGCTTCAGGGACTGTCTATAAATATTTAAAGTAAATGAAGATGCTGTAATTTATTTTCATTTTTTATAAACTCTATTACAATCTCATTTTGCGTTTTCTTGGTGTAATTATTAGTATTAATTATATAAATTCAGTGCGTTGATTCTTCTTATATAACTAATGGCGGTCTAATTTACATAATTATGTTTCAATTGAACAACAATCCCTGGTGATCCCTATTAACTGTGAACCACAGTCTGTGATTTTAAGCTTGGTGATTTTTTTGTACCTCTGCTCTTTTGGTTTTTGATAAATTTTATCACTGTTTATTTATTTATTTATTTACTAATTTAATGTGTGAACTCTGCTGTCGCTTCATCTTCATTTGAATCGTGTCTTTATTAGTTTGCATTTGCAATTATCAAAATGCTTGGTACAACAGTAGTCCCAGCTGATTACGAGATTGGTAAAATACCTGATGAGTTGAGTCACCATCCCTTACCATTGATCTATTTTGCCGGTCTCAATATTAATTCAAATCAAACTCATCATTATGTGTGGGAAACATTTGCTAACAAACGAGCCCCTGATAGAACACCCATGCAATACAGACTTATGGACAATGATTGTATGATTCCACCCTCAAAGCAAAAGGTATTAAATGTTATCAATTTAAATATCATAATGATATTTCAGCTTTCTCGTGATTTACAATTTTATCCATTTTGAAAACTTCTATGATTTCTCTTTTTCCATTACTTAATTCTAGAAATCCACATATGATTGGTATGTTCCCAAAGGCATTCTCAAGACTAATTGGTTAATTAAACATCTTCACGAGGTGCCGTCGGTCGCTGTCTTGTGCGTTGAATTGGATTGGGATGATGTCAACTTTAACACTAGAAAGCAAGAATGTGTCAACCAAGTTGAAGCTTTGCGAGGCCAATTCATCAATCGTAGTTGCCGAATTGCTTTGGTTCTGTTGCAAAAAAGTTTAACCATTCCAATCGAAGATGCGATGACAACTGAAAGAGCTTCTAATTTATGTGAAGCATGTGATATCAATGCAACATCTCTGTTTGTTTTACCTTACCAAGACAGTCAACATTTTCTTGGGTATATTTATCGGTTAGTTTATTATCTGTCTTGGATTGTCATCAGTTTTGATTCTTGTTAATCTTCTTTACGATCAATCTTTATTTCAGAATGGAAGCGGCCTTCTTCGAGCTTTCAAGTTCCTACTATCAGCAAGAAATGAAGTTCATTCGAAGTCACCGGGATCAATTAAATAAAACAAACCACGGACTTTTATTTGTTAGGCATCAGTTCAAATTAGGATTTTTCTCCGAGATGAGACAAGATTTCCAAGGAGCCATAAAGTAACTTGAAGAATTTTTGTTTTTTTGAAAAATTTCACCACTAATTCTCTATTTCAATAATTTTACAGGAATTACAAACAAGCTTATGCTAATTTAATGGAAATTCGTTCCTCATTAACTAACATCTATGAAATCATGGTCATAGCGGGTTTTATAAATTATAAGGTCTGCCGATTATTGTTCAATCAGAATGATCCGAGAGAAGCTATAGCTCATTTTCAAAAACATATTAATATATTTAAAAGCAAAGATGAAACACCCGAATTAGAATTTGAACATTTCGCATGGCTTTCGAAACAGTTTTCTATATTTGGTGATCTTTTCGATGCTGCAATTGCCTCCGGTTTAGTACCTGGTCAAATTCAACATCCTGGATATTATTATTATGAATCTGCTCTATTAGCTATCAAACGTCAAGCTGCTATCGAACCATTTCGAGAAAGAGTTCAGTTTATCAACAAAGATACTGCATTGGTTCTTATCGAGGAAGCTTTAAGGATTGAGTTTTATGGGCAGAGACCTTGGCGGCCAGGATGCCAAAGTAATTTTTTATTTTAACTGTTATCAATTTAAAGGCGTCAGATTTTTCATGGGATCCTTTTTATTTCAGGTTTAAATCCACTCGATCCTGAGAAAGAAAGAGAAGGAATCAAAGTGCTTCAATATCATGAATTAGTTTATATTAATCATTCTGTAAGTATAATTTACATTATCCATTCAACTTTTTCCCTCAAAACGCACTTCTGTATGAATACATTATGTATAACTTTTAAAATAATGGATCTTTTTCCCTTTACAGACTTTAATTATAAATTTGCTCAAAGATGCAATGAATCAATTTAAAAGGAATAAGTGCCCTCGAATGATGCGATTCATGACCGTCTTGATAGCACAACAATATTACGACGTAAATGATTATCCCAATTGCCTAACTCACCTCAATCAGGTTTTACCCTTTTATCGAACCGAAAAATGGAAACAAATTCTAGTCTCAATATTGACCACAGCTTTCAATGCTGCCTATTCATCTGCCAACTTAACTGAATTTGTTAAACTTGGTTTTGAATTTTTGTCATCATGGATACCAGCAGAGTTAGAATTTAAGAAATCTATTCAGGAATCCATCTTAAAAGTTCTTTCACTGCAATCACCCCTAAATCTGAAAAACTCAGAGGAAAATATTGATGAAGCCTGGCAAAAGATGTTTATTGAGGGAACTTATGATACACAAATTACCATCAAAATGAATCCAATCGTTCCATTCATCGAAATCAAACCCGTATTCTCCCAAAAAGCTTACAAATGGCAAGAAAATGTTCATTTGAAACTCTACATGCTTCTCAATGCTCCAATGCCGATGAATTTTGATAAATTAAGTTTAACATTCGACAAAAGCTATTACAATCAATTTTGTAATTATTGTCCATCTCCGAAATCAAGCATAGATGGTGATACTAACGACAATGCATTATTGCATTTTGAACCTATGGTGATGAAATGTTTTGAATTTAATTTTGAAGCTAGAATCGAGGATTACGGTAAACAGCTTGAGATTACAGAAATAACACTTTTTATGAATGATAATCCGATCAAAGTGACTTTTAATTGGATCAACGAAAATCCCAGTGATAATAATAAATGTTTCAGTCACAATTCGTGTTTTTCATCTTCACCATCATTAACTTCATCGTCAACATCATCTATATCGTCTTATCCACCCAAGTTTTATCATATCACACCAACTTTAACTACATTCCTTGAACCTCGTAAACCAATAGTTGATTTATCCTTAGTGAACGCATCTCCAGCTTTGCTTCATGAAATGTACCCAATCAAGATAGTCATTGAAAACAAAGATGAATACAGTATAAAAGATATTTCATTAACAATCGTAAAGATGGAGGAAGCGGCTGAAACCCAAACCGTCTCGTTTATTCTTGATGGTTTTCCTTTGGCTTTGGGTACTGCGCAAAAATTGACCGAGTCAATGATTGATCCTGGAACAAGTTTGATCAAAATTGTTTACCTTCCAATAAGTGATCTTAATTCTCAACGTTTCATGTTCTCTGTTCTTTTTTCCGTCAACTCAGCTGAATCTACAGCCATCTCTTCTGGTCCCAATCTTTTAAAGGAAATCGTCTCTATACAGGCTATTAATCCGTTCAATATATCTTTCACAACTTGCACTCCTTTAAATACTCCTTCACGGGTTATAAGATTAATGGAACCATTCGTTTTAAAAGCTGATATTACCTGTTTATCCCCTTTACCTCTAGAATTGATTGATTGCAATGTTGAATTAAATCAAAATATTTTCCACACTTTGCCATACATACCAACAACTCTGAACAAACTACTCCGTTCAGATGATCGCACTGAATGTCATTTTGCTCTCTATTCTGAGAGTCAGATTACTCAAGAAACTGGCCTTGGTGTATTAGTTATCCGCTGGAAAAAATCGACCACTTCTAATCACAACTCGAATACTGAATCAACAGAAGAAGATGGCTGTCAAATAAACAAAATTAAATTTACTCTGCCTGCAATAACCGTTCAAAATAGTTACCTTTATGTTGAAACTAAATTACCAGAATTTGGCACTACACGAGAAAGTCTTTTATTAACCTACAATTTAGCTAATCGGACTGATGATTTACTGCCGCTTTCCTTGAGTTTGGACAAAAGTGATAATTTCATGTTCGCTGGTAACTGTTCGGTTAAATTTTCCATTCCAGCTAAATCTCAATCAACTCAATTATTTGTCTTATACCCTTTGGTCTGTGGCCATGTTTCACTGCCCAAACTAAAAATAATACTTTATCCTGATACGGAAAATCCTATTGATATGGATAACGTTCTTGAAGATATTGTACCATCTTATCTGTTAGTTATGGTAAGTGAAAATATCCAACCTCCCAATAATTTATTTAATCTAAGTTCATCATTTTTTCATTCAACAGCCTCAAAGGAAAATATATACTCCATTTGAACCAATTGGAAATGCTGTTTTAACTAAATGAAGCGTTAAAGTTGGTTCAGCTGAAATATTTACCAAGAACTTTTGCTTGACATTTTTATACAAGTATTCTTGCAAATTAAAAGGAGGAAAATTCTTAATATATTTTAGTCTGTTTTTACCCGAACCGGTGATTGTTAAAAGTTGCGTTGATAAGAATAAATTGCTTTGGTGATTTTAGTTAAGCTAAAATTAAACTAAAAATTATGTTAAACAGTTTCAGTACAATTTATAGTATCTTTTAAAGTTACATTGTATCTTTCATAGTCAATAGGTAGTCCATTTTGGTCGACACAAAAACATGAATCTCCAAAACACTGAATCGGGTTATAATTACCAAGATGATCGCAATCATAATCAGACCAATTGGTTTTATCGTTAGCTTGTCGTAACAAGTCTTTATCACGGATACAATCTTTCAAGATAAATACATTGGATCATTAAATCGGTGAAAAATACTCATATCTTTGTAATTGTGAATATTCATGCAAAAGGTTGAATACTTACTGCATCTCATTTGTTCGATTTCTGATGAATCTCTTGGAATAGTCACTCTGGCTCCATATCTTTCTCCTTTTTGGTTTACACAGTAACAACTATTAAATATAAATTTTATTGCAATTTAAATCGCAGTGAAAAACTTGAGTCTATCCAAACCTGGTCTCATCACATTGTTTTGCTTTATAACTCCCATCCAAATTACATTCAGGTAGTTCGTATCCAACCACAAAATCAAATTTTTTCTTGAGAAATTTCAGTTCTTCATTGCGTCTTGTCAATTCTGACCAACATGGAAAATCTTGGTGCCCATCTAAATATAATCAATTAGATGAATCAAAGAAATGGTTTATTTGTAAATATATATTTAAACTTACAGCAAGGCAGTTTATTGATGTCATCGAGAGTCACTGGTGCACCTTTGATTCCTCGACCCTCTTTGATTGACGTATCCAGACAATATCCGTGTGTATTGGTTGTTTGAAGTGTTCGATAATTTCCATCTGATTGACATTGTGGTGAACCAAAGGGAATCTGTGGTTGAATGCTAATCATCTTGTGAAGGTCCCGTGAACAAGCTGATCAAATTTAGAAGATAAAAGAATTTGATTTAAAGTTGATTCCTTGAGCCATTATTCAACTCACCGCAATTAACAGACTTCTGTGAATCCAAGAAGTCTCCAAAAATCCGATCCCCATTTTCATCAACACAAAAACATCTATTTTTAAAATGGGCAAAAGAGACAAACAATTATTTCCGAGCTATTACGGTGTTCACTTAATCAATATGTTCACTTGTAGCTCACCTCTTCCCAAAACATTGATAGTTCGAGTAATCGCCAAAAGTATTGCATCCAGGAATATAATTTGGTTCAGACTCATTGAGACTAGTTTTCAAAGCTTCAGTCCGGTGTTGTAAACATTTGGTATTACCTGTAAATTACTTTGGAAATTCTTTTAACATGTTGTTCAATTCTGATAATCAAATGAATTCACAAACCATAAGCACATTGCGGTAATGGTTGAGCTTCTGTACAAACCAACTGATCTCCACAAATAATAGCTGGAATATTTTGTAAGGCTGTTTTAACGCAAGTTTCACCAAGATCTAAAAAAATTGAAATTGATAACATAAATCGACTTGCATGATACAAAAATTAAAAATTAAACTTACCACCAATTTTAACACACGAATGACAGCAACCACAAGTAGTGGAATTTTCAAGCAAAACATAACCTTCCTCACAAACTTTGATTTCTTTTGGGCATTTGTTTAATGAACAATAATTTAGTGGACACATGTTTGATCCAATTGAACTGTTTAAAATATATAAAAGCACGGTGGTTGTTATCCATAAGTAAATTAGGGATTTAATTTTGAAATGTAACATCGCAATAATTTTGACAAGCTATGTATGTTTTTGCATCAGCGAAGTTCTGACTGTAACTAATCTCTACCTTGTAAATATAAGTTCATCATTTATCTAATCAAGGAAGAAGAAGCCAATAAAACTGTAATAAATAGTCTAATTTAAGTGAAAATACGACTGAACTATTTTTATATCAATATCAAAATACAGAAAGATGGAAGAGAAACTATTTCACTCTTGAAAATTCAAAGTAAAATTAAAATTGGAATTTTTGTAAAATAAAATTCAGTTGAAAGCACATTGGACATTGTTAACAATTAAAAAGTTGATAATTTTCTTAGCAAATTAAAGATTTCAATTAGGCGCAAAAATTAGATTCAACAGCAGAGGGCGCTTTTGGTATCAAACCTCCGGAAAAGGAAGCTCGGTACAATTGAAGCTAAAATCTTCTTGTTGTTTTGGCGTGTAGAGTTATTCAAGATAATTATTTAATTGTAATTATTTAAATTGTTTTACAATCATGAAATTAAACGCTAAAGTTAAATCCATTGGAGTCAAAGATGTCAACCAATCTATTTTGGTAGAACGTGTTGCTGATTTCCTTAAAAAGTAAGTAAAATATCTTTTAAACAGCTCTAAGTGACCGGTTCATTTGCTTAGTCTATTCTGATCACTAGTTTTAAATATTAGACTTGATTTTCATGAAATTAATTTCAATCCTTTGTTTCATTTTGTCTCCAGATCTGGCAAATTACCAATCCCAGCTAAACTCGACATCGACATTGTTAAAACTGGTCTTTTCAAGGAGTTGGCACCTTTTGATCCAGATTGGTACTATGTGAGATGTGCTGCAATTGCACGACATTTATACCTTAGGTCACCATCAGGAGTAGGATCCCTTAAACGAGTATTCGGAGGTAGATACCGACGTGGTGTAAGACCTTCACACTTCTGTCAGGCTAGTGGTTCGGTTATTAGGAAATGTGTACAAAGCTTGGAAGCTTTAAAATGGGTTGAAAAGGACCCCGCCACTGGTGCCCGCAAATTGACTTCTCAAGGTGTCCGAGATTTGGATAGACTTGCTGCCCAACAAAAAGCAACAACCAGAAGCGAAGTGATTGTGTAAAGATTTTCACTTTAATTCGTATTAAAATGATAAATTAACAGTCTAACGTTATAAAGCAATTTTTTTCTTATTCTCTCGTGAAGCAATTTTTCCAAGCAATGTGCAAGTCAAAGCATTTGTTTTTAAGTTCCAAAAACAGCAGAAGGCGACGAAAAAATGTGTTATTGAACCTTCTGAGAGATAAGCCTACATCCAGTCAATCAATACGCGAGTTTTCTGTTCAATTTTTCTAACCTTGGCTCTAAATTGAAGGCTTTTAAATTAGGTAGCTCTTCTAAACGATCCGGAAGTTTTTGATTCTACTTTATATTTAATTCAGTGATAATTGAGTCTCGCTTGGTTTATATCGATAAATTATCGAACAAATATATTGAATTAACTAGTGCAATTATGCAATTAGAGTAAAATTAATCCAGACTCAGACTAATTAAACCAAATGTTCTGTTAATCAACTTCATAATTGAATATTCAGTAAATGATACTTTTAAAATGAAATATACACCATTACAGTTGGACAATTAATTGTACATACTGATAGATTGATTTGTAATTAGAAACTTAATTTTGTCAACATGGAGGCATGAAATGCTAAATGATATGATTATTGGCTCAGCAAATCAAACCAGACCAGGCGTCTTAATCAATAGTTTGAAATGTTAAAAATTATCTTCAGAGAAGCAATAATCAAATAACGATGAACTATTTGTTGATGTAAACAACTGATTGAAATCAGTTGAAGGAATCTTGAAACATAAAATGAATACAATCTTGGATAAACGCGTATAAACTTACCTCGAAAGGCTCCTCATCTTACCTGTATTCAATTCATCTCTCTCTTCTCTCTTTCTCTCTCTTTGTTCTTCCCATTTCTATCATTCTCATCATTATCATCCTTACCTGTTTAAGTAAAAGTGTTTAGCCCACCTAATAAACTTGGAATTAAATTTCCGTGGCGCCCAACTAGTTTAGTTAAAAACCTTACCTTGGTACAAACAAAACTCAACTCTAATCAACAATTGAGAATTCAATTTCATCGTTGAATCATTCTTACTTTATCTTAAAATTAATATTTCCAACTTTTTATCAATTCATTTCATTGGTTACATACAAAAGGATTAACAAGTAAATCTAATTCTTAATTATTTTCCAAACTCTTTTCTACTCTCCATTAACTTAATCTGTGTAACTTTAACTAAACCCTTAACCTGGTTATCCTGTAGATTGATCACATTGATATAATCACCTAAATTACATTTATATTAATTGATTCTTTTTTTCTCATTTTGTTTACTATTTAAAGTGAAATTTCATCTCAAAGATCCATCAGTCGAAAGGCCAACCGTTGATTTTAAAATGAGTGATGATATAATCACGGATAGTAAAAATTACCTCTCAAGTGGTAAGTTTCATTCAAATTGTAATTTACTCTAATATCAAACCTTTAACACAAAGTTGATTTATTGATGATTTATTTGATTGCAACACAATCTATTCTCAGCTTTTCAAGTCAATTAATTCAAGAAGCAATCACCATTTAACCACAAAAAATGGCTAACTGATGATAATGATAATGATGATGATTTGCTGAATCAATCTTTGAATTGATTATGCGGTTTGTTTGCAAATATAAATTGTTGATCATAGAAGTTTCTTCCTTTGATCAACTTTTCTCTATCAAATCTATTAAAAATACATTTCCAATCTAATCGTAATCATGATGATTGTCAATTTTTTTTAACTTTTTACCTTCACTCAGGCAATGAAAATACATTATCTGACATTGATAATGACTAACTAATCGAGGTAAAAACAGCTAGATTTTCATAAACTAAATAATACAGTTACAATTTTTGCGTTCATCACTTGCTATCACAACAGCAAACCGTAATCAAAGCAAAAAATCATCAATCAAAAGAGAGAGAGAAAGATAGAGATTTGGAGAAAAATTAGTGAAATCAGTTTGTATGAATTTTTAGCAAACCTTAGTTATTTTTGTGAAATAATCGTTGTTAATCAAACTGTATGTAACCAAATATGATCTGTAACTCTTGTGGCTTAACAAAGGATAAAAAGTTCATAACAACAGCCGAAAAATTACAATCAAAATCAAACTCTTTATCCTCTTGTCCGATAAAATCATGCTTGAAGAAGCGATCATCAATACCACCTTCACCTCCACCTCCAACCATTAGTCAGTCTAACTCTTCCAATTCCTCTTCCACATCAACATCAACATCTTCACTATTGTTTTCCTCGCCCGAAACCATTTTAGCCCAATGTGATGAATCCTTAGCTAAACTTCGTCTCACTTTTACAGATGGGTTAATCGATGATTACATAGTTGGTGATCGAGTCTGGGTCGATGGCAACAAACCTGGTTACATCCAGTTTATCGGTGAAGTGCACTTTGCTGATGGTGATTGGGCTGGTGTTGTTCTTGATGACGCACTTGGTAAAAACGCTGGTTCCGTGAGTGGCAGAAGGTACTTTTACTGTGAACCAAAACGAGGTTTATTTTGTAGACTCGGCAGACTTTCTCGGTATCCATATTCATTTGGTAAATCAACTCCAGATTCCGGGATATCTGGTGACAATGAAGGTGATCCAATAGCTAAAGGACTTCGTCGTCAATTTAAATCGACAAACTCCTTCTCACGAGGAGGCTCACCAAGTCGATCTCTTAGCTCGGATCGTAGTCGATCATTGAGTAGATCAGTGAGTCGATCACCTGAATCGTCACGCTGGTTGTCATCTTATTCGGAAACAATGCATCATGACCCTCGATGTCCATCAGCTCTTTCCTCTTCAACTCGTCGAACTGTGTCTCCAAAACGTCATCGCTCTGTTAGTCCTTTATCTCGATATAATTGGGTAAACGATGAGGATCTGAATGATATTATGCACGATGACTATAATTACGATACAAAGACATCAAAAGTTTATTCTTATACACTCCCTCGCAAGCCTGCTTCAACATTCACAACCGTTTCTACTGTTACAACCACTGTTGATGGTCAATACAAGCCTGGTCCACTTCGCCTTGGTGATAAGGTTTTCGTCAATTCCTCTAAAGGTCTTCTTACTGGTCGACTTAGATTCCTTGGAACCACTCATTTTGCACCTGGACAATGGGCTGGTGTTGAATTAGATGAACCACATGGTAAAAATGATGGACAAGTTGCTGGTAAAAGGTGAGTTGTTTCCTTTGATTTAATGATTGTTATAAAACCAAAATACCATTCAAGGTAAACTTTTTTGGATAATAACTGTGAACACTAAAAAATATAAGCTTAAATTATAATTGTGCTTCCTAACCAACCCAGAAGTAAATTCAGAAGCTTTCTTATAAGCAACTTTACATCTTATGCGCTCTTTGGTTACTTTCCTTGCCTACTCTGTGTGAACTCATATCGTCACATTTATTCAGTATTAGACTCTGTTCGACCATTTAAATTTTACCATTTATGATTAGATTAGCTATTTTGATCACCAATTCAATGTCAATGTTTCATTTATATTGTCGATCTGTAATGTAGATTTGTTTTATCGATTTCATAGCAATTTGAAAATTCACACGAACGTAAAATGAGATAAATGGTTGAACGATTTTAGATAATTTCAGCAGAAATTTTTTTAGTATTAATATTAATTTTAGGATATCCTTGATGATTCCTGTGTGTTCTGATCTTAATAAAAAACAATTTACAAATACAATGGAAATGACAACATTAAACATAGTGCATAACACAGCCAGCAAGTCTCAAGGCTGATTGCTAATTTTTTTTAATGTAATTTAGCGAATAATTAAATTTGTTCTGGTGTTTTCTTCCATGGTAATCATCACCATTGAATCACGCAAAAAAATAGACAAACAAGTTTTATAATTGTTTAAGATTTCATTTACATTGTTTGTTTGTCAAATTTGAATAATTTGAGATACACTACTCGAAGAATCGATAATTTAATTCACGCAAATTAATTCAACCAACTAATCTTTACTCTTAATTTCAACCAACAGATACTTCACTTGTCGATCTAGATATGGATTATTTGCTCCAGCCTACAAAGTCGTTAAAGCTGATCCCAATCGGATGACGACAGTAACCAAAACCATTCGAAATGGACCAAAATTTTGAGAATCCATGGTCAACCAATGTTTACCTGATTAGAGTTGATCACTGAAGTAGGATCTGATTATCCTTATTGACGTAAATTGAGCAAAATGGTAAAGCCACGCAAAGAGATTAACATTTGGATTACAACCTTTGATGAATGCTTTTTCTGTTTCTTTTTGGCACTCTTCTAACTTAATCGAAATCCATTGATTGATATTGGACAAACAACTAAAGATTCATGGACCTAACCAGTACCATAGTTATTAATAAGGATACAACCTAATTGCGAATTAGCTTCAATCAAAGTTTAATTTTGTGTTCACTACCTTTTTGTTTTGTCTACTGATTCCTTCATCTATTCATTATTGGATCAGTGCCCTGTTAACCAGCTAACTTTATATACAATTTCAGCCTAAAACTCCTGTAATTGGACTTTTGATTACAATTTCATCGACATTTTTTATTTATACTTTGATTAAATTTTTCGTTTGTCAGTGTCAGCAGCAAAAAAACCAATGTATTTCGCGTTTCATCGATTCATTATTAAACAGTTTTTCAAATGAATTAAACTCAGCTTTTATTCACTTCCTTAGTTGCGATTTATTGCTTAAAATCAGATTAAATGATATCAAAAATAATTCCATCTAGAAAAATAGATAAAAATGATGATAAATATCAAATGTCCATAAGATGATTAAAAGATTGAATCATTTAGTTTCATCCTAAAAATAATCAAATATCTTCTCCTTTATCTCTTTTCAACATTCTGGTTAGAGATTACACCTTATTAAACGCAACACCCATTAGATTCTTGATATGATTCAATCACAGTTCAACTTCAGTTCACAGTTTTACAAATTGCTTGTTAGATCAAAGGGTTTGTTAGAGGTTTGAAGCCGAAAGTCATTAACTTGACTTACACAGTAAATCATCGGAATTTTGTTGATCGCTTTTGGTTCCTTTTATTAGCCTTGAGATATTAAATATTGTAGCTGATTGATATTTCATTGGAAAATCATGAGATTCGGTAAATCTTCATATAAATTATTCAGTTGAATAAAATTCAGTCTCAACTTGTGTAGGCTTTGAACAAGGTTATAACTAGAAAAATTCATCACAATTAAATTTTGTGTTTCAATCAAGCTACATGTCGAGCTATATCAATGGACAGAAGTATGGAATCAGTGGGTTGAAAGGTAATTAATTCCCATGAGATTTAAGTATAAAGCTAAATTGTGAAGATTCGTTGATAAAAAAGCTTTAAAAAGGTCATTGCCAAGAAGTGCGAAAAGCCAAGGCTAACAACAACATTAGCTATTAACCAGATTTTCAATCACTGGGAATACAATTAAATTTTGTCAAGCCTACAAAAAGGCAAATCCTCAAACAAGTAAAAAATTACAAAAGATTTACTCAGCATAACTAAATGATGATCAATCGGTTTTCAAGCAATTCAGTTTGCTATTCCACTCTAATTGTTACCATGCGATTTATTCAGGTAAAGTCTGGCAATAAAATTCAATGACTTCTCAATTAAACAAAATATGCTATTCTCTGCCTGGTAAAGGTGTAAAAGTTTGATAAGCCCATTATACAGCATTAAAAGCAAGTGTTTTTATGACTAAACAAAAGGTTATACGATTCCCTTGATTATTTGAATAGTTTAATTCTGGCATCTTCATTCAGGGCTAAACCGGAGAAACCAAATTGTCAGGAAAGGAGAGGAATGATCAATCAAAAAATCCCATTTCCACCATTAAATGTCACATGGATAAATATATCGATTCATCCTTTTTTCAATCCAAGATTTCTGGTTAGGTTGATGGTTTTTTTGTTGTACAGTGAAAATTATTTAAATTGTGGAGGAAGTAAATGAAGGATTCCAATCTTGTTGTTTTTGTTGATGCTGGTGATGGGCAAACTCACGCAATCAGGTAAATGTTGTTGTCTTGGAGAAACAAAATACTGAAGATAGAACTACTATTTTCAAAGCTGTTATTAAATAATCCAAAGGAGGAAGAAGAGATTGATCAAGGGCAATTTAATACAAACAAACAAATACAAATTAAGATTGAAAAAAAATGATGGCAACGAATTTGATTACAACCGTTGATGTTTACTTTCAAGTTCACTGGAAATGTCCTTCAGACTGGAATCAAACTTTCAATTTTATACATCTATTGATTTGGCCAACATAAAACAAAGGACTTTAACACAGACAACAGTTAAATGAGAAAATCAATAAGGACAATCGATAAACTATTTGACTCAACAAACAAATAAAAACCATAGACTTCAGTCAGCTGGATGTTAGTCGATACATTTAGGTTAAACCCGATTAATTGTCCAATTAAAAGCTGTCAATTGGTGGATCGAAAATTAAGAATCACGTGATTAGAAAGGTGACAATGGTGTAATGGTTAGCATTGTTGCTTCCCAAGCAATAGATCCGAGTTCAACTCCCGGTTGTTGCATCAATTTTTATCACAATTAACTTCGATTAACTCAAAGACAGTTTACTGGGTTATTCAAAAGTCACGCAAGCCTTTTTTCGCTTATAACAGCGCCGTCCGTGCAAATTTCGTCCCCATATTTTTTCAATGGCCTTTTGACATCAGTACAATTTGTTTCGAACGGTTTTTAAAATTTCGATTTTTCTACGATAATTTCAGGTTCAAGACTCTTTTTAGTTTAAGCTTACCATGCAAACTATCGAAATTATCATGGGAAAAATCGAAA